AAACCTGGACCAGGGGACCAGCAACGCTTGGCAGCCCGGCCTTCTCGCAGCAACTGACCAACGCCCCACAGGTCACCGCGGAGGGCGCCAGTCGCCGATCCACGGCCTCGCGGAAGAGGGCCAAGGCATCCTCCGTGCGCGGCGAAGAAGGGGGAAAAAAGAAAGCAAACATGCTCAAATTGCGAGGGAGGCAAGCCAAGACCAGAGACAAAAGACAAGAGAAGACCCCACCAGACTAACCAACAGACTAACCTGACCGACCAACAACCGACCCACGAGCCCACCGAATCCGGAGTTGCATGGCCCCACGCTTCCAACCCGCGGTTGGTTTTCTCGTTGGGTCTCCTGCCAGCGTCTTGCTTTCTCGCATGATGTGAGGGCCGCGTTGTAGGTGATGATGCTGGGAAGCACCGCATGGGTCTCCACAGATCTCAGGATCAGCAAGGCCCGCTGCCACTCCTCTCACAGCTTGGAGATGGATAGATGGATGCTCTCTGGGTGTCTGGTTGAGAAGCCCCCAAGCAACAGTCAACGCAAGGGTTCCCACAGAACCAAAACCAGTACACACAATCTCAACGTAGACCCGCTGAACTGGTCCGATCTTTCAGGACCCTCTCCATATTTATCTCAAGCAATCACTGAAAGAAAGTGAGGCGTGAGGCAACCCCCCCAAAAAAAAAGCAGACCAGGCCAGTGGCACAAAGTTGAAATTTGATGTGGTTTGGATTTGTTTTGAACTCTTTGACAGGTGTGGCCTTGGCCTTCTCGCAGGCGCTGATGTAGGCATTGCAGGTGCGCGTGTCGGGGCGCAGCCGCCAGGCAGACAGCGAGTGGAAGAGGAAGCCCGCCACCTGCCACTGCGCTTCCTGGCAGGGCAAATTGGTGACAACGCCGGAGGGCATCAAAATGATTTCAAGATGACAGTCTTCAACAAAGGCTAAGAATTTTCTGAGTGGTTGTGGTGCTTTGGACGGTGGCTTGAAGCAAATGATGAGGCTTTGGCAGCACAGCTGCATCATGTGGAGAAGAACTTGTAGAAACACTTGCCAAATGAGCGGCTCGTGACCAAACCAAATAGATCTTACAGCCCAACGGGAACGCAGGAAGAAACCAGGACCGACCCATGCATGATTCATTTGGCTGGGCGGCCCAGGTTAGGAAACCTTCACTGCAGGGGAACCACCACCTCTTGGTCTGCCAGGCTTGCTAATGCTGGACTGGCATTAATATTCGATCCTATAGCTCTTGCCAAACGGAGGATCGATGACACTAAGTTGGTCAATTCATTGTCAAGGTTCCAAGCCATTGTCAAGGTTCCAAGATGCTCTCTCTGGCATTTTGGCCTAGGAGAGCAAACCCCCAACCTCAAGGGCGGGTGGGGGGAGGCCTTCCCCAGAACCTATCGAATTCCAGGGGCGCCCTGCAATTCAATGCTTCTCTAGGTTTGGATCTGAGCTACGGCCCCTGCTGCTTTCTTTTTGGCGCTGCTCATATTGGCCGCCTCCCAGGGAAACTGTTGACATATGCAACTGGATCTTTGAATGCCCCGGCCTTCTCACAGGCACTGATGGCTGCATTGAAGGTCAGCACCTCAGGGGAAAGTTTCATGCAATTTTGACTGGTCCCTCGCAAATTCCATCTGCCGATTCCTCGCCTCTGGGCGTAACTGCCGCTTCACCAGCTGCGGGAGGAGGAGCAAGGCCTCACTTGTCCAAAGGACCAGGAAATCAAAGGTTCACCAGGTTGACCTTTTGGAACCTTGCTCAAAATGGATCAAGAGGGGAAACCCAAGGGCGATCCAATGTTGTTCTTTGAATGGGAGACCACAGTCACCTTTCGGGACCTTTCCGGACCTTTAGGGACCTTGACCCAATAAACATGTCCGGAAAAGGGAAACCGAATGGAGAAACAGGGTCGCTAAAAAAAATGGGCCAGATAAATGAGAGGATCATCCAATTAGGTCCAGGTGTACCCTTTACTACCATGTCCTTGCAGAACTCCTGGTAGCTCATTGGCCCCCTCGTTAAAATCCAATTTGTAAGACCCCGCTCCATAACAATGGCCTTCCAACCACCAGCAAGGGGGTTCAGACAAAGAAGAAACAACAGCCCAAAATGGTTTTCACAAAGCCCCATGCTGTCGTATTGTAAGGAGTCTGTCCACATACCATCCGACCAGCAGGTGTGCAGGTGAGACGCGCGCTGCCACTGGCTACCCTTCTCACAGGCGCTGATCAAAGCGTTGAAGGTCGTGGTGCTCGCCTTCACGTGTCCTGAGCACAGAATGTTGGCCATAGTTTAAACAACTTGCCGGCTTGTTGTCAAGAAGCATCTTTCTGGTTTGCCTTGAAAGAACTAGGAAGTTGTTGTTTAGTGCAATTTGGCCCAAGCGTGCTCATGTTTTTGCGGTTCTACCTCTAGATTGCTCTCCTTGGTTCCATGTTGACTTGCAGGGTTTGGATTGGACGAGCAACATGCCTCAAATCTACCTCAACATGGGCTTGTCTCACAATATTTACTTGGGCTTCCCCTTCAAGCCAAACCCGGGCATAGAACAGAGCTAGCAAACTGCCCAAGCGAGATCAAGCGAGTGTCTGGCTTCGAGTGTTTGCAACACCAGCAGGGCCCGTTGCCATTGGCCTGCCTTCTCGCATGCGCTGATGGCTGCATTGAAGGGGACCTCACGGTGGAGCAGCTGCGGGTGGCCCCGAACACTGACCCTTTAGACTTTAAAGGGGAAAGAAAAGGGTCCGGATTTGTTCTGGGATTTTTCCCCCGTTGTGTTTTGGGATTTTCCTGGATTTTCTGTCTTGGAACTGGCAGGTGCGATCTCCCTTGGTTCTGCTTGGTCTGACTCGTTTTGCACCAGCGCTGCCAACATCCCCGGCATAGTTTCAACTCGGCAGCATCCTTTTCAACATCCTCAGCATCACGAGGTGGCTCTCTTAGGCTGGGTTTAGGGTGGGTTCAAGGTTGGCTAGGGTTGGTTCAGGGTGGGTTCCAGGCTTGGTTAGGGAAAGTTTGGGGGCGGCTGCTTTCGGTACTGGGATGGTTCAGTGCTGGTTTATGGTGGGCTTCTTGGGGTTGGTCAGGGTGGGTTTAGGGCTGGTTTAGGGTGGGTTTAGAGTTGGTTTAGGCTGTGGTTGAGCTTAGGTGGGCTTAGGGTGGTTTGGGGTAGGTTCAGGGTGGCTTAGGGATGGTTTACTGTTGGTCTGGTTTGTTTTGGGGGGTTAGGGGGCGGTTGGTGTTGAATTTGCTTTGGGGGGTTGGTGCAGGGTGGGATTCGAGCGGGTGTAGTTTGGGTTTAGTGCTGATTTAGGGGAAGTCGGGATTGGTTTTGGGGTTGCTTTGGGGTGGGTTTAGTGGAGGGTTAGGGTTGGTAAAGGGTTTGCTTGGGGGTGGGTGGTTTAAGGCTTGCTTAGTGCGGACTTAGGTTGGTTTCGGGTGGGGTTATGATGCGTTTAAGGATTGGCTTGGGGTGCTTAGGGGTTTATGGCTGGTTTAGGGTAGGCTTAGAGTTGTTTTTTTTAGCAGTTCCTTGAGGTAGTCGTGCTGGTTTAAGGTTTCTTTAGGGTTGGCGGTGTTGTTTTAAGGTTGGTTCCAGTTTTTAAGTGGCGGTTTAGGGTGGTTTTAGTGGTGGCGCAGGGTTGGTTTCGGGTGGTTTTGGGGCCAAAACGTGGGGTGGGCGTTGGAACGGGGTTCGTCAGGCTTTTTGGCTTGCCTTTTGAGGTCATCACAAAGCCAAACAACAGCCCTATAACGAAGCGGGGGGGTTGGGGAGAAGCCACCAACCAAAATCCAAGAAGCCAAAAGCCGGTGATGCTGGGGTGTTACTGGGTGATGCTGAGGATGCGGAAAGCCGAAGCCACAAAACAGTAAAGCCAAAAGCCAAAAGCCAAAACACCAAAAAAAACAGAAAAAAAAAAAACAACAACAAAAAAAACAAGAAGCCAAAAGCTAAAAAAGCCCACACTCCAAGAAGCCAAATGCCAAAAATCCAAGAAGCTCAAAAGCCAGATAAGGTAAAATCCAGGAAAAATCCCAAATAAAAACGGGAGAAAATCTAAAAAACATAGCCCTGTGAAAGAAAACACAAAGTTGCCCTGGGTCGTTCGAAGCAACCGGCATGTGGACACGTCACAGCCTGACGGTTTTATGAGCAATGTCCTGGTCCTGGTTTGGTGGAACTTGAAGGGAAACCCTAAGGGAAAGCCATGTCCCACCAAAGGTCAGGCTGCTTTGCATGCCCAGATTACTTCAACTGGGGGTCAAGCCCCCTTCTAAAACCATTCATGCTTGTGGAGGGTCAAACGCCCTGTTTGTGAAACCCAAGCGGCTACGCAATCACCGGTTTCATCACCTGAAAAGGACTTTCCTTCGTTCTCAAAGTAAGTGGAATTCCCCAAACGCAAAGCCATCCACCTGAATCCCACCCGCACCTTAGAACCTTGCATGTTGAACCCGCTAGATTGTGACCACGGTCATAAATCGGACAAGACACAATTTATGGGCGTACAACCTAAGCGCCAGACAAATTACGCACATGTTTGGCGCTTGAGGTATTTTGGTTTATATAATAATTTCCCACAACCCGGCCCTCCAAGTATCTCTCCAAAACATGCTTCACCTCAAACCGTGTTCGGATGTGTTCGGCTTCCCGCAGGAAACAGGAATCCGAAATCCCTGGGGTCCAGCCGACAAACCAAAAACCCGCTGCAAACGCCCGCCTCGTTGTCAACGTCCAACGCAGCGAGCAGTGCTAGCGCGGAGGCCCACTCTTTGCACTTCTCGCAGGCGGAGATGGCGGCGCTCAGGGATACCAGGTCTGGCACAAGTCGAACCTGGGACCTGAGGAGGCGTTTGAGAAAGGAGGAACGTGTGTGTTTTGCATACGTTGTTTGCTTATGTTTTCCGTTGGGGCTTTTGTGTGCTCACCGTTTGAGTCTGGGGGTGGGAAACGACTTTAAACCATAAGAAAAGGCAGGGATAACACGGATGGAATTAGAGGACGTCACTTTAAGGGACCAAGATGTAGGCCAGGGCAAACCTGCGTGCGCCCTAAAGGATGATCGTTTCAATGAATGGCAGCCACAAGCCTTGTACCTGTCACAAGGAACAAGTACCAGCACAGGGGCATGTCTTTTTTCGTCAAGCACATAAGCCGGTTTTCTTTTCAGCTCCCCAAGTCACGAAACATTGTTGGGGTAAAAAGGGGGGAAGAAAGCCTTTCTGGGTGCTTGATCCGAAAGGGAAGTTGAAGTCCAGTGACCGAATTGGATCCTTTTCGGCACCAGGGCCATCACAACCCAACAAACCACCTGGCAATGTCTGTTCCCAACAAATAGGTTTGTGCCGCGAAGATGCAACCAAATTTAAAACACAATTGTACGCAATTAATGTCTGAACAACTGGGACAAGGAAGCAAAATCCTGCTGGACCGAGAAGCATCATCTGCAGCAAGGCCAGGGCTGTCTGCCATTTCGCGCCTTCAGGGAACTCAAATTAATTCGCCAGGGGGCATGGGCTTTGCATGGCTTTGCCACTTGCCTATGGGTAGGCACTGGTGACATTTGTTGTCTATCGATTTTGTCTTTGGCAGGGCTGGCGGACCATGGCCATACATGTTTGAGCTCGCTAGATCTGCCACCTCGCTCGCAGGCAGTGATCGCCGAGTTGTAGGAGACATGTGTCGGCTGTATCCGCTGTCGCTGGAGGCACCCAAGCAACCACAAGCTCCGTGGCCACTGCGTCGCTTTTCCGCAGGCGCCTTGGTGTCAAATGACAGTGCAACATACAGCGGGCCCAGGCGGTACAAATAGCAAACGCAGTGGAATGAATAAAACTCCGATCCCGCATTTTTCAGCAGGCATGATTTGTCTGTTCACATGATGCGGTGCGGCGTCCCAAGTAACCTGCCACGAGAGATTGCAATGATCGGACTTGCAAGGTCTTAGCGGACCTGACTAATGTGCCCAATTGTCCAGTCACCCAAAAAGCAGAACAAGATAATTGATATGGAACCCTTTTCGCTTGGTTGGTTGCATATGTGTGTCCCGACCACACAAGCACTGTTCAGGGTGGAATCCACCGAGCAGCTGGGTGTGAGTCAAGGCGCCAACACATCCAAGCAGCTGATCGCTGAGTTGTAGCTGATCACATCCTTCTCCGCCGCCTCAAAAGGATGCAGGCAGACATTGAGTGCAGGAACGGCCCTGGTTCCCTTCCAAGTTGTGCAACGCCATTTGTGGAAAGTACCCCATCCTGTGACAGAGTGGGATCCTCACGACCGTAGTGAATGGCTGCGCTCAACTTGGCTATCCTGCGAACTGCCTCCTCTGGAACGGGTGGGGCGGTATGTCCGGTATGTGACCTTTCGGCCCGTGCAGTGAAAGTTGTTCCTTTGATCTTTTTCGCCCGTGACTGTCCCGTTCTCAATAGTGAGTACTTTCAGCCGGTCAGTGCGGGAAAGAATCATTCATCAAGTGGTGTAAAGGTTCAGGGCTTGACCCAGAACGGGCATTTTGACACATGGCCCAGTCAAAGGGCAGGGATCCGGGCGCCTGCAACAGGCTCTCAGCCTGCTGCCAAGCGCTGCCGCGCTCGCAGGCGCTGATAGCTGCGTTCAAGGACAGCACATCTGGCGTCACCTGCGGAAAGCCGATGGGAAACCACTTTGTGCTTGGCTTAGCGTGAAAAAAGGGCTCAGTTGCTCGTTTTGTGTTCAAAGTGATACGTTGCTCGTCCCCAAAAACCCAGCCAGCGTGTGTGCTTGGCTTTAGGGGAACCAAAGGGAAACCCGCTCAGGTTAGGGGTCGCACATATCTGGATGTTTCGTGCACTGAGCCTCATATAGTCACAAGTAAACTGTCAAATAACTCACTGCCTGGAACTTGCAAGTAGCTTAGCTGTCGCGGTTGAAAGGACAATGGTCTGGGCTGAGCAGGGTGCTTGGTCTTCGTCCCCCCCCTCCCAGTCAGTTAAACAAGTATGGTTGGGCTTGCCCGGCTGTGGGACGCGCTTCAAATGAGGCCCCGGAAAAACTCTGAACAAAAGGAAACCTGAAGCGCCATCTGTCCGGGATCTCAAATCCCGCTCAAACCTCCCCAACGGAGCAAAGACAATGCCGCTACCAGGGGAAAAGTAAGGGGAACCCTGCATAAACAAAAAGTGAACACCCCCAAAGGTCCCTCTAGAAATGATTGTTTCTAGGCTCCCTAACAAAGCGCCCGCCTGGATCTGGGTGGCTTGACCCAGCAGATGCAAGGAACGCTGCCACTGGGTCCCCCTCCCACAAGTAGAGATAAGCGCATTGCAGGTGACCTGTCGCCGCAAAAAGGATTGAATTCTCTGCAGCCCCCTGATGGAACCCGGTTAATGAGCAGCTAAGCCCTTACTCGATCAATCCAATGAACAGCAGCTAAAAAGCAAACAACCAAAACTAAACTGCGGTCAGCAAAATAAGATCGTCATTTTTTCCCCTCCTAGTGGTGCTTTAGAATCAAACTCGGGGGCAATTCGCCCCCAAACAAAAACACAACACGAGTCAGCTCCGTGAAATGTTCAGCAAAAGATACAAACTAGGGGAAGTGACCGTGGAGGGTTGCAGCGCCAGACTGCCAATGTGGTCGTAGAGCGCCAATGCTCGTTCCCACTGGCTGCTCCTCTGACACGCGCTGATGCCAGCATTGCCTTGCTCGGCAAAAACTACCGCCAGGAAGTAGGAGGCACCCACACGCGGCTAGCATCGCATGCAAACCCCCCTTCTCAGCTGCCAGAAGGCCCCGGTCAAAGGAAAATTGTCTTCCAAGGGCCCAGCCAGGTTCGATGTTCGTGGACGGAGGGTGACATTTGTAGGTTGCCATGACTTCAAGTCAACACAATTGCGGGACTTGCGTGACAATTGCGGGACGGCAACGCAAATGATAAACGGGACTGAGATAACAGTTGGGGGAAAGTACATGGCACAAGTACCACACAGGTTGGTTTAGTCATCCCGCTTACTTGCCTACAGAACGAACATTGCGCCAGCTACCTTGACTCCACGCAATATGACAAGTTGCAGGTGACCACGCTGGGCCTTTGCACCTCCAGTGTCCGCCACAGCAAGGATAGGGCCTCCTCCCACTGGGCAGCCTTCGCGTGGCCAGCGATCGCTCCTGGGACATTTTTTCTGGGTCGTGCCGAAAAGTGTTCAAAAAAAAACAAGTGCTTGAACATTGGCTTCCCTTGAAACCAACGCCCGTGCCTGTCGCAGCCTGGGGAGGCTCCGCTCGCACAGACGCCCCATTGGACGAAATCGGGGAGAACTCGCAAGAGGCTCGGAAGGGCACCGCGCGGCACATGGCAGCAGGGAAATCCAAGCAATCTTGTATCAACCCGATGCCAACCTCAAGGAAGTTCCCTTTGAATTGGAAAGGTGACGCTTAGAGCCGTTAACAGGGCAAATAGCGGAGGGGGGTCGTTTTGGCGTCACGTACCTAGTTTTGAAACAACCCCCACCCAGTTTTGGCTCAGTGTGGGGTTGTTTCGATTTAGAGAAATCAAACACTCATCCTGCGTGCGTAATTCAGTTGGGGATCAGCCTTGAAGCCAACGCATGCCTTTTTGCCGGCCCGCTCTGTGAATGGCTGCGGCAAGTGACCCAGGAGGCCTGGTCAAGTAAGCGGATCTGAAAGGGACATGCTTGGCCGCTGTTTTTTACATATGTATATATATATATATATATCATGAATCGAAACACATAGGGATGTCAAAGCCACGGACACCCCAGTGTGGTTGGCCATGTTGCGTGCCTCTCGACAAGAACCAGAAAGGTCTTGACTCTTGACACGTCCTAGTCCTAAGTGGTAAGGACTTGAACTATCATCCGAGGGCACTGAAAAAGGCCTGGCAAGGGCAGGAGCTGTTCTCGGGTTGCCCTCCCTGCAGTGGCAATCTGAGGGAACATGGCATTGCCAAAAACGGAATCAACGGAACAAAGCTGAGGCCAGTGCCATCTATGTTCAACCAAACGGACAGATCCGCAGTTGAACCAAACATCGCTGAACATCAAAACCTCACCCTCCTGCCATTCTTCGGATCCGTTTCCTCCACACGACTCCGCGCGCGGATCCGATCGATCCAACTCTGAGGCATCCAGCCGGCAGCACCTGCCATCTGCGGCTTGATGGACCTGAAGGCGAACCAGCCGACCCAGACCTCTAGGTGGCTTCCCTGTACCCTACGAGAGGATTCCGTGCTTTGGGCCTAGAGACCTGGGACAAGGAAGTAAACCCTTTGGTGATCCAGCTCATGTTGTGGGGGTCCGGATCGCTTCACTAAGTATGAATGCGGGGTTGATATTAAATTCAAAGACTTGGCCCAAACGTGCATAAGGAACCCTGCGCCCAAGAAAATGGCATGATTCGCTCTTTGTTTGTGCCATCTACTTTCACCCATGTATGTGTGTTGTCCGTTATACGGGGGTGTGCCCTTGTGTCTTGCAGGGAGCCCCTTCTCCAGTTGTGCTACAAGTGAAGGGAAACCAAAGGCAAACCGAAGCCCCTCTGGAAAACGAATGGCGCATGGAGTAATCGCAGTCTAACAAAATGCCAACCCCATCCTCCCCCACCCAGAAAGCTTTCGAACCCTCTTGGACAGGATTGGACGGGCTTTCAGAACCTTTCGGGGGGTATGGGTACAATTGTTTCTGCTGATCCTGCGCAAAGTCGTAGCATCAATCCGCCCAGCCCCCGCCTGATTCATCTCTAGTCAACGATGGAACCAAACCATTGGCAAACGCCTCTTGTAGCAATTTGTTGCGGAATCTGGTGAGGGCAACTGACATGCCGCCTGCACTGTCGGAGCTTTACATCTTTGCCTTGCAGGCAGGGACGACAGCTCTCCTCCTCTTTCAGGCTGACTCACTTCCATCAGCGGGCGCAAGTGCTTCCCCGCGTGTTGTTCAAGGAAACAATATCTCTTGTCGTTTCCTCTAGGGTTGTTCACATGCCCGAACCTTTTCGGAACCAAATACCCACAAACCGTGCAAGCAAAAACACTTCAGGTCAGTTCGTTTTGGGCAAAAGTTTGCTTCATGTCATGTAGCACCATACATCTGTTTTTTTGAGAGGGGGGAATGGGTCTCGTCCATCCAAAACGGTTGACCAGCATGTGATGCGCCCTTATCCCAAGTCAGTCTGGCACCGTGACAACGGTTCCCTTCCCATAAGCCGCAGGCCGGCAGCGGAGGCGCTTGTTGTCGCAGTAGCTGCCGCAGTCAGAAATGCACCAGGTCTTAGATGCCTGGCCAGGGTTCGTGTGTGGATGGTCTAGCCACCTGGCACGTTGTCGAAACCATTGTTCTTTGTCCAATGGTAACTGACTTGTTTATATGTTCGGAACCACGTTTGATGATTCAGGATCTGCTTCCTAATATAAACATATATAGCTAATAACCATGGCTTTGATTTCAACCTAAGTGGGTTGTTCAAGCAGGTTCTATGTCTCAGCTTTTGCCCCGAAGCATGCTTGAGTTTAGACCACCTGGAAGTGTAAAAGGGGCCATGTGTGCATATCAAGTGATCAGTCATAAGTTGTTTAATCTCCTCTGGGCAGGTGGCAAGGCAATCGCACAACTAGCATCAAGCATCAGTCGAGACAGGAATATATAGAGTGCTCCCTGCAAGCACCACATAGCAACAGGTTTTGAACTGCCGATGGACCAATCCAACTAATTTCTACTGCTTCCGGAATTAGGGAGCAAAATTGTTCAACTCAAGGGGAGGCTCTTGCGCATTGCAACGTTGAACAGCCCCAGCACCGGCCACATGGGAGCGCATTAAAAAGGCAACCACAGGTGATTGGACCATTGCCGGCGGCAAATGGAGGGCTCGCCAATCCAACTACTCGGGGAACGCGTGGTAAATCCCCTGAATCCGAAGGCGAGGATCATGCACGCTGCGTCTTGAACAGCCCGGCTGTAATTCTCATTCAAGCTTGTCAAACTAAAGGGAGACCCAAAATGCGTGGTTCCTTCTGGCCTCCGTTAAAACCAGCCAAAAGTGGAAACAGAGCCACACCCATTTCGCAATGTTTGAACGTTTGAAGCCCTGTGGTCCAACTCCCCAAGAGTCTCGCGGATTCGTGCCTGGCACTCCACGCCAGTCACCACCTGAAGCGGGCCATCCAATGGGAAACCCAAGGGTTTTAAAGGATACATCCAACGAAAATGAACAAATAAACCGATGCCTAGTGACAGGCAGGAATGGGTCGGTCCCGGGATCCCCCATATCCAAATGGGATAAGATTTTGATTGGTGGCACTTTAGAGTACCATCCTCGCAGGTCCCCTAATGTCGCTCCTGAGTTCAAGAGCTTTTGACATTAGTCCCGGAGGGTGTAATTACCTCAAATGGCGGCAACACATGACCCGGGCATTTCCAAAAGTGTGTACATCCCCGAACATCTCTGTGCCAACTGAACCTTTAAGCCCGGGTCGCAAACCCCGTTGGGGCCTGTTGCCCAACATTGCACCAGTTCCGGGGCCCCAGAGGGGGGACCCTTAGCAATGGCCATGAAGCTATGCCAGGTCGCAGTGGCCGGGGTGACCAACCGGAACCGTGTCGGGCGGATTTTCCTGCCTAGTGAAAAATCCCCCCCAAAACAGCCGCCAGGGTCTACATGGGCGATACCCCAGGCGTCCCCCAGACACGTCCCACCTTGCCGTCGGGGCAATCCATTCGCTGCTCCTCCTCACTGAACCAGTCGGTGACCACTGGCTCGCTGCTCATGTCCACCACCCTCGCGGATGGATCCCGGAAATTGCTTGGCCGTGGAAGGGAAGTAACGTTAGGGTCGGGCTAGCATCTTGAACCATGTTGCTGCCATTCTTTAAACAACCTCCTTTTAGCATGGTCTTCCAAATGAGGCCAGTCATTGAGAGGTGCAAAATGTAGGGGCGACCCTGATGTGAAGGAGAAGATGGCTTCTTGGCTTGTGGCAGGGAAACTACCAAACAGAAGCGGGAAAAAGGGTGCCACTGAACACTGGGACTACATGCCCCCAAGGGCGGCCCCAACCATGAACTCTATCCAAACTGGCAAAACAAGCTGGCTTTGCAAGAGCGCCGGCCCAGGCGCAAACGGAAAGCACTTCCAGAAATGGAAGTGAACCCAAGCATGGGGCAGGAAACCACTGGGTTTCCCTTCAAACTCCACGAGTTCCCTGGATGCGGTATATCTCGTGAGCCTCCTGGAAGCAATGCAATGAGAACGCTTGCTGGCGTTTAGAGGCTCGGGTTCTCCCGTTGCCTCTTGCAAAACCACCAGGGTTTAGACTCAAAGGTAGATGCTCTTTGGCGTGAGGTCTCGATCGGAAGAGCACTACACCTCTCGATCGGACAGGCCCCTCAAAGCCGTGGAGCCCAATCCACGGCTTCATGGATGCAACAAGTGGAATTATGATCAGTATTAGTAGCGTTTCACAGTCGCATGCATTTGGCGATCCAACTTTAATAATGGGATGGTTGTTGAACCATGGGCGAATTGACTTCAGGTTTTCAAGTATCGATTGTACTTCCAGAAAAGATGTACTTCCACGTCCTTCCGCTTGCGACAGCTCCCCAAACCTCCAAGAACCATAAGAACAAGGCCAGCCGAATCTATTCCGCACTTTAGGGAGAACCACCCTTCAAAACGAAGAAGGGCACCACAGGTCTGGCGTGTTTGCACGCCAGCGAGGGGCCACTGCAGTGGTTTGCCGCACTCGAAGCGAAGGTTGTCGCAGTACCTCGGAGCAATCAATAATTTCCCACGCAGCCAACCTTTATGCGTAGAAAAAGAGAATCACATCTACATTGACATATGAAAGTTGCACCATTGTTTCAAAAAGGCACCTCCGTGCCATGCAAACTGACGAATCAACATACAGCTGCATCGCGCAGCAATTACTTGTATGATCAGTGCGCGGGGTATGCATGATGTGCATTCATGTTGCGGCAGGTTGGCTGGATATTCAGCAAAGGCTGTCCGATGCACTTGCTTAAGGCTCCTGTTTGGTGCTGCTTGCATTGTACATCGTCTTCCCAACTGCCCAAACGGTCGTAGCGGCTCTCCCAGTCTTCCAAGAATTGGCCATTCCCATCAAAGAAAAAGGGAACCCTTTTGGGCTGATCATTTTGCGTGGAAGCACACTGGGGGTCGATCATATTCGCGGGAAGCACAATCACATCGGAGATGGCGTGCCACTGAACAAACGGGCAGTGATTTCAGAGGGTAAAGAAGCTGGTCATGCTGCTGAGCTTCTTCCCATCGCACTCTCCAAAGCTCACCGCCATTCCGGATGGGCAATCTGCCGCCTGGCTGAAAGATTGTAAGATCTTTGCGCATGAAACCCTAGAGAGCGCCCCTTCAAAAGGAGACCCTTTGAACACTGATATGTGTGTGTGTGTGTTGGGCTGAGTACTTGTTTTCTGCAGGGTTTGGCCCACGCTCTGAGTCAAATCGGCCTGAGTTCGACCCTGTTTTGCCCGTGGCAAGGGACCCTACGCGTGGGACATTTTTCTTTGGGGGGGAAATCCTTGAGGTCGCGCAGGGAAACCAAAAGGGAACCAATATTTTGGTGAACTACCTGGCATTCTTTGTGTGGTTGCATTTGGGTCTTTTTGCAGGTACCCATTTTTGATTTTGTTTGGGCAGCACAAACTCATTCCACATCCAACATTGAAAAAGAAAAAAGAAAAAATAACTTTTGCCCAATTGAGCAGCTCGCCCCCTGGCTTTTGGTTCTACCAACATGGTCATAACGGTTTGCCTGGAGCCTACTAGTACAGTGAAGGGGCCAACTGGCCACTCCCCTAATAGGAACCCTTAGGTACCAGTACCAGGTAAGATGGTTGAAAGATCCTTCAGGGTTCCGTACCCATCCAAAACCATCTGCTTCAGGGGATCTTCTGAATCAGCTGGCATTTGAGGGAACTATTGAACCAAATTTCAGCCAATTTTTGATCACATGTGACCAGCCGCCCCATGTTCGCCTGATCCTCCGCCGCGGTCCCGGAGTTCCAAGGCCAGCGGTGCCCCGAGTTGTCCGAAATCCAGCCGGACTTCCTTGAGCAGATCGTATGCCGAACCCCTCAAGAACCAAACAGCCTCCCAGCATGAGAACAACTTGTGTTGCTCCCAAGGGTGTTTCTAATTATCAAGTGAGGCGTGTTTGCAAGTTTGCGGTATTGAGAGGGGGCTAGAAACAAACATGTACCATTGCTGTTTCAAAGGTGAGTCATCCTTGATTATGGCAGAGCGGGAGCGTTAAACATGGAGAAAAGGGACGAACCCCCCAGTTGCAACCGGTGACACAGAAGGTACACAAGGACCATTTCAAATATTTTTGAGGCGGACCCGTGCTAGAGGGGACCCAAACAACGCCTTCCGCTCCAACTCGCTCCCAGCAAACCGGTTCAACTTTCTGCCGCGCCACTCAACGACGGAGGCATCCACGTGGACGCTCATCTGGACGAGGTTCACATTCTCGCAATACCTTCCGGTGCAGCCCATTCCGGTGGACACCTCAGGCGAAGCATGAAATGAAGCATGGCACAATCGCAGGTGCTTGCACCGCCAGGGCCTGCACAACATTCTCCGCTGCTTCTCCCCGACCATCTGGACAAACCCTGTTCTTTCACAATGGGAGGACATTGCGCACATAAAAGGTTGGCACAGGCACACTTTCTAAAGGCACAAAATAACACCCGGGCGCCCTGACCAGCCGAAATATTTGATACCCTCCATATACAACGTCTCTTGCTGAGAAAGGACTACATTGTTTTCGCTTCTATTGGCTACCTCTGGCTCCGGCAGCCTTGGCAGTACACACCTGAAATTTGACATGCGCAAACAATGTGCAACAACCGCACGAGAGGAGGAACCGTCTCTTGGGGACTGCCTTTTCATAGGGTTCTCCTGCCCAAAGTACAGTAATTCGGAGCAGCTTGGGAGGGTACGAAGGGTTGTGGGGTGAGGCAGCCGCAGGCAGCCCGGCGAATGCAACGCTACCACTGCAGCAGAGCCAGTTGCAACTAGTGACCCGCAAGGCAGACAACTTATGTTGTTTGGGGTTGACTTTTTCGGAGAAGCCGATTTGGAGGTTGCCACTGACCAACTGAGTAGATGCTCAGACCACGACAAGCTGGGTCTTCTTCATCTGCGTGCCGGTGCTTGCCCAGTCCTGAGCAAGGCGCCAAGGTGAACACATGTGAACACTCAACACGCCCAGCCACAACATCCACATGGTCCTTTTTGTTAATATAGCTTACCAACCTGGGAAATGCCGTGCCTGTCCCTCCCCCTGTGGTTTCTTGCGTGCTGACTGACAAGCACCTTGATTCCAAGCGGGCAATGACCAGCATCCCAAGAGTCAACTTTCTGGGAACAAACAAATCATGATCACCGTGGTCAACAAGACAGCATATGGCCATGATCAGCACAATCCGCATTTGAAAGTCAAACATAGTCAAACTCAACTATGTGTCCAAACACGCCGTATCAATCTCAGATTCGACGCGACACAGACCAAACATCAGGCCTACCCCCACATCCAGCTCATCAAACATCAGGCCTACCCGGTTAGACACCCACCAACACCAAAAGATGTTTGTTTTCAATTTGGTGGCAGTTGTTTTTACATTAGTCGTTGGTGTGCCCCCCTCTCCAAACATGATGAGAAACCCGCTGATCCAACACCGAGCCAGCACCATGCGACCTGTTGTTAGCCTGCATGTTTGTGTGTGTGTGTCAAGGGCAACCTGCACTGCGAAACCGCTAGTGGCAAACAAAAACCAGTGCCATCTACTTGCAATGTGTGCGACAATTCAATTCCAAAACGAGGCAAAGGGCCTTCATCGTGGTGAGCTCGTTTTACTCCGGGCGAGCCAAATAAATCTATGCTCTGCCAAACTGACAGGCCATACCTGACAGAAATTGGCTCCATTTTCTTGGTGCTTTATCTTGAAAGCACAAGATCTTTATCCAGTGCGTTTGAATAAGCCCATTAGACCCCCGCCTTGGGCCCCCCGAGAATCCGTGATTTTGAAAGTCGAGGCCTGGGCACTGGAGGCCTGGGCTCTGCCAAGATGCCGAGGTAACGAACTGGATGCAGCGGCCAACGTCTCCGCGGCAAACAGGGGTCACACCCTCAGCCTGCGATGCCGGGCATAGATGGCAATGGCAATATACTCAGGACACCTGGCATCTTACAATGGAATCATATCACTTATAGTGTCTGATGTCCTGCTGTTTCGTCTCTAATATGCATGGGTCAATCACGCGGGTGTCGAGCAACTGTCTGCTATGCTGTCGTTGCTTTAGATGGCGCAAGGCGTTGGGCCCTGAGCATTACAATGCGATTGGCGGCCTCAAGATGAAACTGCCCAAAGTGGAAAGCGAAGGTGAGAAGGCACAATGCGGGCCCCTAAATTGGGCCCGTTGAACCATCCTGTCAAATCAGGGGACACCCAATTTGGGCTGGTTTTATCTTCCATGTCCCGAATTCAGCACTCCCTCAAAAGACGCCCCAGGCTCATTTCGAGAAACGACTCCTTCGGGATTTTGTCTTTGGCAACGGTTCTGTCCGCCTCACCCCGGGCAACGAGCCACGCGAGCCACGCGAGCCGTGAGCCTGGGCGGTGCAAGTGCCACAGGAACCGCCGCAGCCATCGTCCCCGCACTCCAGGCCGAGGACGGAGCATTGGGGCACGCACTCCTAGGGCCCAAGATTTGTCAGGAACCCATGGTCCGGTTTAAAGAGGAAATCCTGCTTATTCCTTCTTAGGGGTTCCATGTTTCCCCAATTCTGGGAAAAACACCTGCCCTCAAAAAATCATGAAACAAAACAACTCCCAGAGAGTGGCCATGGAAAAAAGGGCACCCTCTTTTGGTCGAGCGTAAGCGGAAACCAAAGGTCCGAGTTTTAGTGGGGAGTCTAAGGAACAAGCACTGGCGTCGCTGAACAACTGGTGGAGGTGTCTTTCGGGAGGCAAGAAAAGGTTGGTTTGCCCAAACCAAACTTTAACCCTTGACGCCTCTTTGTTGTTTAGTCACTCTCAAAGGAGAGCTCCTAAAGTAGATAGGTGGAGTGAGTTTAGTTCCTCTGAAGGGGTCAACCCCCCCCCCCCCACACAAAAAAAAGAAAGAAAGAAGGCACCTTCTCGAAACGCAGCACCCATTTTGTCCACCAGCCAATGGCACAAACGACGGTGCTCCTCGCTGGCGCTGTACTTGGCCTTAGGAAGCTGGTTGGTTCACTTTGGAAAACAACGTGCGCAAAGTGGAGGTCCACACACTGTGCCGCACGGAGTGAAAGAACTCACACACTGAGGCAGGATGCAAAGAAATTTATTTGGCTCTTTCCAGGGAGCTAGCTGCTTCCCAAAGTCAGGAATTTTCTCCAGCTGCCCTTTTGATGAACCTTCCACGAAAGAGGGCGAGGAGTCCCAGATTGAGGAAACGCCAGTGCTGGTAGGCGCCGCTTCCCATGTACCGCTGAACCTCCTCTGGAAAAAAAAGGTGGTCACCTCAAGGCCAATAAGAAACTAATCAAAGCTGAGGGAAGGTCCAAATTGAATTCGTAGGTCAAGGTGGGACATGTTGCTGGGTCCCAAGCACCATGCCAGCCGCAAAAATCGTTGAGGCGATGTACTTACTACCAGGGAGGAGCAACCCTGGTCTAAGACTCAGGCATAGCCATTTGGTTTGGACCAATGCAGCTCACTAGCACAGAGGATCTTTCAAAGGTCGACGTTTTGGGACACCAAAATCGAAAACAACAGCTGAAGACAAGGTCGACGGCCGGCTTTGGGCAACTATAAAAGAATTCCAGGGCTCTATCCGGGTCTACCCGTTCATATTGTACAACATGTGTACATGTGTGTCAATGAGTCAACACACACATATTTATATATATATATATATATAATGTACATGTAACGATTTTTCCTCCTATCCAAGGGTCCAAGATGAATGAAGGGTCCAAACCCACAGTGATTCGTTGCCAACGGCAACAGACTAAAGGCGTTCAACCGATTCCCACTTCGTCTTTCCGTTTTCCTTCTCTGTCGGAAATAAAGACCCCGGGCCACGGGCGCTGGCTGTGCGGGTTTGCTGTGCGGGGTGCATAAGCCGCCCCTAGTAGTTACATTTAGAGGGACCCGTTCTCAAAATTACTCTCTGGGACGGGAGCGGGCCTTGAACCTTTAACCCACGATTTGGAGGGAAGATGAAAAGTAATAATTTGAAGGGTTCTGAATCTGGGCCCATGCAACCACCACCAAGGTGAACCTCATTTGGGCAGCCGTTCACGAAGCCGGTAGCCACGCAGCCGCCTTCGATTCTTCGCGTGCAGTAGCACTATTCATTGAATTGCCCGGAGAGGAGAAGCGGCACGGTCCATCTTGTGTCCCCAGAAAAAATCGTTAAGAACCCCCCCCCCATTTTCGTACTGTCGAGTTTGTGTGCCCAATTTCATCTTTTCCTTAGACAGTACATGGGGGGGGTTTGAGGGCACCAATTTGGTGGTTTTAACACCACCCTTGCGGGGGTTTCTGATTCCTAGTCTAAGTCAACGTGCAATAGCCCGTGTTTAAAATCAAGTGCAAAAAACAGGGATGATTTACTTCTACTTTATTTCAGACAACCATCTCGCACACAGGTTTTAACAGGAGCCCCCCCCCCAATCACGTGCGCACCGATTGGGGGGTACAGCGAGATATGGGCCCATGGCTTTCAACAACGGATCTCGTACACATACCGCTTCAGAGCCGCGGTTCCTCTCCCACGAGTGCGCTTCCTTCATGACAATGACACCGCAACGCCGGCTCAGTAGATGGAGAGTAAGATATGAGATGCCAAGCAGGCGCCTGCGGGGTCTCCGGGTCCATTGTTGCGGGAAACATGTCAACCTGGACCGGCCCCGCACATGGCGGCAAAACAACATAGAGCCCGCGGGCCCATGAAGGCCGGTCTTTGTAGCTATACGGCTACGGGGCGTTCCGTTCGAGATGCCCAGCGTCATTGTACACTTGTTTGATCGTTTCTGACAACAACCACTTCTTGAGAATTCGATCTTCCAAAACTGGTGAGTGACACAATTAATCTTTAAAAGATCGACTCTGTTTAGCCGAAAACCTGTCATTCCCACATTTGGATTGTTTTTGGCCGTTTTGCGAGGGATTCTGGTAAAGTCCAGGACGCCGTTTTGCGAAGGATTCTTTCAAAATCCGAACCGCCGTTTTGCGATGGATTCTTTCAAAATCCGAACCGCCGTTTTGCGAAGGACTTTTCTGAAATCCGAAACGACGGTTTGCGAAGGATTCTTCCGAAATCCAAACCGCCGTTTTGCGATGGATTTTTCCGAAATCCGAAACGCCGGTTTGCGAAGGATTCTTTCAAAATCCGAACCGCCGTTTTGCGATGGATTTTTCCGAAATCCGAACCGTCTGTTTGCGAAGGATTCTTTCAAAATCCGAACCGCCGTTTTGCGAAGGATTCTTTCAAAATCCAGCAAGCTGTTTTGCGAAGGATTTGTCCAAAATACAAAATGCCGTTTTGCGATGAATTCTGGTGGGATTCTTCTCAAAATCATGCTGCAGCCTAAGAGTTTAGAACCGAGGCTTCAGTCCTGGGAAGGTACTTTGCAAGACAACGAGCCCACTCTGCAAAAGTGCTAGTCTTCTCAAATCTGAGGTCGGGGATGTTGAGAATTCTTCGCAATTTTTGTGTTTCTTGCCCCAAAATCAAGTTCGGGATTTGCGATGAAACCTGGTGGGAATCATCGCAAAATCTCTTGTATTGCCAGCCCTCCGAAACTGGAAGCCTCAAAAGTGGCAACAGTGGCCCTGGACGAAGCCTGGACTTTGCGATGATTCCCACCAGGTTTCATCGCAAATCCCGAACTTGATTTTGGGGCAAGAAACACAAAAATTGCGAAGAATTCTCAACATCCCCGACCTCAGATTTGAGAAGACTAGCACTTTTGCAGAGTGGGCTCGTTGTCTTGCAAAGTACCTTCCCAGGACTGAAGCCTCGGTTCTAAACTCTTAGGCTGCAGCATGATTTTGAGAAGAATCCCACCAGAATTCATCGCAAAACGGCATTTTGTATTTTGGACAAATCCTTCGCAAAACAGCTTGCTGGATTTTGAAAGAATCCTTCGCAAAACGGCGGTTCGGATTTTGAAAGAATCCTTCGCAAACCGACGGTTCGGATTTCGGAAAAATCCATCGCAAAACGGCGGTTCGGATTTTGAAAGAATCCTTCGCAAACCGGCGTTTCGGATTTCGGAAAAATCCATCGCAAAACGGCGGTTTGGATTTCGGAAGAATCCTTCGCAAACCGTCGTTTCGGATTTCAGAAAAGTCCTTCGCAAAACGGCGGTTCGGATTTTGAAAGAATCCATCGCAAAACGGCGGTTCGGATTTTGAAAGAATTCTTCGCAAACCGGCGTTTCGGATTTCGGAAAAATCCTTCGCAAAACGGTGTTTCGGATTTTGAAAGAATATTTCGCAAACCGGCGTCCTAGTTTTTGAGAGAACCCTTCGCAAACCGGCGTCCTGGTTTTTGAGAGAACCCTTCGCAAAACGGCGTCCTGGACTTTACCAGAATCCCTCGCAAAACGGCCAATAACAATCCAAATGGGGGAATGACAGGTTTTCGGCTAAACAGAGTCGTTTTTTACAGATTAATTGTGTCACTCACCAGTTTTGTTGTCAGAATCGATCAGACAAGTGTACAATGACGCTGGGTATCTCGAAATCTCTTGAACGGAACGCCCCGTAGCCGTATAGCTACAAAGACCCGACTCCAGGTTGACGTGTCTCCCGCAACAATGGACCCGGAGACCCCACAGGCGCCTGCTTGGCATCTCATATCTTACTCTCCATCTACTGAGCCGGCGTTGCGGTTTCATGAAGGAGGAGGCGCACTCGTGGGAGAGAAACCGCGGCTCTGAAGCGGTATTTGTACGAGATCCGTTGTTGAAAGCCATGGGCCAATATCTCGCTGTACCCCCCAATCGGTGCGCACGTGATTGGGGGGGGGGCCTCCTTTTAAAACCTGTGTGCGAGATGGTTGTCTGAAATAAAGTAGAAGTAAATCATCCCTGTTTTTTGCAATTTTGATTTGAAACACGGGCTATTGCACGTTGACTTAGACTAGGAATCAGAAACCCCCGCAAGTGGTGTTGAAACCACCAAATTGGTGCCCTCAACCCCCCTCCCCCCATGTACTGTCATCTAAGGAAAAGATTAAATTGGGCACACAAACTCGACAGTACGAAAATGGGGGGGGGGGAGTTCTTAACGAATTTTTATTGGGACACAAGATGGACCGTGCCGCTTCTCCTCTCCAGGCAATTCAATGAATAGTGCTACTGCGCGCGAAGAATCGAAGGCGGCTGCGTGGCTACCGGCTTCGTGAACGGCTGCCCAAGTGATGTTCACCTTGGTGGTGGTTGCATGGGCCCGGATTCAGAACCCTTCAAATTATTACTTTTCATCTTCCCTCCAAATCGTGGGTTAAAGGTTCAAGGCCCTCTCCCGTCCCAGAGAGTAATTTGAGAACGGGTCCCACCCGCACAGCCAGCTCCCGCGGCCCGGGGTCTTTATTTCCGACAGAGAAGGAAAACGGAAAGACGAAGTGGGAATCGGTTGAACGCCTTTAGTCTGTTGCCGTTGGCAACGAATCACTGTGGGTTTGGACCCTTCATTCATCTTGTACCCTTGGATAGGAGGAAAAATCGTTATGTGTAGATGTAGATATGCTCCATATGAAGTTAAATCCGCAAATCTGGACAGCTGCGATCTGAACTGGCCAATGCTTGGAACATCTAGGGCGCATCAAGAAAAAGGCAAGTGCCCACAGACTTTGAGGCAGCAGGCGCAAACCAGCTTCTTGTTGGCGCACTGTGCCCCGCCGCAATAGACTCCTTGGCCAGCAAAGCTCCAAGATTCTCTGGGGAAGCAGTCACTTGTGACACAGCGCAATAGGGATCCGGCCCACCACTACATCCTCACCGTAGCACCAGCTGTCCTGTCGCGTCAGCCATCTGCAACAGGTCACGCCCACATGCCAAAGCCCCAACAGTAAGTTTGCAAAACATGCCCTCGGTTTGGGACACCTTGAGAGGCGGACACTCACATTTCGAACATGACCCCGCGTGGCGTGGGAGTGCCAGGGGTGATGGTCTCCTGCGTGGCATGGAGCTGGGCAGGAAACCACGCCATCTCCGTGACATCTGCGCTCACGCGGCCTGGCATGCGTCGCTCTGCGAGCTTTGCTTGGGCCGCACAAAGCCACCCCACCAAAACTTACCACCGAATCAGCGACAGCAGGTGGCTGCCGGAAACCTGTGTGGGGGGGGGGGGGAACAATTTGTTATATGTTGATTTTCACAGGGTGTCACATTTTGGGGCAATTAGGCCTTCGCCGATTTGGAGAAACAGCCTCCCTTGCAAAGACTCCAACCTCTAAAACACTCCCGCCCCGCCTTTCTTGGGCGTCGCACAGTGCAGCTCGATTTTGCTACAGGAGGTGCCGACACAAATCACCTGGCGCTCGGCAGCGAACGGGTGTGTCAAAACACGGGGTCTGCGGAAATGGGTTTTGCCTTGACTGCCTTCTAAACAAAACCCAGAAAGGGCCCCCTCAAAAACAGCACCTACAAATATTCACCCACGGTGTTCTGCCCGCAGCCAAACAGCAAGCTGTGGACAATCCAGGTTGGTGGACGAGCTGCCACGTCGCGCCTGCGTCGCCACCTGTCCGGATTGGCAAATGAGGTCACCCACATCTGCCTCCAGCTGCTGAACAGTGACCTTGGCCGCCGAAAGCCCAAGAAATACCGTCAACCCTGGATTCAACCCGGCAAACCTCCCATCGCTCAACCGATGCAACGCAGCTATTTGGCTGGCATGGTTGGGATGTTGCTTGCACGGGAGCGAGCTCTAGTCAAGGATCCTGAGGAACAGTGCTGACAAGGGTGTTCTAATCCACATTGCAGCTTGTCTGACGTGCACACCCCCCTGGCCACGCAAGAATGTTTGACACACCCCTGGCACAGCCGTGGTTTCGCTGGTTGACAATGTTGACAACTGCGTGCACAACATGCATTTCACCAAGCAAAATCCAGGGATCCCTGAGAAAGGAGAAAACAAATGCGACAGCAAATCCGTGGTTATCACCAAGCTTAAGCACACAATGTAGGCACGTAGGCACTTCATGGCACATCAAGAACACACAAAACAAACGACACAACGCTTGTGCCCCGTCTTCACTTAGCAGGGACAAAAAGAATTGACGGTAGCAGCACAGGCCTCGTACCAAGAGGATTAGTTTCCATTCAGTCGCCTTCTCCCCGCTAGGTAAAACTTTTCCAGGCTCTGAAAGCAGGGTATCTTTGCTTGCAGATGGGCCAAAATAGGCTGACCCAATGAAAATGGCTGTTCAAACACGGGCAGGCAACGTGTTGGCCCTCGCAGAAGCAAACACCTGGCCCCAAACCAGGCCTTGTTTAAAATAAAGGGATTGGCTAATCTGAACCCCCAGTCCGAAATGGAGATAGATTACGGAGCCCTCTGGCAACCTCAAAAATCAAGTCTTGCAAAGATTGATTTGAACGGCCCTTCCAAAAGAAAAAGCCAACTGCATGGAAGACTTGGGCATGATCCTAAGCCTTACCTTTTGTCCTGTACTCAAAACAAAAATGTATGAGGAAGGGTCGTCACTCGAGATTTCGATTCATCCACTTGACAGCCACAGTGTTCAGAAAAAAATGATCCTACATTATGTATATATCTACACCTATGAAAATTCATTCTATACGTATGTATATGATGTATATTATATATATATATATTATACACTTTCCAAACTGCCAAACCCCACAGCCCCTGCCGCCCCTGTGCACCTTTCATGGGTGACCTCACCCGAGCTCGTTACCCCCCGAAGGGCCCCGCTGGCCCCACCCGACAAGCTGCCACTTGCGTGTCCAGCTCCACGTCTGCTCGGTGGCCAAGCCTGGCACCCATGTAGCAGCGCGACGTGCAAAAGCCAAAGGACCAAGCAGAAAGCACCGCATGAGGCGTTACGAAAGTGCGAAAAGCAACCACCCAAATGTGAAAAAAGTTCAAACCGGAGAAAGAACACTTGCCACTGTGGGACACCTATGCATGGGCATGCTCCCAAAAACAGACACGGAAGGTGACATCGAACGCTATGCCTCCTCAGGTTCTGAATCGTCCTGAGGGGCAAATGGGGTCCCTTGCCCTCTCTTGCAGAGACTTTTCAAGCACCGGAGACTGGCACCAATTTAGCCCAAGTGGTGATGCTTAAGATCACGCAACATGGGATATCTGGGTTACCCAGTCCACGGGAAAACTGTTTGTCCAAACACCTTCCATTGCGCGAGGCCCAGCCGTATAGGTTTGCTCACATGCATGAAACCAACGCATTGCCACCAGGATGAATAAGCCAAAACAAGCTGTGGCAGCGCAAATCTGGGTGTCTGCAGTCTGAAGCACGTCAATTTAACCTGCGGAGCTATAGCCTGTTGCCCTGATCCGTGCCAGCCAGCTGAAAGGGCTTGTTCTCCACCAGGTGACGCAGAACCATAAAGAAAGTTGCAGAGGTCATCCACGTACTGTAGCCCTCATGTACGAAAATCGATGGCACTGGTAGATGCTGAAATGTATGCTCAATCGAATTGACCTCCAAAAATCAACCCCACTCCCATTCGCCCACGGGCCTCACACTCCCGCAGAACTGGCCCATGCAACCCACGCCGGTGATGGCGGTGGAGGTGGGATTTGCCCGGGAAGAGGTTTCGTCGGTAAAGTATGCGGACCTCAAGGCTGACTGGGGAAGCTGGGCGAATTTTTTGGTGAAATATCTGGAGACAAAGAAGATCCTTCCCCCTGTTAGTTTCTTTCAGACATCGCACAAGTAGCACCTAAAGGGCGATCCCCAAAACAACGCGACAAAGGGCAGCAGGTTGACACAACTGGCATGCCCCTTTTGGAAAGGGAGCGCAAAATGAAGGTCAACAAAAGCGGGGACACATTTCTTGACAACCGGACCGTTGACAATTGGAGAAGGGGACCTCTAAAGGTGCGCAACCTGCTGAAAATAAGAAGCTCACGGTGTACTGTCCGCAAAGGTCAATGGCCTACGTGGAGGGGTCCCTAAGCCTTCCGTTGTTTGGATTGGCTTCAGGACTTGAACTGTGAAAACACGAGAGGCACCTAGTCACCCCAACCACCAAACCACCAACCCAAGCCAAACAGTTGTAGCAAGCTGAACTTCTGTGCCAGCAACCTTCCTGCAGGGTACGGTGTTCAATGGGGAAAAGCGGCTGTTCCTGGAAGCTATGTGGGTGCTTTGAAATATCAACTTCCTTGTTACAAGAGACCCCCCCCTGCGACGAGTGGTGCTTTTCTCCACAAAGGGGGCTTGAACAAATCAAAGGGTTCTTCCCCTTTATGCAGGCCTTTTGTACTTGTATGACGCTCCTTGATTTTTTGGCGCTGCAAACAATCCTGTCCTGACTGCGTGGAAACCTTCATCATTCAGCCTTTCATTCAAATACACGTTCAGGCTTACACTCGGCCCAAAACAAAGAAGCTCCCACAGCGACAAACATAGTTGCACAATGCTGCCTGACGCGGAGTGGGAGGGCAAAGTTCTGTCTTTTCAGGGCCTTCAGTCCATTCAGGCCGGCCAGGTTGCAGAAAGGGGGAAGCTCAAACTGCGCAAATGCCATTCCCCGTTCCAATTGAAAAAAAATGCCCAAGCGTGGACTGTGGAATGAGCCTTGCGCAAGCAGGAACCTTGTCCTAAAACAGCCACGTCATGTAAGCCGCCATGTTTCTGCGCGCCGTGGACCTTGCGTTTTACTGGCCCGGTGTCTAGGGGAAACGGCTTGTTGTCGGCAGGCTAATTCTGAAGGGAAGTCAACCCAGAACGAGGTTTGACGTGCCTTTTTCTAAGGTATCAAGTCCAGAATCGGACGTACAATGGTGGGGTGCGTCTTTGGAACCTCTCTCCTGTTGGTGTCCCAGGGAAATAAACAACTATCGGCCATTTATCCCCGAATTCAGCATGCGTCAACAAATAGATCCTTGCAAGTGCCATTAAATGGGTCGATCAAAGATGAACGGATAGTCAATTCTCAATGAAAAGGGAGGGCTTCTCCTTCCAAACAGGGCCAACTGGGAAACATGTTTAAACCCTTCCAAGCCTTCTTCACCCTTGCCCCTTTTGCCCTGTGTAACCCTCCACCCTTTTTTTTTCACCCCCCCCCCCCCTCCCCAGACCAAAAGCCCGCCAACCAGGGCTGGTCCTTGGTCCCGGGCCATGCCCCGCCGGGGTTCTCACCAGTGGTGGTGGTGGTGGTGCTGGGCTCGTCAGCCACGGGGTCTGCAATGGCCGTGACCTCAGCGATTTGACATAACCCAAAACGAAAGCGAACCCACTAGTGTTGGTCCACGTTGGGGGCAATCAACAAATGGCACCCTGTCTCTGATTATGTTAAAACCACAAAAAATGGAAATGAACATGGTTTAGGCTCCGCTTCCAGTTCCTTTTGAACATCTTGCCCAGAGCTTCGAATGTGACGCATTGAGCCAAGGTCCATTGAACCGCAGTTGCTCAAGGGAACCCTTTCTTGATCCATCGTCTTTAGCGGGAAATTCACTATAGAACTAATGAAACAGTTGTGGAAATTGAATGCCACAGTCCAAGCTGTATGCCCATTGCCTGGTCCCCAACATGCCTCTTCCCCCTTTTTCCCCTTGCCCCAGAGCCAACAAACATGGGCAGGGCGTCAGCTTCCATGCCTCAAGGACGCTAAATCTTCCAGCGCGAACAGCACACAACAGCACTCAGCAAAGTGACATCTCTGGAATCTTTCTTCGGAAAGCCCTCCTTCGGCTTACCCAGAAGGTCTGGCTAGAGTTGACCCGGCCGGACTTTGCATCCTCTGGCCTTTCCCTTGCAGAAAGGGCAGGAAATGGATGTGCTTCCCTGCCGGGCTCACTGCCATTGACGTTTCATTCCTCCACCCTCCCCAAAAAGCATAGATGCTGACGGCGGGTGAAGCGTTTCCTGCAGATGGACAGGAAACCTTGTACGGGATTCTTTGACGGACCTCTGCTTGGTTTCCTTCACCATTAAACTTGGTGCATCCAACGTACCACCTGCCCAAGCGGAATGAATGCCACCCAAGCCCATTGGACCCATCAAAATGGCATCCTGAAAGCCACCTCTAAATTGCGGTGCAAAAACCCAGAAGGAACTTTGAGAAACGCACATGCGACTGCTGTGTATTTCCCTCGCTTGGCTCTGACCTTTCTTGAACCGGGGAACCGGGGGGGCGACTTGCCATCGGAAGGCCGCGCCTCAACGACGGCGCCCGTGCTCACGCCCGACACCACGAGCCCCGTGTTCAGTCCCGCGGCCATGTCTGTAGTGGATATCGCCTACGCAGTCAAACGACCCGAAACCCAAGGGACCGGGTCCAAAATAGCTTGACTCAAAAGAACACGTTTTTTTTGGGCCTCCACGTCAACTTGCAGCTTACAAGCGCATCGTCTGAATCGGATGATAAAGGTGTTTGTATTTGGTTTACTGACCCGAATGTATTCATTAAAGGACCCAGCGAATGTTTGTTGGTTTTGTTTGGGGGGCTTCGTTTGGCCATGTCCCTCGAATAAGCTTCTTGGTCACATGGATGGGTTTGGCCGTATTCGATGTCTGTCTCCAGGTGAGTATTCATTCGCTTCCTGATTCCAACTCAGAGTTCGAGCGCCAATGTCATCCATCGAACGAAGTCAACCCTCAACCGATTGGGACCGGCATGAGCCAGTTGTTGGGCGCAGGCTGCCCTTTCCAACTTTTGCTGGGGATAGACTGGAATACCTCCAAACCCGATCCTTATCATATGGTGCGCCCATTTGATTGTCTAAGCCCACGTGAAATGGACAACAAACGCAGCTATCGGTTACCCCCAACCGAAACGACTTCAACAAATAGCGACAACGCAGTGCTTCTGCATAAGGCGGGTGCAAATCACAACCCCGCATGTTCAAATCATCTGGGCAAACTCTACTGTAGTTCACAAACAGGTCAGGCATCCTTCACCGCCGATTTCGTTGCAACCCCACAGGCGAGCTCATTCTAATTTGCCCAAACTCATGCGTATGTCTCTGTGGGTTGAGTGGGCCAAGGCCCTTAGGAGTTGCTCCTTGCTAAGTTCGATGCGCCTGCTCCACAGGATGCAACACGCTGGGGCACATGTAGGATTTGGTGCAAAGAAAGATGCATAGTTGTGGCTCTTCCCGCATGATGTGGCGTGGTGCTCCGAAGAAGCAAAGGTGAAACAAGCATTTGCTTTTTTACCTAAGGAACAACCTGCTGAGGACTACTGTGGCCCAAACATATATATATATATTAGCAACTGAGCCGCCGGCCAGGCCAAAATCGACTATCAAGTTATTGACATTGACAGACTAGTGAGACATGTTTCCAAAGTTTCCAACAGGGACCCAATGGAGGCGATTGAAACTGCTTCATACCAATTCCTTTAGGCCAGCCAGTTGCCTTTCACCAGGCAACAATTGCCCTGCGCGCATTCTAGCATCAAATTTGATTCCACAGGTCTGGCTGCGGACGCGTGCTCTAGCGCGAGGAACTCGGTTGGGCGGCTCAAAACAAAGGGCCAATTTAGGACCCCAGTGCCTCCTTGATGCCCCGTGTAGGGGATGGGGTCACAACCGGGGGCCAAAAAGACATCCTGTTGAACAACCCTCTGAGGGAGATGAGCAAACCGTCTGCAAGCAAACACCCCAAGATGTTCCAAGGTGTCCTCCGCTGATAGACGAGAGAAAGAGAACTCTAGAAATGCCTAGATTTCTAATAAAAGGCAAGAAATAGATAGGTAAGGGAAAGTGATCAAGCCTCACCAAGAATCTTCACTATCTTTCGATTGAACAAATCCACCAAAATAGCCTGTAAATAAACTATAAATATCATATGAGTTCTCATTAAAAAAATAAACGGATACTAATAAAACCAGAGTAAAATAACATGACAGAAATATTAGTAAAGAAGAAAGATAATGTGAGCGAGATAGCCATCAGGATTAACTATTGGTTGTTACAATAGACAACTTCTACATGAGCTTCCGTCCTTTCATTCTCCACCACAAAGGGGAAAGGGGTCCCGTATTTCATTGCTGTATTTGCCTGGGCGTACAAGGAATAAGCAACGAACTGGTCATACATAATCTGCATCTTGTTTAAAAACAAAGGATCCCAATGTAGAGGACCTTCATCATGGCAGCTCGTCTTACTTCCAAAGGTCGAAGCCAGGCAGACTGGGCGTGAGCCCTTGCTTGTGGAAGCTCAAACACAAATGGCAACAAGCACCTCACGTCAGGGCCCCTTTCCAGACCACTTCTTGAGAATGTGAGAAAGCTTGGAAAAAAAGGCCGGCCTTTTAGGAGCCTTAACTAAGAACGGATTGCAAAACGGCCAAACGGTCAGGTCGGCTTTGGACCATCGATCGGCAACTCAACCTCCAGTCCTTGGGTTGTTCCCCCCCTCTGCCTTGATTCTGGCCACCATCTCTGCAGGTGTGGAAGCGCCCGACGATGTGAAGGTGATGATGTAAGAAAGCGTGGCCTTGTCATTTGCCAAGCTGTCGGTGAAAGGCAATCTTGGAAGGCTGCTGCAACAACAACAACAACAACAACAACAACAACAACAACGACAACGACAACGACAACGACAACGACAACGACAACAACAACGACAAACACAACCACAACCACAACCAAAACCACAACCACAACAGCAACAGCAACAGCAACCAACAACCAACAACCAATAACGAAGAACCAAGAAGCAACAACCAACACACACACACAACAAACAACAAACAACAAACAACAAAAACAACACACAACAAACAACAAACAACAAACAACAAACACCACACAACAAACAACAACCAACAACCAACAACCAACAGCCAACAGCCAATAGCCAACAACCAACAACCCACAGCCAACAGCCAACAACCAACAACCAACGACCACAACCACAACCACAACCACAACCACAACGACAACGACAACGACAACGACGACGACAACAACGACAACACCAACAACAACAACAAACAACCACCACCACCACCACCACCAACAGCAGCAGCAGCAGCAGCAGCAAAAAAAATTAAACACACAACAAACAAACAATCAAACAAACAAGCAAACGAACGAACGAACGAACAAACGAACAAACACACAAACAAACAAACAAACAAACAAACAAACACATACATACATACATACATACATTCATACATACATACATACATACATACATTACATACATACATACATACATACATACATACATACATACATACATACATACATACATACATACATACATACATACATTACATTACATTACATTACATTACATTACATTACATACATACATACATACATACATACATACATACATACATACATACATACATACATTACATACATACATACATACATACATACATACATACATACATACATACATACATACATACATACATACATACATACATACATACATACATACATACATACATACATACATACATACATACATACATACATACATACATACATACATACATACATACATATACATACATACATACATACATACATACATACATACATACATACATACATACATACATACATACATACATACATACATACATACATACATACATACATACATACATACATACATACATACATACATACATACATACATACATACATACATACATACATACATACATACATACATACATACATACATACATACATACATACATACATACATACATACATACATACATACATACATACATACATACATACATACATACATACATACATACATACATACATACATTACATACATACATACATACATATACATACATACATACATACATACATACATACATACATACATACATACATACATACATACATACATACATACATACATACATACATACATACATACATACATACATACATACATACATACATACATACATACATACATACATACATACATACATACATACATACATACATACATACATACATTACATACATACATACATACATACATACATACATACATACATTACATACATACATACATACATACATACATACATACATACATTACATACATACATACATACATACATACATACATACATACATACATACATACATACATACATACATACATACATACATACATACATTACACATACATACATACATACATACATACATACATACATACATACATACATACATACATACATACATACATACATACATACATACATACATTACATACATACATACATACATACATACATACATACATACATACATACATACATACATACATACATACATACATACATACATACATACATACATACATACATACATACATACATACATACATACATACATACATACATACATACATACATACATACATACATACATACATACATACATACATACATACATACATACATACATACATACATACATACATACATTACATACATTACATACATACATACATACATACATACATACATACATACATACATACATACATACATACATACATACATACATACATACATACATACATACATACATACATACATACATACATACATACATACATACATACATACATACATACATACATACATACATACATACATACATACATTACATTACATTACATTACATACATACATTACATTACATTACATTACATTACATACATACATTACATTACATACATACATACATACATTACATTACATACATACATACATACATACATTACATACATACATACATACATACATACATACATACATACATACATACATACATACATACATTACATACATACATACATACATACATACATACATACATACATACATACATACATACATACATACATACATACATACATACATACATACATACATACATACATACATACATACATACATACATACATACATACATACATTACATACATACATACATACATACATACATACATACATACATACATACATACATACATACATACATACATACATACATACATACATACATACATACATACATACATACATACATACATACATACATACATACATACATACATACATACATACATACATACATACATACATACATACATACATACATACATACATACATACATACATACATACATACATACATACATACATACATACATACATACATACATACATACATACATACATACATACATACATACATACATACATACATACATACATACATACATACATACATACATACATACATACATACATACATACATACATACATACATACATACATACATACATACATACATACATACATACATACATACATACATACATACATACATACATACATACATACATACATACATACATACATACATACATACATACATACATACATACATACATAAAGAACAGCAGCAGCAGCACCAGCTGCAGCAGCAACAACAACAACAACAACAACAAGAAGATGTGAATTACCAAACCCCACAGTTCCTCAGTACGTTATCGGAAACTGGGCGCGGCTGTGAACGTGACCTAGATCAAAACAGCTGACAGTGGATCTAATGCGAGGAACCTCCGCCAGGCGCCGGCCCGCGGCAAGGCGCCGGGCACAGCTGGAGACCTGCGGTGTGTCTTGAAAGGGAAACAGTCCAGTGATGGTTTCTGGGAGCCGGGGTTGGGATTCCAGTTATATTTATCCATACTATTTTTTTGTTTTAATTTATCTCACTGAAATGAGTTTCCCAAAACTCCCGCGGGTTCCCTTTGCTTTTCACTTTGAAGGCCAACAAAGGGTACCATCCAACAAACACTCACAAGGGGTCCTCCAAGAAAGGGCCCCAATGAACCTCAGTGGCTTCTTGATCCCCCCGTTTAGAGGATGGGTTCACAACAGGGGCCCAAAATAGGCATCGTCCGTTTGGACAACCAGTGGAGATTAAAAAACAAACAAACAATCAAACAACGTGATAAGCCAACTAGCCAACTGGTTGCCTCCGTCTGCAAGCCAACACCCCCAAAATATCTCAAGGTGTCGTCCGAAAATGCTGCGGGTGGCTTAGTCAATTCGGATTCCTGGAGACATCCCTGACCGGGGGGGTTCAGTATCTGCTTGGTCTTGCCATGTAGCAAGTGGATCTGAGTTGTAAAGTTGTGCGCAATCTGCATGTTTCTTTAAAATAATCCAATTCACGGAGGTAGTAGTGGTTTCCGGTGTACTCACCCATTTCCTTTTCATGCAATCATACGAGGGTGCAGCTAAATAGAGGTTCGGGACACATCTCAAAAGCATTACATCCCCTTTCGGCTGTCTTTAGGTCCGAAAGTAACAACATCCCTGGCTATTCCGGAAATTGAGCCCCTTTGGTTGCATTGTGAGACAACTTTCTTTACACCAATGCGCTCCTTCGCTCCCAAACACTGCAGGGACCCTATTTTTCCCCCTACCCCGTTTTTTGGGCCCAAAAACCAGCAGAAGAAAACCGGTAAAACACCGAGCTTGGGTAGCCCCCCCCAAGCAACCCCTCCTCCATGGAGGCAGAGTCGGAGAGTGACATGCTCAAGGCCAGGGCCAAGCCGTTTTTCAGGCCTCAGGCTCGCCGCCGGAAATCTTGAAACCACACAGGGGCCACAGGAAATACTATCCGACATGAAAATCATGCAGCCGTTGATGAGGCCCACGCAAACCCAATCTTGCGACGCTAAATTCTCTTTCGGGATGTACAGTGGGTGGGAAGCTAGGGCAGCTGCGTAGCCACATTGACAGCTCAATTTGGTTGCCAAAAAGGGCCAAAAGGATCGAAAAGTCGAATTCGGGCCCACCTTTCGGAACCGAACCTTGTGAACACAAAAATGGCGCAGCCCCTCAAGTAGAAACAAATACGCAAGTTGAAGTTCGTCTTGCATGCCAGTGCTGATGAGGATCTCGCCGTACTCCATATATCTGGCGCTCCCCACTGCGGCACAATCGTACTGCCACTTGTTCAACCACCAAGGTGGCCATTTGTCACCATGACAAAACGCAGTCTCAAGTTGAAACTGGAACCATGGGTGAGCTCTGGATATTGCCCCAAGTCATCTTGCCATGAAGGCAGTGCTTTCATAATGCAGCCACGTGGGCGGTTGTCACGCATGTGCACCCCTTGTTGTTTTTGCCTGAGGCAAATGTGTGGAGTGTCCCGCAAACGTGCCACATAACATGACATGTCCGAATCTGCCATCGGCCCCTGACGGCGCCAGGGAGATGGTAAATCCACAGCACTCCCCAACGATAGATTGGCCTGTGAGGTCCCGGCCTCAATGTGGAATCCGAAACGTGAAGTCCCCGAAAAAAACCTCTTGACAAATGAGCAGCGCTATGCAACGCTCAAACACATTGACGTTGGGAGCCCTACCAAGATGGACAAAAGGTGTAGACAGGCCTGAACTACTACGAATCCCATCAAGCCATGTAGAATCCTCCGATGAAATTGCTAAAACCCCAAGGTGCTGGGCGGCCAGGCTGATTGCCCCCCCCAAATCAGCCTGAGGCGCCCGTGATGCCGTCGGCGCCCGAAAGCAAAGAGCAGTCGGAGACTGTGACGGTCATCTGCCCGGACACCGTGGCGCCGGTGATGCCTCGCAAGCAGCGTGCCACTTTTGAACCCTAAGGTTAATGACACCAAAGCTCCCATGTCTGCTTGCCTCATGAGAAAGAACACCCTCCGTGTTTCGTTTTGGGGTGCAGCCCAAAGGGCACAAAGGCATCCCAAAAAGTTACTCCAGACTCTTGGAAGCTAGTCTTACTGCTCGGCCTTCCGGGCAAAACCTGCGCACGAGAACCCAGGACTGCCCAAAAATGGTCACAAAAAATGCCGCCGTCGGCGTTAGCATTCACAGTAGGCAATCATCTCCAATGCGTTTTCTTCGTGGTCCACCGGGGGGGAGGGGGGGGCGCTCTCTGAAAGCAAACGCAGCTGGCCTGCAGTTGTAGTCGTGGTGGCTTCTGCAGTGGTGGCTGCTGTAGTGGTTGTGGTGGGCGCTGCAGTAGTGGGCGAACCCGTCTCGGCGCATGGGGTCAGCGTTCCACTCGATTGGCCTCGGAGCGCAATTGTCCCCCCAAGCAGGGTGAAGTTGCTCGCTTGTAGCTCAGCGAGTCAAGAGTCGGTTGCAAACCAACTGGCATGCCAAGCATGACCCGTTGATGCACATCATGTGTTGAATACCGTTGATGCCGTGCATATACCCTGGCAAAAGTATGTATGACTAGTTCATCAATGCAACTGACACTTGACACTCCATGCAGCAGCCCACAGTGCCGTGAACAATCGGACATGTCTGCCTCACTGAGCACCTACACGTTCAGCTTGATCGAGTCATGCATTAATGTTGAGCTGTGCCTTCACTTCGCAACGCTGGAAACGCCTTGCACGAGCCGGGGCTCGGTGACTGAGCAATGATTCCACACGGTGCAAGCCAGGGAGCTTTCGCTGTCCAGGCGCTTGCAAAGCCTTGGCCGAAGCAAAATCATTATTATCAGCCACGGCTGCCAGCGCTGCCGGTGGCCGTTGGTGTCAAAACCTGTTGGACATGCACGTGCCACATGATCGGTTTCATGTTGGTTCCCTTTCAAACTAGTCTCCGAGCAGTGTGGTTTTGGTCGTTTGGGCTTGTTTGTCATGCGCTGATTCGTCATTTTGTTTGCATCGACAATTGCCGGCTACCAGCGCAACCTTATCCCGATGCATTGCCCAGCTCCAGCAATCAGTCCCAGCAATCAGTCCCAGTGAGGCATTAATCTCATATTCTATGTCCGCGTGTAAAGCGGCACCTTTACAAGTTGTCCATCTTTCTTCATGATTACAGCCAAATAAAGCGCAGCTGTTAATTGCATCCCCGCCTCATTTCGCCGAATCATCCAAGGTCCGTTTTAACAAAGCCCCGCGAAACGCCCACAGGGCTTCAAGAAAAGGACGCATTCAAAAGCCACACGGAACCTCTAAATCCGCCAGGACAATGGTGACAACAGCATTGCCTTGCCAAAGGTGGCCACAGGGGGGAGTAGTGGCATCATTCCGATTATCCGATTGCGAATCTAATTAATCCACTAATGCGGCATGAACATGGCCATGTCAAGAGATTGTGATTAAGCAAGCCCTGGTTACTCTGCGTCAACCTTTTGGTTTTCATTCAGGGAGATGCGAGATTTCTGGGCTCCAACGCATCTACCTGCAGCTGAAGCACAAGACCTCCACCGTGTCACTGGCTTGGTTGTAGGTGCCCTTCACCTTGGCGCTACCCGCTTGCCCGAGACAAATGACTAGGCTGATGCCCCCGGTCCCCGGTCCCGGGTGAGGCTCAAGTGGCTCGAGTGTTCCTCGAGCGCGGGGGTTTCGCTGTGCAGCTTTTTGCCCGGCCGATGTCTTCTCTGTGCTGGACACCAAATGGGAATGGGATGAAATGACACAGTGGGGTAGGCATAAAATCCCATGAATGGCAGGGATACCATCATTGAACAGCGGCAGTGTCCCCCGGAGGAAAAAACAAGCACAAAAAAACACTGGCCATCACTGGCCGATTAATTGGGGAGTGTTGTCCTAAAAGCGAAAGACGCCTCTAAAACAGGATGCCCCATATGAGTCAACCAGGTCTGGTCGTATTCTCAGCAAGCATGGGCCAGAGTGTGGCACTTGAGAACCGACAAAAAGAAAATCCCGTGCCGTATACGATAGTATCCAAATCCCTAAAAGCTCCTCGAAGGTTCCCTTAAACAAACGAAACGCCGTCCAAAAGGGGGTGCCCGTGTGCCCCAATCGATGTCTTCTTTTCTTTTGTGGTGAGGGGGGGTGCCATGAGGTTTCTATCCGCTTCCGGATTTTCCGCCCACACAAAAGTGGCATGTCCGTTGCCTTCGGGCTCTGAAACCCAAGTTCCATGCACGACGTGTGGGACCTCCAATCCCGGCTTGAGAGGCCGACGGTGAGCTTGAGGTCCGTCTCAATTCGGTTGCCCGACCTGGGCCGAGGGACCTTGATCTTGCTTCTGGGTGACGTGTTTATGGTGTTTATTGGATTGCACACCCTTGTTTTGGGCGTGGTTGTTTTCTGCGGGGTACGTTTTTTGTTTGGGTATGTTTGTTGTATGTAGGGTACCCATTGTTGGGTGGCTCTAAAGGGGATCCAAGATGCAGAGGCTAAAACCCTGTGGCAAGCAGCTGTGCCTCTTTGGCAAAACACAAGCAAAGCATAGCAAAGCAAATCCCTTTAAAACCGCAGATAAGGGCGGCCCTCAAAAAACGACACACGCACATAGAGTACAGCACAAGAGCTTGCATGGGAGATAATGCAGCCATTGCGGCAGGGCAGCAGGAAGCACTGGAAGGCCTTCCAAATAAATGTTTACTGGTAGCGCTTCCCAAAAGGTGTCACACAAGTGGGGCTTCGCATGCAACTTCCCGCGACTGGGTTCGCGATTTTTAGGAGTCAATGCGCTTGGAGTGTCAATGGCCTGGAAAGGCCACTTTGTTCCCCTTTGTATTGCAACAGGAGCATGCATTTGTTGTCCCACGCTGGAAAAGTAATAGATGTTGGCTTCTTTGGGGTGGCCTTGCCCTTCGGGAAAGTTGCCTTAACGGTCTACCTGTGAAGCCTTGGGCTGCAGCCGGTCCGTGTCCTGGACCAGGATGGTGGAGCCCTGGCGTCAAAGTATCGGGGGCTGGCCTTGCAGCAAGAGCTGGGGCCTGGAGCGCAACGTGAAACATTGTAAAAACCCTGAGCCGTAGTTTGGCAAAGGACATGTCACAAACCGTGGCGGAGAGGGTACCCCTAACAGAACACACAAAACCCCACAAACACAAATCATCACCAATGTCTAAAACATCCGGTCGATGAACCTGACGTTGTCAAGTGGCCTTGTCCACATTGTGGAGGAGGTGAGTGATGTCGGCATCGGTCCTCGCGGCGGATTGCCAGAAAGGCAATGCCAAACAGCAAAAAACCTAGCTTCTGGCTCAGAGATTGCCTTTCAGCCACTTTGTAGGAGAACAAAACGACCCCCAAAAAGTGTAGAAACACACAATGGGGCCCCTTTGTACTTCCCAAAAGGGATTGGGGCTAACTTTCTGATGGTCCTGCAGCTGGCTGCATTGAGCAGGGTGCCTTATACATCCCCTTCAAACCTCACCGCAAAACAAAAAAAAACCTAACCTTTGCACACCTCCCTTTGGTCCGGTTTTTTTTCTGGCCTCAGGCTCCGCAAAGGCCAAAGACTCAGTCCTGGTATCGCCGTCCCAGTGATGCACCTGCACTTTGTTCCCATAGCTGGTTCCTGCAGCGAGCGTGCGGGCGGGCAGGCACCCGCACCCAGTTGTTGGGCTCCTTCTTTTCAAACTCCTTGCAAGCATTGGAAAGCGAGGACAAAAGAAGAATGGGAATCAAGAAGTGCTAGGCTCAAGGGAAAGGACCTGACTTTCTAAGTTTGATAGCCCCAGGGCCCTTGAAGGAAACTTAAAGATTGGAGCAATCGGATCCAAGCTAAGTTACCATTGCCTTCAGTTCATGACAGGCTGCGCTTCTGACCTGCCTCGCCAGGAACCATTACACGCTGTGCCTCAAATTCAACCAAAGGACGGCAGCATAGCCGTCATTTCACGATGAAATGACGAATGTGCCATGGACATCTTGGATGAACCATCCGCCCAACTCATCACTTCCAATGGACACCCTTCACTTTTGACCAGCAGGAGTCCAAAAGAACCGCCGTCGCTGGTGCCCATCCCGTCTTGACAGTAAAGCATTCCCGCCGCTCCTTGCAAATATTCATCCGTACCTGCCGCGCCGGAAAGCTATGTCCAAAGGAAGCCCTAGTGCATAGGAGAATCCACCACTCATTTTGGCTTTCATGTCAACAACAATACGTCACCAAGGGGCCAATGGCCATGGGTTCGTGTATGGGTCTATTCGAGTTTTGATCTTGGTCGAGATGCCTAAGTCCACATGCTGGCTAACCACGTTGGCGGAAGTTGGTGGCATAAGCCACCAGCTTAGTATTGGATGCCATTGGCAGGCCCTTTGTAGAGAGAGTATCCTCTGTCAAATGGGTTTATTAATTTGCATGCTTCTGGCTTGTTGGCCTGCATGCCCTTTGTTTTGGAGAATCCAGGGTGCTCCGAACAAGCAATCCTCTTGGAGGGGCGCTGTGGTTCCCTAACACAAAGGGGCCAAAAGATAAGCCCCGCTCGGCCGTGTCTCTGCAGTGCACCTTTGGACCCCTTTCAGATAGTTTCTTGCAGCCACATTTAGGAGGATTCCCTTCTCGGTCCAAAAGAGCCCCCCCACCGCGATGCAGCTGAGGCATGCACTTTGTGGTGCCCTCTGGCATTTGTGGCTCGAAGCTAGCGACTCGCCCCAGGTTGCCAACCCGAAATTAACATTGGACCAAATATCTTGGCCAGATTTTGAAAAGCCAGAAACGTTGAGAGGAACATGCCAATGACGCACGTCAATCCAACGGGTCCAACCAAACATTGCAAGGGGGGGGGGGTCATGGTTGGAGCCGTTTTAATGCGACACCAAAGGGAAGCCTTGTTCTCGGCGGGAGTAACATGAACCCCAAACGGGGGGCCCCCCACCCCCCACAAAAACACTACTCTCAAACAAATCCAATGCTTGGGTTGCTTACCATTTAGAACAAGTGCGCAGTATCCCGAATGAAGGTTGCGCCAGTGGTGGTTGCCATGCGCCTTGGTTGCTGCGCCAAGACAGCGCCAAAAAGGCAGGCACGTTCAGCCTGGCCGGGTCCCGCCTGCTTGAACTTCTGTTGGTTGAGGCTTGCTTCCCCCTTTGGTTTGCCCTTAGGGGCCCAAAATCTATCCAAATCCAATCAGCGCCCGTCTACTTTCCAAGTATTGAAAGGCTTGCATGTTGCCCATGCATGCTTACTTCACCCTTTTCAGAACTTCATGGATTCAACATCAGCGCAAATCCGTACCGTTGCTGTACCACCAAAGCACTTGCCCAGCAAACGACATGAGGATGTGGCATGCAACAGGGCCCAATTTAACGGGAGCGGTCAAAGGACCGAAGGTTCCTGCTGTTGGACAAATTGCGCACGTCTCACAAATCTCTGGGAAATCCACGTCTAAGCTTTTTGGACACCTTTAAATACGTGATGACACGAGAATATTGGTGAGTACCACCACACCCCTCCCATATGAACACTGGACTACGGGATATTTTGACCGAACCTCATAGAGTCTCCCACTTCCTGGGGGGGGGGGATCCGTGAAAAAGTTTCAAGGTTCCGAATTGGAGGTCCAGCGCCTTCGTCCGGAGGACGAGGAGTCGGTGAGGATCTTGACCTCGGGCCGGTGACTCTCTTCAAAAGAAACCAGGCCTCTTCACTGTCATTTAAAGGCGGGGGGGGGGAAGCCAATTCACGTTCAACCCTCACACGGTTTCTTGACGGTCCTAGTCACTAAACATCCACGCTGGACGGCTGTACACTGGGACTCTGACGATTGTGTCTCACTTGAACGCTTGGCCCCGAGCTCCGCTGGTAAAGCTCTGGCCTGAGCAAGGCAGAGGGGCCCGAGCGGTTGGTGGCTGAAGGGCCAAACCACCCGCCTGTGTGCTTCAACTTTGAAGGGACATCGACATGATGGTATGTTTCAACAGTGGCTCAAAGGTGTTGAAACAGCTCAGCCCAACCTGCTCCCCACTCACATACCTGGTCAAAGCAAGGCGTTGTTCAACATCAAAGCCCTAAGTGGGCCACCCAAGGCATTGATTGTCACCGAGGTGGACGAAGACTTGCCCACGAGCTCGCTCAGTGAGAGGGAGGTCTGGCAGGTCAGATCGGAAGTTGCGGGGGTCTAACTTCCTGAGACAAAAGTCCAAACTACATGGGAGAAAAAACACTTTGGGCTTTTTGAACACTTCTGTCTGGAGCTATAAAAGGGCTTCCAATCCTTGGGTGGAAGGTCTCTGCAGGGGGGGGTTCTTCGGCAGCCGCGCATGTTCGCTCAAGTTCCGTTGCCCGAATCTCCAGTGTGCCTCGTCATAGTCGGCAAAGCCCAGCTGCCAAGAATGCAGGAAGTTGTAACCTGCGACGAGAATTGAATGGGCGCCTCAGACTTTGGAGCTCCTGATGATTGTGGAAAGGGGTTGCCACTGTGCGTGATGCCCAAGGGCACTCCCATCGCCATGACTACTTTACTTCAAGGGGCCTGAAGCCCGATTTTCCCCATGCCCTAAGATGGTGAGACTGCCTACAATTCGCGCGAGCTAAACTAATGAGCATCGACTTCTGCAGTGTTCAGACTCATCCGGGGTGCATCCATCACTTGACTGCCCATGGCCCTACGGACGCCTTCCTGACTCTGTAGCCAGCAATTATGCAACAATAAATGCTCACGAAAGCAAAGCAGCAGGGAGTGGCATTTGCAAGTGACCTTCTGCATGATCAGATGTCACGCTTGATAACAAAAGTACTTGAAAGATCTTGAAAGCAACATGGCGAACAACAAGCGCCTGACAACGGACAAATACATGGCCATGTTTGCCGAGCGCTGAGTCGAGTGCACTCCCTTCACGAGTCGGGATGGGTTCATGGATAACATTCCATCCCCCTGTGGTTCCGCCAGGCGGCAGAAACATGTCAAGCAAGCACCCAAGTCGCTTGGAAACAACGGTCGCCAAAGTTCGGTACACGGTGCTGCTCGTTGTGCCTACTGACGTGCGCAAGTGAAAAGTTGATATTTAGTCGAATCACCAAAAAACAAAACAACAACAAAAAACAAGTCGTCTGCAGGCAACTCATCCGAATCCGGCCATATGGCTCCTCATATGTCGCCTTGGGACATACGCCCCCTACAGTCTGGGCTTCTGGCATCTCGTTCGACAGCAGTAACCCATGGCGGAGCTGGTGTCGGAATACTCCTGTCAAGGTTCAGGTCATTGCATCAATAGACTCATAGCCATGTTCTGCCCCTGTGGCTGGGTTCTCTTAGGCCATAGAAAAAGCTTAACAGCCCCGCAGCCTAGCGGTGCATACTGGAATATCAGGGAATCATATGTGAGGAACCCGTTGAACAGTGAGAAAGTCTACCTACCGTTGTGGGGAAATTGGGTCTCTATAGGATTGTTGAGGGGTTCTGGGTGACGTGTTGTAAACTCATGGGGTCAGCACCAGCGCTGACTAACGTACACATCGGGAACTCAATTGGTGCAACCCCGCAGAAAATGCACGGGTGAGGGCCGAAGGCCACGAATCGTTCAAAAAATCCTCGACAAAGAAAGAGAGCAAATTGAGCATTTCCAAACCAGGGAGCATGTGTACATCCACCGTTCCCCTCCCGAGCGTCGAGCTACAAAAGGTAAAACAACATGCCCGCAAACAAAGAAACACCATGCATACCAAAACCAGAAAAAACAACCTGGCACAACAAGTCTTGTAGAGAAAGAGCCTCCCGTGATCAGCAGCTAGGTCTAAATCCAAACCTGATACTAAAAGCGCCGAGTCGATTTTCATTGTGGCTTGCGCTGCTTGCGCTGCCTGCGCGCCGGCTCAAGTCCTGGCTGGTGAAAGCGCCGCCAGCGTGGTGAAGCTTCCAATTGTGGCCGATCTCGTGGAGGAAGAGGACTGGAGAACTCACGTAGCTCTCCCTGTACCAGCTGATACCTTGCCAGCGGAAACAAACCAGTTGCAACCAGCGACTCGCACCCCATGTTTGGGTCGATCCTGAAATTGTTTTTGTTTGGTAACCTGCTAGATACCTACCCACGAAATCCCTCAAGACTGCCACGCCACACTGGTACGATATTCACAATCCAGAAATATCCAAACATGAGAAAGAGCGTAAACGAGCCTCGAAACAGCCGTAGTAAGGAACCTTCATGGGTGTTCGCTTCGTTCTCCCAAATGACAAAAGGTCGAATTCCTGGGGGTTCTTGCATGTCAATGCCAGCTGTGGGTCCCATGCCCAATGCCAGGCTCTCGAGTGCCTTGGCTTGGCCTTGCCTGCCTTGGCCTTCCGACGGTGAACACACTTTCGGGGCACTAAGCGTCCCTCCGCCAAGTGGCCACCGCCCACAGTGCCGAGGCCCACAGCGGAGAGCCAGGCAGCCGGAAGAATCATCAGCTTGAAGTAGTTGTTGTCCTTGCCAGCGTCTATCCTCCCCTCCCACTACCATGGAACCCGACAGCAGGCCCACAAGGCTGCCCTTGGACCCTTGCTGGGGAAGAAAAAGAGATCAAATCTTGCGTTACGACCTGTGGCCATGAACAATGTCAAACCCAAAGCGGGAGGTGGATGGCAAATGAAGTTGACGCCGACTTCCCCCATGTCGTATCGGCATCTCCGAGCTTAAGCTTTCTGGACTAACGCCGTCCAAAGTTGGGCACTCTGATTGCCAATGCAACCACGGTGAATGAAAGTCCGTTCTTTCCAGTCAGAAGAGGGGCCGACTTCATACATCTACACTATCTTAACGGACTCCGGACGACAGAAGACTTTAGCATGGTCACGACCCGCCTGTGTTTTGCCCAACCTTACGCCTACAGGTACAACATACTATACAACATGTTCATGATATGCATCATAATAATAATAATAAAACATTAACAATAATAATTCATAATACTAATTATAACAACAATAATGCTAATCATGACTAACTAACTAACTAACTAATTAACTAACTGACTAACTAACTACCCACCTACCTAACTAACTAACTACTTATGCACACACACAAGCACCACAGCCACACACGCATATATATATATATGTATATGTGCCCCCCATGGCCCACCTTTCTACTTTCTGCACAAAAGAGATTTGCAAACGTTCAGTGTCCACTTGGTTTGCAAATGCCTTGTAGAAAACACTGTAGTTGACAGTGTTTGATGAGATTATGTATAGCGTGCCAGATGTTCGTTGCGATACAAAACAAGACTCGAGAAAGCAAACAACATGGAAACGGAAAGCGTTTGCAGATGCAACTTTGTCAGTGTTGAAATCACGTTTAAATGTAGTGCGTTTTAGAGGAAACTGCGAATACACACACCGTCGATATTCTTTTTTGTTTGCGTTGTTGATGGTTGCGTTCTGAAAACATGCACAGGCTCAGAGCAAAACAGACAAACAAACCTGAAAGCTCCAAAATCTGCGCAGGCTCGAAAAATTCAACAAATGCAAAACCCAGATGCAATGTCAGAGGTCAGGGCTTGATTGGGGTAGACGTTTGCATGGGTTGCATTCTTTTGAGCCTGTGCAGGTTTCAGAGGTTTTTGCTTTGGGCTTACTTTGCATTTTTTGAGCCTCTGCAGGTTTTGGAGCTGTGGCTTCTTAAATCATGCCAGCGCAAGGCTTCTACGAAAATGCTCGGCAATCTGTCTCCCAGTCTTCAGAAACAAGTAAAGGCTTTGGATTTGTCTTGCATTTTGGAGCCTGTGGCTTCTACCTTGAATGACCTCGTTTGATCTTCTAGCAGCAGATTAATCTATAAAAGGAACTGTGCATGAAGTATAGGTCAGTGACATCAAAACGACCGTGTATATATATATATATGCACACGCTCACCCCCTACTATTGAAATTATCAGTGTTTACAGACTGTACAAGTGAAAAGGTGGGCCCTGAAAAGGGCGGGGTGAGCATATATATCTATACATATATATGTATATGAAGCAAATGCTTATAGAGTATGTATGGCGTGTGTGTGTGTGTGTGCCGCATGTCCTGTCCCTTCAATTCACACTGTCCACAAGGGTCAGTTGTACATAGGCACCTGCGACGGCGCTTCTACAGCGCCAAGTGGCCCATTCCGGAGTACCCTTCAGCTGATCCTGGCGGGCACACATACGAGTGGCCGTGAAATGCACCCACGACCGTGGGATTTGCCACCCGAAATTCATGGGTTTACCTGTCCGGACAATTTGTCTTGCAGACTCGAACATCACAATCACCTTGGGCGAATCGACTAGGAGGTAGCCTCTGGCGGGACCACTGGGCTGGCAGTTGTGGAGAACTCAAGGCACCTCTTGGATTCTCAATCCGTGTCAGGCAAGCAGGTAGCTTCACCATGGCCCATGGCTATTTAACTGTCGTCCCGGTCATAAGCAGGGTTGCAATCTACTTACTACGTGAATGGAGCCAAGCTTGCACCCTCCACTCCCAACAACTCTGCCAGTCAGTACTTGTTGCGCTGCCCACATCGCTCTGCTTGCCCACTTGTTCTGGTATGGGTTTGGAGGTAATTGAACACGTACCATTTTTGAAAGGTGCATGTACAAACTGAAAACTTTGTATTGTGACCTTGTAAACCTTGCATTGGTGGCGATGTTGAACTCTTCAACAAATCATGGAAGCTGACGGAGCAAGCCTACTTTCCTCTTCTGACACGCCCCCCGTCTACTTCCAGTTGTTGGAAAATGCACGGCCCGCGGCCCCCGTCAGTCATTGATGGCGCTGTAGGTGGCCCAGGCGTCCGTGGAGTCAGGGCAGCCGTCGATGGGGCCAACCACCGCGCCGCTGAAGCTGACGGTTCCTGCTGACCAAGCAATGAGGTGTGATGTTGATTGCTAGTCCGGTGTTTCTGGTCACTCTGTTTTGAGTCGTAGACCCTGTAGGTACACCGAAAAACAAGGCGTGTAGTCGTGCTTATCGCGTATGTCGGCGATCCTGAACAGTGTTTTGTTCAAGATGGGGAGGACCGCGATGCCCAATTGAGTCATAATCAAAGCCCGGTAATAAAATGGATTGAAAAGGCGGCCGCACCCATTTATAGCTGGGATTGTCCCTTACTACCCAGGTTTCGATTGGGACACAATAAGCCACATGTTAGTTACCTTGGCTTTGCAGTCGCTGATTGGATAAGCTCAAGACTCCCCACTAAGTATGGCCGGCAGTTACTTACAAATAGGTTTGTCCCCTTGCTTGTTGGTAACATGCCAAGTTGATTCTTCTTTGCTGCGCTCCTTGAACAACTGACATGCGAGTTACAATCCCTCAAAGGGCCTTTCCTGCAGCCCGATGGCATGAGGACCACTGAACCAAGTTGAGCAGGGCTGCCCAGTGACTAAAGAAGGACCAAAAAAAACAAAAACTTTTGAACAAGCGGGTGCTGGGAGGAATCTTCTCGACGGCTCCTCGCGAGCATACGTTCAGCACCTGGCGAGTGAGCAAATGGGCAGCTCAACCTCCAAAAGGCTTCTGCGGAAACCAAAGGTGGCCCACAATCTGAAGGAAAGCTTTTGGATCCTTCCTTGAAGGTTTATGAGAACCTTTCCGGAGGTAGGCCGCCCTCGATGTCTCTCCTTCCACGAAGTTTATGCCCTCCAATCATTCTTGAACACTCATAGCCATGCCCAAAAACACGAAGAGGCGTCTAAAGGTATTTGGGCGCTTCTCAAGTACTGGTACCTACATGCGCAGGGACCGCTTGGGTCAGCTGAAGCGGATTTCCTGCATGCTCCGCGCAAATCCTGCTGTCTGAGGGGGTTGTTGAAATGGGTCTCTCTTAAACTAGAGGAACTCCCAAATGCTGGGTTCCCCATGAGTTTCCCGAAAAAACCACTCCAAAACGGTAGCCTCACAAGACAGGTGCCTCGACGAGGGGCTCCAAGGTCCCCCAAAGAAGACTTTGCGCCTTGCCTGCTCTTTGCATGCCAGCCATGTGGGACGCCAACCACGGGCAGGTGCCACTGGAAATGTTGATCACAATTTTGCTCCATTTGCTGAAGTCCTGAGGATTGCTTCCGGCACCCTAAGGCTCTTCATGTCGACATAGCTGTGTCTCAAAACTAGTACCCTTCCCAAGATTTACCATTCGACCCATATTAGTGGCAAAGACAGAAACGCCCTCAAAGACAAAGGGGTCCCAGTTAAAACCCGCCCCTTGACCCTCCCAGAAAAAAAGATGCATCCCAGCGCCTGCTGAAAGGACCCCTGCTCGGTGCCAAAGAACCTGCGCAAACACAAAAGGATACCGGAAAGCAAACACGGAGAACTATACGCACATCCCTGTACAGTACAGGATGGAGGTGCTAGCTCTTCTTGGCTTGGGACCTAACAAGCTGATAACTTGCTACTGCCTAGTGGTTTCGGCAAACAGGCTGCAATGTCTTGAGTGGCTTTCATGCTTTCATGTCACATCTCGTCACACTGAACCCCTGCAACTCAACTGCAAAGTCAACTTGGCACCCAAGAAACAAAGGATTGACTGACCCACTTTCCCGGTTCATCACGGGTTTGTAGTGCGTTCAAAGCTTGGTGGTGAGTGATGCCCACAAATGTGCCGGAACACCACCATTGATACTTAACACATTGAATAAGGAAGCGACAACGTCACAAACAGTGGATAAACGATTGAAGAAATGCAAGGGTAGCAGGGTCGACCAACTGGACGACTTTCAGGCTTGGGGCGTCAAAAAGGCCGCCAACACAGACAAAGGTGCTGCTCTAAGCACGGGGCGCGCTCTGCAAGCGATCGTTGGTGATGTCGGCAGCAAGATTGTTGCCACCTCGGAGCGCGACTTGTTGCGTGGCCACGAGGAAAACATGTAAATCGCATAAGATGACTGGCAACCAGGAATGGATGCAGCTTAAACCCTCATGCCCTATGGACAGCAGTTCGTTAGCATCGAGCTTGCAGCTTCCTGGGCTTCACTGCCTCATGACAGTTAATGTAAGGAACCCCTCGTGGTCATTCACGGGGCAATTGATTTGGATCGTGGACCTGGAACAACAATTTGGGAACAAGGCCGGTCACTGAACAAGACTTACCATCCAAATGAGTCCAGTCCCTCACCTCTCCATCATCGGCATCATCATCATCATCATCATCATCATCATCATCATCATCATCATCATCATTCAAACTACAACCACTGCAAAAAACCCCTACCGATAACATATTTGGTACTTTAAAGGGAATCACTGCATCTGCCGCCAAACCCCCTCATTCCAACTATGAGCAAGCATAAACAGCACCTAGCTTTCTAGGTCGCCACACAGGGCTGGTAGAGCACAACCACCGCGGTGTTGGAGGCAGCGGCGTTGCCCTAAGACGGAAAGTTCCAGTGGAGGAAGACAATGGCGCCTGATTTGTATTTCGTTTGAGTGGAAAATCACCAAATCTCGCCCAAGAAATGACAAACGGGGTCTACTGGAGGTCTGGGCTGATAGGCTGATTTCAGCCTATGAAAGGATTCTTGGGCAACTCCTCCAATATGGACGCTTGGTGCGGTCTCTATTAGATCGCTGCTTGCCCCTGAAACTTTCCACAAAAGCCCTCCCGAACACGAACCGGGGCCAACTTACAGCCGAGTGTCGGCCTAATGATGATAAACATTCGGGAAGAACATGTCCAATTCCAAATAAGCTTCCACTGCCCGGAAAGCGGTAAAAGCATCTGGCCTCACTCGAACGCACTCCAAGGAAACCGAGTCGACTCAACCTCAAGTGCTTTGTGCGCAAATTACTCCAGTTTAAGGGACCTCATTCTACTTCGTTCTTTGTTACGCAACTGTCCTGAATATCAATGGCTATGTTTCTCAGCGGGCCCAAGCCAGCCAAGCAGAGGTCGGCTTGCTGAGCTTCAGGCAGCCAACCTGCGAGATGCCGAGGCGGGATGGCCGACTCTGGCTGACTGGTTTAGTTGGGCAATAGTAGCTATCAAGGTAAGGCATTCAAATAGCCCAGACAATGTGAACACCCAAGATACTTGCAAAGTCCCGAAGTGGCAGCCAGCCCAAAACTGGGATGCCATTATGGACTGGGCTACGTGAGAAGAAGCGCATTGCTGTTCCAATTGCCCAAAGAACCATAAAAGCAAAAATCGACCTTGTGGAGCCTCCCAAATCGGAAAACCGAAGGTAAAAGGGTGGGCGTTGGGCGAGCATCAGACAGGTTCAATGGAGAAAGCGCCTGCGGCTGCCAGTATCAGTACCACTGCCAGTGACGTACTCGAGCTGCTGCCTGACGGCTTAGAAAAGTCCCGGGGGTCGGGTGGCTGCCTGGAACGAACAAGCCACGCACACACACCAACACCGAGATGTACAAACACATGGGGACTCAAAGAAACAAGGACACGGAGGCACGCGGAAAGGCAAAGCTACATGCACATTTGGTAGTAGAAACTACGGATCATCAAGCTTTGAGGGCCGGATGCCTGGGCAGGACGATGGCCAATAGTGCCTCCCAATGTCAACAAGCCATACAAACATTCATTACATTAAATTAAATTAAATTACATTACATTACATTACATTACATTACATTACATTACATTACATTGCATACATCACATACATTACATTACATTACATTACGGTAGATTACATTACATTACAATACATTTACATACATAACACATATATATATATGACATTACATTACATCACATCGCATTACATTGCATTGCATTACAATACATTACATTACATTACATACATTACGATACGTTACGTTACGTTACATTACATTACATACATACATTACATTACATTACATTACATGACATTACATTACATTCATTCATTCATACATTCATTCATACATACATACATACATTATATACATACATACATACATACATACATACATACATACATACATACATACATACATACCATACGTACATAACATACATACGTACATAACATACATACATACCATACATAACATACATACCATACATACATACATACATACATACATACATACATGCATGCATGCATGCATGCATGCATGCATGCATGCATACATACATACATACATTGCATACATAAATACATACATACATACATACATACATACATACATACATACATACATACATACATTACATACATACATACATACATACATACATACATACATATTACATACATACATACATACATACATACATACATACATGCATACATACATACATACATGCATGCATACATACATACATACATACATTACATACATACATTACATACATACATACATTACATACATTACATACAGTACATACATTACATTCATTACATACACTACATTACATACATTACATTACATTACAATACAATACATTACATTACATTACATTGCACTACACACATTACATACATACATACATACATACATTACATTACATTACATTACATTACATACATTACCTTACATTACATTACATACATTACATTACAATACATACATACATACATTACAACATTACTTACAAACATACATTACATTACTTACATACATACATACATACATATACATACAAATACATAAATACATACGTACATACATTACATTACATTACATTACATTACATTACATTACGTTACATTACATACATACATACATACATTGCATACACACATACATATAAACATACATACATACATTACATGCATACATGACATTACATACATTACATTACCTTACATTACATTACGGTACAGACATTACATACATTACAATACATTACGTTACATTACATGACATTACATTACATGACATGTACGTACATAACATACATACACATATTACATTGCATTACATTACATTGCATTGAATTACATTGCATTACATTACATTACATTACATACATTACGTTACGTTACGTTACGTTACACTACATTACATTACATACATACATACATTACATTACATACATACATACATACATATACATACATATACATACATATACATACATATACATACATACATACATACGTACGTACATACATACATTACATTACAATACATTACATTACATTACAATACATACATACATACATACATTACATACATACATTACATACATACATTACATACATACATTACATACATACATTACATACATACATTACATACCCCAGAGAATCCATGTAGGCAAATATGGCATACATTGAAATGTAGCCATTTTTTGGGTACATTGGTACGTAGCCAAAAAATGACGACATTGTCGGAATTTGTCGGAGCTCCCGTCGGACAGTCAAAATATAACCCGAGAATGGCATCGTTTGGAAACGCCCCCGTCGGACAGTCAAAATCCCGTCCAGAAGTGACCACGTTTGTCAGTCCCAATCACCATCGCACGAGGTCAAATAATCTTTCTTACCAGCCTGCACACTTAGCCGCAAACATACCGCACAGAGCCCCCTTTGCTACACAAGTCTATTCCGTTTGAGCAGTATTCGTCGCAGTGTTGACATAACCACTTCAAAGTATGGATGTTTGGGGAGCAATGGGTAAAACATCAAACATGGTTTTGGTTGCGTGTTACCTGCAGTAGTAACCGGTGACTTGCACGGAGCCCATTCTTTTTGAACGAGCATGGATACTGTCAGCATACTCTGCGCTTGCAATTCTCGCTGGTGAAATGCAGACTTCGTGTATGTGCACAGACGAGGAGACCATGCAAAATACGAACGAGTTATACGCTTGTATTGCGATACGCACCACTTTCTGCACACTGTGACACTTATTGACAGCCACTCCAATATACTCCAATTGTCAACATCGCAATGCAAATCATTGGCACGACGGCGTTTGCCGCTAAAAGTCGGGACTTGTTACCAGAAGCCCTCACTCCCAACCAGAAAGGAGGTAAATGTAACATAAGCGTTAACAGTTATTATCTAGGTAATCTCCCTTATTTTACCCAACAGCTACCAGCGGGGTAGCTAATTTTCAAAACTACTTCAAACTTGGGATTGCGACAGCTGAGTTTGGGCATGATTTTGGTTGCGCGTAGGCATTCTGTTTGGGACTTAGAAATGCTGGCTCCTTACTGACTGCGAGATGAGGAGTCCAAAGCAAAATATTGGCCACTCAGGCTCCTGCATCTATCCAGCACTCAAACCTGCATTTATCCAGGAAGAAGGCTTCTTATTATGCGAAAAGGGTGTTAAAAAGTAATTTGCTAAAACACGGTTCAAATTGGTCAGGCAGATGAAGCAATAACATATTTGTGCACAATGCATACAAATAGATATTATTTTTGTCTCGATGTACTGTGTAATGACACAAAGTGTTTGTGTGCCTCGTTTCAGGTCATTGTCATTATCCCAAGATTCAAAATGTTCGAACCATTATCTCTAACCCCGCCCCACGTTGGAGGATTTACATGCCACGACGAACAGTCACTGTAGCCAATATGTGCCACGCAAGATTCGTTCTCCGACCGGGCTTGGCATGCGATTGCTTGTCGCTACTGATTTTTAAGTGAACCCGGATTTGCCAGGTAGATCTCCTAACTCCTAATTAAGCAAGGGTTCAAGTTGTACCATACAATACCATCATCAGTCTTTTTCAGAGCTCCAAACTGGCCACTCAAGTTTTCTACTCCCTTTCATAAGCAGGCTGCCCAAACTTCCGCTTCGACAAAGTCCCAGCACGTGCATTAGGGAATTCCGACTGCAGCTCAGCAAAGTATTCCTCAAATTCTCTCACACCTGAAAACGGCGGGTCCTGGCTAAACTGTGCCCGCGCCACATTTTGCACAAGCCCCAAACAGCTTGCGCATCACTGGCTGCAGCAAATGGCCCAGCAACTCTGGGAGTGATTCCGCGTGATTTGGCGTGATTTATTGCCGGATAGTGCGTGTACTGCTGCCAACGTTCACCAGAAATGTGATTTTCAGGGATTTGGCGTGTGACTTGGCAGGCTGGCCCAAAAAGAGAAGCGTTTGTCGGACCAATAGAGTACCATAGCCCTAGCGCTAATGCTAACCTATACCCCATGAGAGCAAACCAAAGAGCTTAAAATGTTCGGAGATAAACGGGACATACTTAGCAAGGAGAGCACAAGAAAAAGAGTTGGCACCACATGTTGGCCGGGCAACGCACATAGACAACTACAAAAAAAAACTGGGGGCACTCCGACTATCACACTCTGCGATTTGCTCTGAAGACGCGTGTCCTTTATAGTTGGGCTTCATCGATCAATCGAGCTTTTGCAAAGCAACATATGGAGCGTCATATCCGTCCAGTCCAGTCTCAATCATTTTCCTCAAGGCCACTTGAGCCCTTCCCAGCACATTTTGGCATTCCTGTTTGATATACGTACACAGCAAGATGACCCTTCTTTGAAGCTGCGAGTTGTTGAATTGCGACTCATCGATGGGAGAAAGGTCTGCGACAGTTCGTACAGGCTTCGTTAGAGCCTAAACCAGTGCGATTTCGAGTGCTTCAATTATGCTTGGGAACTGCTAACGTGGCTTCAAAGGGAGTTTCGTCGAAATAGATGAAACACCTGCTTCAAACTTCAACACAACAAGGGCGCTTTAAGTTGGGCTTGCGCTCTGGACGGGGTTGTGGCAGCGTGGCATTGCTCTAAAACAAAGTTTGTGGTTGGAGATGTGTTATGGAAAATCAACCCTATACGTCGGTGATGTTTGGTTCGCGAGCAACTTGTCATGACGATCCATCGCCTCTGTGTAAGCGCGCTGATCTGTAAGCGTACTGAATTAAATGTAAGCGTACTTAATTAAATGATTCGGGCAGGTGCCTCGGGACAGCGCAGGTCGCACGCAACTAACCAACAAACAGGAAGTAGCGCATTTAAGATATACGCAGGTACGGTGTCGAATTCGTGCCCGTGTAGACAGCAACGATGCAGCGTCATTTGCTGAAGTCTTCTGTTCGGGGTAGCAGCCCCCATCAGTGCAGTGTGTGTCGACTTTGTTGGATTGACGGATCTCCTGTTGCGAAGTATTTTGCAAGGAGTTGTTTCCTCCAAGCGTAGCTCTTATGCGTAATAGTTTGGCTTTTTGACAGGTTTTGGCCAACCCGCGGTGCCTTGGTGTCACCCTGCGCTGGAAATTTAATGTTGTGATGACTAAAGAGTTTGAACTATCGAACACGTGCTGCAAGCCAGCCCTTCAACCAGGTTTACAGTCGAAAGTCCTCAGCGAGATCTGCACACTATGCAAGTCAATCGCGCGCTGACAGGTAATTAAGCAACATTTGCCGGCAATGATAGCCGGGGTTGGCTAGAGTCATTTCTGTGCCCTATAGGTTCGTGGCCAGGAACTTGCATGTTTGTTAGTTTGCAATGCGTCACTCCGAGGCTGCCTTTGTCTTTTTCTGCCCTGTGAGTTTGAAGTTGTTGCCCCAACGGACGTAAAAGAGTGGTTGGAAGTCGTCGTCGAACGGAGTTGTCGCAATGGTTGTCGGAAAGTTTGTCGAAACCCTTGTCGGATCTTGTCTGTTTGAATGTCCCCCAAAATTGGCTACATTGAGGTTTATCGGGGCAATGTAGTTGAAAAACGCTGGCGTCGGCGGATGCAAGCGCTATTTGCATACATTGGATTGTCAGGGTACATACATTACATACATACATTACATACATACATTACATACATTGCATTACATTACGTTACGTTACATTACATTACATACATACATACATACATTACATACATACATACATACATTACATGCATACATTACATTACAAACATTACATTACATTACGTTACATTACATTACATACATACATACATTACATTAAATACATTACATTACATTACATACATACATACACACATACATTACATTTCATTACATTACATTACATGCATACATACATACATACATACATTACATTACTTTGCATTACATTTCATTTCATTTCATTACATACACACATACATACATACATACTTACATACACAACATACATTACATACATACATACATACATACATACATACATACATTCATGCATTACACACATACATACATACATACATACATACATACATACACACATACATACACACATGCGTACATACATTACATACATACATACATACATCATACATTACATACATACATACATACATACATACATACATTACATACATACATACATACATACATACATACATACATACATTACATTACATTACATTACATTACATTACATTACATTACATACATACATACATACATACATACATACATACATTACATTACATACATTACATACATTACACACAAACATTCATACATACATACATACATACATACATACATTACACACACATACATACCTACATACATACATACATACATACAGTACATACATACATACATACATACATACATACATACATTACATACATACATACATACATACATACATACATACATACATACATACATACATACATTACATACATGCATACACACATACATACATTACATACGTACACTACATTACATACATACATACATACGTACGTACATACGTACGTACATACATACCTACATTGCATTACATTGCATTACATTGCATTACATACATACATAACATAACATTACATTCAGTTACATACATACATACATACATTACATACATTACATACATACATACCTACCTACATACATACATACATACATCCATACATTACGTACATACATTACCTATACACATGCACACATACATACATACATACATTACATTACATTGCATTACATTTCATGTCATTTCATTACATACACACATACATACATACATACTTACATACACAACATACATTACATACATACATTACATACATACAGTACATGCATACATTACATTACATACATTACTTACATTACACTACATTACATTACATTACATTACATTACGGTACATACATTACATACATTAAAATTACATTACGTTACGTTACATTACATTACATTGCATTCAATTACATACATACATACATACATACATACATTACATACATACATACCTACCTACATACATACATACATCCATACATTACGTACATACATTGCATATACACATGCACACATACATACATACATAAATACCTATCTACATACATACATACATTACATACATTACATACATACATACATGCATCCATACAGTACATACACACATACACACGTACATACATACATACATACATACCTACATACATACATACATACATACATACATACATTACATTACATTACATTACATTACATTACATTACATTACATTACATTACATACATACATACATACATGCATTACACACATACATGCATACATGCATACATACATTACATACACACATACATACATACATACATTACATTACATACATACATACATTACACACATACATGCATGCATACATTACATACACACATACACACATACACACATACACACATACATACATACATACATACATACATACATACATTACATACATACATACATACATACATACATACATACATACATACTTACATACACAACATACATTACATAAATTACATACATACATACATACATACATACATACTTACATACACAACATACATTACATACATTACATGCATACATACATACATACATACATACATTCAGTCATTCATTCATGCATTACACAAATACATACATACATACATTACATACATATATTACATGCATACATTACATTACATACATTACTTACATTACACTACATTACACTACATTACATTACGGTACAGACATTACATACATTACATTACATTACGTTACATTACATCACATTACATTACATTCAATTACATACATACATACATACATACATTACATACATACATACCTACCTACATACATACATACATCCATACATTACGTACATACATTGCATATACACATGCACACATACATACATACATACATAAATACCCACCTACATACATACATACATACATACATACATACATTACATACATTACGTACATACATTGCATACACACATGCACACATAAATACATACATAAATACCTACCTACATACATACATACATTACATACATTACATACATACATACATGCATACATACAGTACATACACACATACACACGTACATACATACATACATACATACCTACATACATACATACACACATACACACGTACATACATACATACATACATACATACATACATACATACATACATACATACATACATACATACATACATACATACATACATACATACATACATACATACATACATACATACATACATACATACATACATACATACATACATACATACATACATACATACATACATACATACATACATACATACATACATACATACATACATACATACATACATACATACATACATACATACATACATACATACATACATACATACATACATACATACATACATACATACATACATACATACATTACATTACATTACATACATACATACATACATACATACATACATACATTACATACATACATACATACATACATACATACATGCATACATGCATTACATTACATTACATTGCATTACATTACATACATATAGTACATTACATACATACGTATATATATATATATATATGCATAGAGGTACACAATGGCAAACGGGCAGTCGATGCAAACACGGTTGCTTTAACTGCTGAGAGGTCGATACACCTTTTAAAAAAAGCTTGCGCAAAAGAGGCCTGCAAGGCAAAGCACGCCAAACATCTTCGTCCATGCATACTGGTGTGTTGCGCGCGACTCGGTGCACCTTTGGAGCAAATGCGCAAGAACAGCTCGGCATTGCATCTGCAACTGTCTTTGTAAGGCATTTGTCAATCTACTTGCTGCCTGTAACGAGCCACTCGCCCAGTAGCTTTAAAAGGGAAACCCTGCCCACAGCAAGGCAAGAACCCCGTGTTCTTCCGGAAAAATCAATGGCATAGGCAAACATTTAGAACTACCCTGAAATCGGTGCCATCCTGTGTCAACCAAACTGACCTCAAAAGGACACTTTGTGGGCGGTGTTAAACATGTGCCCTGGTGACCAAAACGGGCAATCCCTCCCCCCCTTGGTGACAAAAAAAGGCTGCTACCGGAGAACATTGAGGCAGGGGCATCACGAAGACGTTGCGCTTGTCCGAGCTCAGGACCTGCAGTTCGTGGCCTGTTTCCACTTCATGCGCTCCCAGTAGGTCCGAGGTACCTGCATAGTAGTCAACCAGCCATTCTCCTTTTGGCAATTCAAGGGGCTCTTGGCCACCTGAGGCATAGGCAACAAAAAACAGCATCACTGCTGCTTGGGCTTTTGGGGGCCGAAGTCCAGGCCCTTGATCTGATCAGCATTGATCTGGGCAGCTCGTTGTAATTTGCACGAGCTCACTTACCCAGCGTCATAGTTTGATGCACGCAGGGCTGTGGGAAACAGCACGCCCAAACTGAATGGGAGCCCGGCTTGCTCATTGCAAGCGCTCCGATAGATGCAATTGCGATCCGGACCTGCAACTAAGTGCAACAAGCTAACAGAATCCTGGATTCCTCAACCCAGCCGACTAGTGGGCAGCAAATCCCGAATCAATCCAACTCCCCTGCCGGAAGGAGACAGCTCCCGTCAAAGCGAGTCAGGGTCGTCCTTAAATTCGCATGTCGCATTTGCCACGGCGTAATGCTTTGTGCATAGCAAATACAACTGTATTCAATCCCAGGGATTCATGTCTTCCACCATGCGTTGTTACAAAGAACCTCTTTATCAGCAACGGTTGTTCCCTTGTAAACCAAGGAAACATTCACCAGGGACCAACATGCAAAATTGATCAAAGCATGTGACTCGTTGGAGCTAGAAAGTGTTGGGCCAACTGGTATCAACAGCTCGTGGTCCATTGAGGGGTCACCCATGAAATGGATAGCACAAGAACGGGCAGTAAAGAGAGGGGGTTCGGAAAAACCACCCATGTCCATCCAGCCCAAAACCAATCACAAGTGCACATCCAGTCTTCAGGAAGAAAAACAAAAAACAACATTATGAATTATAAGTAATTATGCCCGAATCCCGGATTTCTTTCCCGCAGGTTTTCGATCTCTGGATGTAGTCGTAACTCAACGAGCCGTCCGCGGGGCGACCTTCGCTCGATCTTTTGTGCCGTCGACTGGCCTGGGGAATGGCTGCCCCGAGCGCCGCGTCCTTCATGCCCGCCTGCCACCGGACATGGGCTTGAAGACCGTTAAACTAAGCGTAGAAATTGGGGACACCACGATTATCACCCCAGGATCTTCTGGCATGCTATCTTCATGGATTGAAAGTGAATGCTTCTGGGGCCCCACGTCCCCGGCCCCATCTTGGGGGTTGGGATGTCTGGCAACGACCCCACTGAAGAACAAACAAGCGGGGCGTGGCTGCCTGCCTGAAGCGGTCGGACGGTACTTTTGTGGAGGCACGCCGAGGATCAGAACCCGCAGTTTAGCTAAATGCCTTCGCCCCACTTCGAGGTGGAAGGATTTGTGCGAATGACGCCAGCGCTCCAGCACCGCTTTCCTTGGACAGCGCAAGGCCCGGTCAGTCACCCCCATGCCAAACTCAAATGGCCAGGAAGGATGGGCAGTAAATAGTCTTGTGAAGGCTTAAAGGGGCCCATGGCAAAAGGAAGCCAGTTCTCGAATACGCATATATGTCCGTCTCTTACCCACCGCGCCACGGGAAAAACAATTCTCTCCTGAGTTGATTGGCAACCGGTTCAATTTGCAACTTGCCCAATTATTCAAAAGCCGACCACTACCAAACTTTTTGGCAACATGGCAAAGTTTGGTATGTTTATATGATTGATATGCTTGCTCATGACGCCTTCCCGACGCGTACCCAAGGACCGGTGACGCCGGCGCCTTCAAAGTAGTGGCTTGGCCGGCGTCCGTCTCCTCATACCCGGTGATGTTCACGTCAGCTCCGTGCTGAAGGCCTCGGATACTGTGGTCGCCTCCAAATCGCAGGGATTGGAAAGGGCTTGAAGACACCTTAGTAGTCTTCAGTAGTCTTCAGTAGTCTTCAGTAGTCTTCAGTAGTCTTCAGTAGTCTTCAGTAGTCTTCAGTAGTCTTCAGTAGTCTTCAGTAGTCTTCAGCAGTCTTCAGTAGTCTTCCCAGGGTGCCTGAAATCTGTGGCACATGGCCGCCATATTTGCCTCTGATAGTTAGGGAACGGCCAAGCATCACTTGTACTTAAAAAAAGGAAGCGGTGAGTCGCCGAAAAAGCAAGCAACATATCATGTGATCTTCGTGACCAGGGATTGTGCCTACAAGCAAATCCAAACCGACCATTTGTCTAGTGGCTAGGCACCTCACTTAACTACTTCAAGCCAGGTTGGAATCTGCTTCAAGCCGGTTGGGCGCCAGGGACGCGCTCACCTGATGTTCCGGAGCAAGATTCTGTTCAGCCTCTCACCAACCACAAATTGGGGTGTGCGCAGCACAGCTCAATTCGGGTGTTCCTCTCACAAGGCAAGTGAAGAATTCCCTCTGACCCTCTGGACCCCTGTATTACTCGACCAGGAGCAGCATTAGTGGTCCGCTTCTGCTTCTTCCGGCTTCTTGAAATTCATTACCATGCACGTACGTCAGTGCCGCTGGAAACATGATGGTCACAGCTAGGCCATCCCGTCTGAAGTTGCTTCTGCCCGCAAACCAGAAGCAGACTGATAAATTGAACATTGAACCCGAGGACACGGTCAACCCGACAATTTTACCAGCTGTTGGGACAGGGGAAGCAAATGAGCAAAATAATGGGGCATGAAACATCCATGAACCAGCTGCGTGATGGGAACTAAGCCTTGCTCTAACATTTACATTGTTTGCCTCACTGCTAGCTGCCAAAGAAAAACAAGGTATCCAAACTCCACCCTAGGCTCCAAAGCACGGGCCACCCGAACATGTAGCATCTAAGCCAGGCCCCTTACAAATCTGGATCTAGTGGCCATGAAACTATATGTTGGCATCCCTCCTCCAACACAATGCAAATACAAGGACTCCTGCCACATGAACCCCAGCCAATGCAACTGCCCCAGCCATCCAGCCAGGCGGCCCATGGGCATGCCCATGATGCCAGCATTGCCTGAGAGTCGAGTGCTGGGTAGGTGCCACTGAAATGGCTTCCATTACCCCGAAACCCAGACATCTGATGGTCATCAGAAGTCTGATGGGAGATGCATAGCCACTGATTATGGAAGGGGTACATACCCGATTTGCGGCTGCATGTTGCACAGCTTTTGGGATGGCAGTTACAAGGAAACCGTCAACCTCACACTCATTGGCGAAAGCAGAAAAGGAGGCTGTTGGTGCTTTGCCTTGGGCCGGCGAATGAAAGGAATTCCTAGAATCCTAGATGCCACCATACACCTCCTCCAACATAGTTGCGTAAGGGTTGGTTTCCCATCCGCTTCAGAGATTCAGATGTTTCATGAACTTTGGCCAATCGTTCGAAGAAGGATCCTTGAAGGGAATGGGGAAGGTGGCTAAGCAATGCAAAATAGAGGCGCAAACAATTGAATAGTGTAGTGGGGAGCTTTGCGCAGCCTGAAAACCCAATTTGAAAAGGCATAAATGGGTGGCAAGTACCAAGGAGACAGCAAATCAGTGTGCACTTGATGGAAGCAACCTAGACGTGAAAGCATGGCTCAACAAGTGAGCGTCAGTCAGCACAGCTGCTACCCGAATTGGTGTCAGAGTCAAGCACAAACACGTATACATATACAAATATATGTATATATATATACTTCGCAGCGGGTACGCAAAATACCATGCCATGGCAAAGATTTCGATGCCCAGCCGAACGGAATCTTCCCGCGCCGGCATTCTCCAGCACCTTCGTCGGGGTTTCCCGAGACATCCGGCCATACAAAGAACTCCTTGATGAGTGGGACAACTTGAAACCTAAACCTCCCAAAAGTTTGTTCACCAATTGGAAACAAGTGACTTGAAGCAGAAACAACCAGAAACAAACTCATTGATGACCAGCTTCAACTCACTTTGTCCAATGGGGGAAGTGAAAGGCCGCTGAGCCGTTCCCAGGGCCCTAGGGCCCTGGCCGTTGGTCCCGGGGAAGGAGACGACCATCAGCTGATTCTCCGAGTGGCCGGGCGGCACGAAGGACACATCCACCCTGCGTTGAACGGCGGAACTTCCACTCCCAACAAAAACAAACAAAGAACTTCGGCTGTGAGGAACTGGTTGGCCGTAACCTGGGATAAGATGGTTCCCCTACCAGAAAATGCCATGGAAAGCCTGCGAAAGGAGCCTTCCTTTTTATAAAGTTGCAAGTCTCAATAGGTTCTGTCAAAAGGGCAAACAGCGCGCGCCCAGTATCCTCCACCCAGCCTCGCCGGTTCAGCGCCAAAGGAATCTTGTTTCACGACCTCGGGCAGGCTATGGGAGGGCCCTTGCATTCGTATACCAAGCACCCAAATGAGACGCCCCTGCCACTCACCATCTGCCAGACACGCCCTTTTGTGAGCAAGGCTCCAACACTTCTGAAAAGGTCTTTCAACCACGCCACGCCTCACCTGCATATGCAAAGTGTTCCCAACTGGGACTCCAGCGCGCACAGTGACGGAATACTGCTTCGCTGTGCTTGACCTGAGCGGAGCAAGGATTGCACTAAACAAACACTCCACGTACACCTTGGCCCTCATGTCCAAAAAGCACCTCTCATTGGCAGGATCGTGCTTAAAGCTGGCCCTGTCCAAAGGCATACATGCCTGTCAAATCATCAGCTATAATTCTGGTGGCTTCAAAACGGAAGCCCAAAAGAGATCAGTCAATTTCAAGGCCTTCACTGTTTGGCACTTCTTACCAAGACTGTTCAACCTGTAACCGCGAAAATCCGAACACTCACAGAATGTCACGGCTCTAGGCTGGGGAAAGCTACTTCATTTACTGATGGCCTGCCAGGCACCCAATTGAACACTGCACACTAGCCACAGCCCCGAAACATCGGCCCACCTACCCCAACCGACTCCAAGCCCTTTTGGGAGCGATGCTGCATTGAAGGGAGTCGAGGGGTTAGAACTTGTTCAATGGTTGGTCCTCAACCCAGGCTGCAAACACCAAACCGATCATGCTGTGAACAGTGTAAGGATGCTTGAGTTGCACAAGTTCAAGCATAACACGCTTGAAACGTTTTAAGTATCTCAACAAACATTTGAACAAATTAGACAACATAAGATGCTAGCAAACGTTGATCCACACCACTCTCAGGATTATATTTGGTTGTAAACCATAGTAATTCAGAATTATTACATGGATATACACATGACTCCCCGAGTGAGGAACCTTCATCATAGATGAGTCTGGTTTACTGCGTGGTGAACTCATTACACATTGCCTAGGATTGAAGGGGTCCAAGTCCATGCCATGCCACCCTTGCAGGCGACGGATGTGATGGTCGTCTTCAGGCGCTGTCCAAATCATCCTCCCAAGCGTTAAGCGATGGGTGGCGGGCGGCGAAGATTGGGCAAAGGCCGATATGTAATCAAACGGTTTGTGCAAAGCCGGACAAGCAAACAAATCAGGCAAACAGGCTTCCGGATTGCTGACAGGAGGCATCCGAGATTGCCTTCAAAAGTGGATTCTCCCAATACTCTCGAACTCCGAGCCAGCAAGCTTTACCCTGTCGACGTGGTGGCAAGGGGGGAACCGAAAGGTGTTGTGAGTTGCACAGATTTCATGGAACAAATCAGCTGGAGCCAAACAAAGAAATAAACAAGCCTGGGTTGGTGTCCTTGTGGGAAAGATACGTGGCCTTGGTACAAAATTTACAAACAAAGCCAGTGCCACCTATGTTCACACAAACTGACATCTATGTGAGCCCACGCTGAAAACTACTTGTTCCCCCAAGGGGGCATGGGACAACTGAGTCACAATCAAAACCCGGTACACAAATGGTCGGCCCAGAACCATGTCAAGAACTAAGAAGGCGGCCGCAGCTATTTATGGCTGGGATCGTCCCTTACTGACCTTCACTTACCCGGGTTTTGAACGTGGCTCAACTGAGTCTACCCAGCCTGTGGCTGTGAACTCGGCCTGCGGCCCGCCTGCTTGGTGTCCCTTCAGGAAGGCCAGCGCATGCCGCCAGCACCAAGAGATGTAAAGGCCTCATCGCCTGAGAATTCACGCATGCTCCAGGATGCAAGCACCCTCCTTTGTGTGAACATGGGGGACCACCCCTAGTCTGAAAGGGTTTTGACACAAGGGTTTCGAGAACACACGTGTTTGGGAGCTGCAGTCGACCCCCATTTTGAGTGTTTCTGGTTGGTTCGGAAAGGCGCGCCCACCTGAGCACAACTTCTACAATTCTGCACATAAAGTACGGGTGGGAGGGTCCCACTGCAAAGAAGACCTTGTTTTTTTCCGGGACCCTCATCAAAGCCAGGTTTCGCAATCTGAGGTTGACAAAGGGCACGTTCTTTTCCCGTGACTGTTTGCCAGTGGGCAATTCAACACTTTGATTCAACCAGGGTTCAAGCGACCTAGTGTATAAGCAACCGCTGCCGGTATAAACGAATCTCGCCTCAAGAATAGGGGGCCCAACAAATGGTGGTGTTCCTTGGTTCCCTTGACGCCAGCCTGTTCCAAGCAGCTAGGCCCAGCGGTCCATTGCTTAACCACCAAGGTAGCGCCTAGGCCTAGCGTCCAACGCATCTCAACGGTTCGAGGCCCTGCCTTGGCGCCGAGAGATTCAAGGGACGCTGAGCCAAGGGCTGCGGGGTTTTCAAAGAAACGCAGGCAACGACATACAAACAGCAAAAACACACACACACACACACACTCACACACTCACACCCTCACTCACACACACACACACACAGGGGCAACAAAACAAATAGCAACAATAAAATTAAAACACGCGACCAAACCCAGGTTTTGTGGCTCGATGTGCTTTCCCCACTTGCAATATTTAGGGAGATCGCCCCTCTGCCAACGTACCGTTGACGAAGAGAAGCTCTATAAGTCAAGCCATCACTGAATAATTCCAGTAATTTTGGCTCGCGCTCGGTGTGCTCGAAAAGAGTTGCCGGTAACTCAGGACACGCCAAATCTCTGTGGGGTACATAACAAGCGCTGAAGCAAGCCAGTAGGACCCCAATAGCCAAACCAAACAAATAGTCAGTCAGTTGGGTCACCAACCGATGCCATGGCATGCGACTGCAAATATTCACCTTTATGCTGAAAAAGACTCAACGCTCCAGGATGCGGCCCTTATCTTCCACGGCAACGTAGCATGGGATGGTACTAGCTGCTTGTTTACTTCTGGACTTCTCTGTGCTCTCATTTGGGGGTGCATCTGGTTGAGCCTCCCCCCCCCTCCCCCGGAGGTGGGTGAGTTCGCGAGGGTTCCCGACACACCCATCTTCCCCGCGTGAAAAAGATAGGCTCGCTCCGCCAGCCTTGACGTCCTGGGGCCTGGCGCCGGCCTGGCGCCTTGCAGGCGCCTTGCAAACGCGTCGCCAAGGCCGTACTTGGTTGCCGGGCCCATGGAAAACGAAACGCAACCCATTTGTTCCCCTTGTGGTTTGATCTTGTAGGAATAGCTTGAATCGAGCAACTCTGATGAACCCTGGCGCTGATTGAATGTTTTTGGCGTCGCGGCTGCCAGGTCGGCTTGCCCAGCTGCTCGCACACCAACTGCCTGCATCTCCAAGCGGCCTATGAGGAGACTAAAGCCCCCCGGCAGGTCCTCAAACTCATCTTAAAGCGAGTTCTCCGAATCTTTCTGAAAGGGGATAATGTGTCTCCTGACCTTGGTGAGCAACCGGCCAATGCAGGCATTTCGTCATGCATCCAGAGTCTGGTAGCTATTCACTCCAGCTCGGGGCTTGTCAAAGAAGCGTTTCCATTTTGGAACCGAAGCTGTCACAGCCGCCACTAAACAAAGAAAGCCGGCTAAGCTGGACAATATGATTATCCAGCAGCGCCCAGCCCTCTCGGGAGAGTTCATCAGCAGCCACATGTTGTAACAGCTGAAGGCTGCAGCCACAAGCAGGAAGAATGGAGCCAGCAGAATGCTCAAGTCGTGCTCAAGCACCTCCTTGGTGCGGCGATACGGCCTGCCTCTGCAAACACAAGCGCAACTACGGAAAACTGAGATGATGCCAAAGCAAGTTGAGCACAGCGGCATGAAGGAGGACAAGAAACAACTCAAGCAATGGCGACAAGGTCGAGCAGGAAATTTTAAGAAGGGGCAGGACAAAGTGAAGAGGTAAACAAAAGAAGGAACAAAGACACAGTAGTCAAGAAAGCGAAAAGGACGTAGGACTGGAAGCAGGAAGGCACAAATGCACTTTGCCAAAGGACGATGGGGGAACAAAGGCTGTGAGACCAACACGCCACGAAACGCCCAATGGCTGGGAGGAAGATTGCGGGGGTAGTGGTGACGTGGTGACTGAAACGCAGTTTTGCAGTTTGGCGAAGTTCCACCGGGCAGTCTGACACTGTGATGGCAAAGATGCCACTTCATGATGAGCGGCTCGTGTCAGCAAAGCACATAACGGGGCAACTGAGCTGAGATTCGGCCATATTGCCCACCTTGCCGTGGTCGTCCAGCTTTGCCAGGAACACCTGAGCATCTATTACATGAATGCAAGTGAAAGAAAAAACACCTGACGTCGACCTATGCCTTCCCACGCCCGTCCTGTGGCGCGCCCACAAAGGGAACATGCAATCAATGTATGGGGAATTGTTCCTTACTCGGGCACGGCATTACAAAGGAGGTGCGAACCATCTCGCCTATGCTTTTTACTTTACCGCTACTCACCCCTGGCAATTTGGGCATACCTATTCTCCCGCACCGTAACTCACAGAAAGTGGGAACATGGATGAAAGAAGGCCAACCTATTCTGGCCATAATTGAAAAATTGGAGAAACATCGCCGGGACGCAAAGGTCGCTTGCCTGGAGGGATTGGCAAGTAAAGGTTCCACTTTTCGGGTCAGCCAAAAAGAGAAAGCCAATGATAAAACAAATCCATCACCAGCCATAGGAGCTTCGCATAAGCCCACGAGAAGCTAATGTATGGGGAAGAGTCAGGGCCCATGGTATAGCGCCTGAGGTCTGTTAAAACCCGCTACCATGGAAGGTACACAAAGAACAAAGGCCACCCCGCATAGGATTGAAGCCCGTGCTGTAGTCCTCAAAAACGCATTTCATCTGGCTGTCTGTTTAGGAAAGACCATTTTAGAAGATCTTTTCGGGGTGCTAAAACAATTGCCAACTAACTCACTCACAAAGTGAATTGTACCAGAGTCATGGTCATGGTTCTCTTAATAGAAGCCTTTATATTGTCTAATTTGTTTGTTGAAAGCATCCCTTCAACCCGTAGCCAAGGGGTGCTTCTTCGGCGTGGCACATATAAGGACCCTGTTAGGGGGGGCAGCATCGGCTATTATTATCCCCTGGACGCTGAGCATCCCGGGTTGGGGGCATGCAGCCGGAAGTTTGGGCTTTAGGCTGAGTGTGGCTGCACTAGTCTTGGGCTGGCTTGGGATTGGCTTGGGGCGTTGCCCAAGACCACTGAAGCCAGCCTATTTAAAACCCACCCTGATTAAATTGACCAGCCGCGGGCAACGCCCAATTGCACAAAAAGCGCCAATACGCAACCCTAGGTCCAAGTGAGGCCGGTGCTGCTGCGGTCAACAAACCAACGCACCAATGAACCAGCGAGCCAACCAACCAACCAACCAACCAACCAACCAACCAACCAACCAACCAACCAACCAACCAACCAACCAACCAACCAACCAACCAACCAACCAACCAACGGACGAACCATCGAACCAATACCAGACGGGCAAAACAAACAACAGCACAAACAAACACAGACAAAGACCTTATTCGTTCACCTGGCGTTCCATCAAAAGAATCCCACTCTCGCGAAGCGCCTGGTTGCGCAGCTGTCGGCGCCTGTCGGTGCTCCACTCCCCGATGTCAGGGAGGCACTCATCCTGGGCCGTGGACATGGGAAGAAAAGGCACCCTGTCAGGGCATCCCACCTGTGGATCTCCCTTTGTGAAATGTGCTACACTGCAACAAGAGTGCAACGGGTGGATTCATGCAGTCGGGGCATCTAACATGCTGTCTTGAGGTTGGCCTTGGAAGTTCATCTGAAAACTTGCGTAGCCAAGGATGAGACGAAAGGCCCACGTGAAGGTTTGCAGTCTTAGAGCATTCTTAGGTGTTCTTGCAAGGCGCCTGAGAACCTGTTTTGGGGGGATAATATCCCTTGGCGCTGAAACTCCCCCGGCAAACTGACATGGAAGCAAAGGGTCCCACGCATCCACAGCCTCCCTTTAGGGGGCGGACAATCGGCCGGACGAACCCCCATTTCCGGAGGTCATTAAACCTGCTGCAACTCTGTCAGTGGTTTTGAACAGTACCAACCTTTGAACTTAGACAAAGACATCCCCTGTGCCTGAAAGTGTGGGATTCTGCTTGGAGGTATGCCACGACCAGGGAGCATAGTGAGCTTCGCCCAATTGTGGCTGAAAAATTCCTCTATCAGTGGTCGTTGACTTTAAACCAATCCCAAACAAGAAAAGAAGGGCGCCACTTGGTGTCTGGGTCACAGAAAGTCACCCTAAAACTTAAACTTCCAACGACCATTCGAACCATTCCAATGCTGAATTCCCCATTTAGAAGGGCTGGTTTCTGAACGGACCGGTTGCCAAGGACGGGGCAGCACTCGAAAAGCGAGCCCTGTCCTGGAAGGCGACGATTCTCCGCAGCTCCCCCTGGCCGGCGCGCCTTTCAAGGTCCTTTGCCTTGTCCTCAGCCGGAGAGGACTGATGGAGTCGGAGAACACCCCACCAGAGGAGGAGGAGATTTCTGTTTGGCTGGCCGGCGCTGCCGGAAGATGGGACAAAAGAGGGGGAAAGTTCCAGCGCCACTGAACTGCGAAAGTGTAAGGACCTGATGTGCCAGCCCAGGAATCTCGCACAAAATCCTGCGATGAGGACAACACTCCCCATTTCCACATCCGGGTGACAATTTCATGCCGCGTGACCAATGATTCGTGATGCTCAAGCTCTCATGGTGCACAACAAAATATGAACAATTCACAAACTGGAACAGATTCTGGACGACCAAAGGCTTTCAGCAGCAACACACCTGCCACGTGGCAGCGTGGCAAACCATCCGGCTCAATGGCATCCTTTCACCAGTGCAAACCAATGGTCCCCTGTGTCCCTACCTTTGAGCGCACTTCTGTTCAACACGCCGTGGGGGAAACCGCCCAACGTGGTTGAGCTGTCGGGGGGCATGTTTTCTGAGTTCAGGGATAAGATCACTGTTGTTGGAAACCGGAAATGCGGAAAACGCAAGTACTCTGCAGCTATTTTCCTGGTGAGCTCGCTATTTCTCCAAACCTGTATAGCCTTCAATGCGGCAGGTGACAGGCTCGCTTTCGCCGAGCATCCAAAAGGTAGCCCAGCTCAGTATAATCCACAGGCGAGGCCCAAAGCAGGTTCCTTAGCCCAAAGGGAGACAAAGCAGGCTGCTTTTCCAGCTCACAAAACATGGGTGTGTCTCCAAGGCGCCAGCCCCTAAAATATCATGATGTATCCTTTTGGCCTCCCTTGAAGGTGTCTCAGGACAAACCAACATGAGCTGTTTGGATCCCAGGTCAAAGACAAACAACAGTAGCAACAAGCTTGAGGGCGAATGAGCTCCGCCTCTCCTTCTCTCCCTCCCTCTCCCCCCCTCTCCCTCCTTCCCTTCCCCTCCCCCGTTCCGGCTCCCTTTCCCTCTCCCTAGGGCTAAGGTCCCAAGTTAGGAGCACTGCTGGAGGAATGTCAAGCCAAAAGCCGAGGTGCTTGATTCTGTTCAGAATCTGGTTGTAAGCCTTGACCTTCTCAGCGGAGCTGCTGTCGGGTCGCTTGCCCAGCTCCATCCTCTGATTGTCCTTGCCGCGACTAAATCTGAGATCCCCACGAATGACTGAACTCCACACTGGGAACCATCTCGGAGATTGCTACTACAGTCATGTGCTTGGGAAGGGGAGGTGGGGCCAAGGTCCTGTTGCAGAAACATGAAGCCCATTAGGAAACTTCCGGGACTGCCTCACCCATGTCCACTAAGGAAGCAAAATGACCTGAGACTGCCCAGCTGGCATGTGCTGGCCCACAACCAAACGCAAAAGCGCAGTTGGTGGTGGCTTGCGTGAAGCCCTGGCATGCGCGGCTCAATTGAGATTTGAAGTCGAACACCTCCGAGCACAGCAGGTTGCGGTCGGAACTGGGGACAGTTACAAAGGAGCCTGCTTTCGGGTGTTGGGTGCTTCCCTACACCTTTTGCATGAATGGGCCAGGTGAGTTCTTCAAATGAACTAATGCTAAGCTAATTTAGAAGGGCCTTGACTCTTAACACACACACACACAAATAAAGCCAGAAACCATGTCAAAACGCTGGCCTTCCTGCGGCGTACGCCCTTGACTTCCACGGAACTCTCTGGGACTCGTTTGGCTTCAGGGGAACGACTGCCTTTGGCTTTCCGGCAAGAGCGACGATGCGATTTTGGACAAAGACGTGCGAGTCACGGCTGAGGGCAAGCCCACAGTAACCCGGGCTGCTTCTGCTCAGAAAATGGGTGCGTATCAACGAGGATGATGGCTCATGCCCTTGGCAACATGACTTCCTTGTTCCCTTATTCCCCTTCAAATCAAGATGAGACCCAACAACATTATTCATGTTCAGGAATGCTTTTGTGCGACTCTCTTTTCGCGTTTCATGTGATTGCAGGGGGTCACCTGCCTGAAAATGAAAGGAACCCCAAGGAACCCCCCAACTTGCCCTCCTCGTTGCGTGACTGCCATGCAAACTGGCCTGGTCCCCAGAAAACCCATCATGTTGTCGTTCCTTCTCCCTTCTCGCCAAACACGGGAGCCCTCGCTTTGCTTGTTCCACACCAGGGTTGGGCCCCCTACGTTTGAATGGCTATTTAAACAACCGCTAGGTTTTCTTTCAATGGCCGTTTCGGGTCTGGTTACCCATTTTGCCAAAGCCAGTTCGACAGGCCTCCTGCTGCAGGAAAAAGCCCATGGAGGCGCTGGAGAAGGCGTCCGCGAAACCTGGGAGCGTGGCCGCCATGCCGGCCAAGAGCTGCAGGGGACGGTCCTTCTCCGGCGCCAGCAGCAGTGGATCCTGACAAACCCAACAGCCATCAGCAACCCATCCCAACCCTTTCCCCAACCTTGTTTGGCCTAATTTCCATTGGGTGTCCCTGGTGTAGGTTTCGATTGGTTGCTTCCCCATGTTCCACCAGCGTGTTCGGACCCCAGCCTGTGTCCGATCCCAAAAAGCCGGTCCGGAAAGAATGGATCACCGGGGCGGGAAGGGGGGAGTTGCCTTTCGGGCCTCGTTTGGCCTGGCTTAACCTCTAACCCCTTGGGCGCGCGGGCTTGGGCAAGGGAAACTGGCAAGCGCCATAAAATTCAATCAGGAAAACAAAAGGGCAACATGCATGGAGGTCAGCCACCTGGTTCAGGGTGGTGCAAAAGGTAAACAGGGCTCCTGTCTGAAATTGAAAAGCCACAATAGAAAAGGAAACACCAACTTCCACGTTCAGGCTTGTCTCAAACTTGAGAAAGTAAAAAAAAGACGGGGAACCCAATTAATAAATAAACTAATGAAAGCGAGGGAAAAAAGGGAAGCTCTGAAAGTTGCAAGGCTCTGTCGCTAGTTTGCGTGCAGTGCTTAGCATTGCTTCTGAGAGAACGGAAAACCCGGCCAATCAACATGCTAATCACTAGTAAGAAGGGAGGGTGTAGGCTGGAGCCCCTCCCAGTTGCCTGTCTAAGAAACAACAGAAGGAAAGCAAGAGGCAACACAAACAGCCACGAAATGGTGCGCCTCCATCTTCTCAGGCGCAAAAAAAAGAACAACTTCAATTTACCAGCCATGGCCATCTTCATCGCAACAACCCAACCGGGAATCATCTTCTTTTTGCTACGTGCGGGACGCCTGCCCCGCACCCGAGGCATGCCGCGCCTCTGGGCCTCGTTTGGCGACCTCCTCGGGGGTCCAAATGACTTCCATCTCCACGTGGGGGCTCTTGTCACCCGCACCGTGGCCGGTCAAGGGCAAAGGCCCCGTGACGAAGCCAATTTTCCTGAGTCACCCTCTGGCCGGGGTGGGGGTGTTCCAAATCCATGGACCTAGTAGTCTTCACCAAAAGGGAAAGTGGGGGGGGGGGTTCAGGGGATAATGTGAGTGTGAAACACACAACTTGAGAGAGGACAAACCAAAAGCTGGCCAGAAGTGCGCACACTGCCTTTTCACCAGCCTTACAGCAGGTGTGAAGCCAGTCCCAAACAAACCAGGAAAGTCGGACTGGCAAGTCTAGACAAAGCATGCGGCAGGGTAATGTGTAACAGCAGCAAATGGCAAAACAGTCCACCTTGTTTTTCCAAATTCTATTGGGCAAACGGGACCGTCAGCCGTCAGGCGCTTTTTGTGCCAACAATCTTGTCACCCCCCCCTCCCCCAAAGGAAAACCTCAGGCAAAGCCTCTTCTTTGGTTTGCTGGTCTTTTGCTAGCTTTCGATGAGGGATGCTCCAAACCCCTTAAAGGCGGCACCTCCTTTGCACTCAACTGGGTCTGTTCAGTTAGACCTTGCCCACATAATCAGGCTTTTCACTTTTCCCGACAGCTTGCCTCGATGCCTGGGGGGCGTGGGGGGGGTGCCGGGGGGCGGCCCTGCGGGGGGGCCCGGGGGGGGCCCGGGCCGGGGCCCCGCCCGGCCCCCCCCACCAGGCTTCGGCTCGGTTCTTATGTCTGTGATGCTCAAGGGCTACACTGTGGGAACAGCAACAGACTCGCTGCGTCCTGCGGCTCTCTACTGTCTCCCCCGATTCAAGCAACAATATCAAAGGACTTCATGAGGGTGTCTGAGACCTCTCACCGAGGTGCTGCGAGAGGTTGCCGTGCTGCCGCAGGAGCTGCACCAAAGGGAGGCCATGGCTCCCCAGGGAATCATTGGAGGAGAAGGTGTTCTTGTCCCAGACCTGGGCGCCACATCTAATATCCACCCAATGCACCAAAGGGTTGGCTTCTTGAGAAGCAGGTTCACCTTCCTTAGGTCCTTGCAGCGGCTGGTTTTTTGCAACAAACTCGGTAACAAACGACGAATGGCATTGCAGAGTTCAAAAGCCGTCGGTTGCGATGTTAGAAGGCGGAAAGGCACGAGCGGGCATGCAGGGGTCACATGCGTTGAAACAACTGGCCATGGTCTGAACGAGCTCTCGCCAAGCGCTGTGCATTGATGTGTCTACATGTTAATGGCGGCGAATGGCTGCAAGGTCCTGAGGCAAAAAAACGCTCAGCCCGAATGTGCACGACGCGTTTTGGTCACGCCTCATCGCTAATGCACTTCTCTCCAACAAGTACTCAGTTGCCCAGAACCCAGAAAAGAACAATTTGCCTTTTGGGGTCGACTAAAAATGAACCAAACACGGGAAACTAACAGATAAAAAAGGCCGGCTTTGGGCCAGAGAGATTAGCGACGCCCACATATGCAAAGCATATCAGCGGTCCGCGCACATCAAACAAACACGCACACACACACACACGAACACATACGAACACACACGAACACACACGAACACACACACACACACAGACACACAGACACACAGAGACACCGAGACACAGAGACACAGAGACACAGAGACACAGAGACACAGAGACACAGAGACACAGAGACACAGAGACACAGAGACAGAGACACAGAGACACAGAGCACGCGCACGCACACCCACACACACACACACACACACGTGCACACGCAAACGCAAACATGCAGGCCCACGAGCACACACACACACACACACATGTTCATGTCTGGCAAAAATGCCGTTTGATGCATGCTTGGACCTCTCCCGAGAAAAAGAAGGCACTCCTTGCCCCCGAGTTTCAAAATAACTCTAGAAGCACTGAGAAGAAGTCAGCTGCCGCCCGCATTTTGCTGCCAAAAGGCGGAGATGTGCAACTTCGGCATGTCGCTGAGGGGGGCTCGGTTTATGTTCATGACAACTTCTTCCCAAACACCGGTCTGAGGATCCTGCGTGGCTCAGGGCCGTGCATGCTACTTGAGCAACCGGCAGAAATGACAAAAAAATGTGCATGCATGCACACACAAACAAACACACAAACACAAACACGCTAAATGAAAACCAAGCAAGAACAAAAACAAACAGGGCACAGGAAGTACACGCCTTTGTGGCTGCTAGTGTTCTAAATTAAGTGCACGCTCCAGAAGCCGCCAAAATATGATGCTTTCCTGAAGCGGCAATGTTTCCCCAACAAGAAGCAGAAGAACCGAGCCCGATTCCAAAACATGGCAGGTACACAGAATCGTCGAAGTCACCACTACTTGTGTGTGGCAAGGTTACCCCCCGTGGAACGCAGTCCATCCACAAAGTCAAAAAGTCACCGCCGAAATTTGCCTGAATGTGACGCACAATCATTTCAATGAAAATATGTTGTCAAGAATCCGCCAAGTTGCAAAACACACTGGAACGCAAGTCACTGCCACAGAAAAACGCATACTTTTTCAGCCTCGGAAAGCAAGCAAACCCCATAAAACGCAATATGCAACAACTCCTCTAAAACTTGGCACCAGATTGCCAGATTGCCGCAAAAGTGGGCAAGATGCATGGAACGCACGTCCCAGGTAAACATAAAAAGTGCCTGCCAAGTTGGAAACGTTTGTAGTGTTGGAAAGGGACCAAGTGCTAGCGCAAGCAAGAGAGTGCTGAGAAGCTCGGGTTGAGAACGTGCAGGGGGCTTTTGGACGAGACCCCGGACGAGACCCCGGACGAGACCTTGTGAATTTACGAACGAGACCCCCAAGTGTGCCGCATGAGACATGGCCCGGCAGCAGCAGCAGCAGCAGAAGCAACAGCAAAAGCAGCAGCAGCAGCAGCCAAAGAACACGCGCGCGCAGATCCCAACGGCCCATGGCCACGGAACGCAAATCCCAACGGCCCACACTTAGATGGGCTGCGCAACTGCTAGCCGTTTTCATTTTTATTGTCATTTAGCAGCACTATATTAGCACTGGCCATACTAATTTGCCTAGTCCTTCTTGGGCCACTATGGCGCTGGAAAACTCATCAAAAACATGATGCTATGTTTTAGCTCTTTGCTTAGCTAGTGACCTGCTAATTCTTAGCTTTTGAATTCCGTCAAAATTATGCTAATTAGCTAAGTCCTGCCTTCCAAGCTCCCTGAGCAACAGTTGACAGATGCACTTGCAGTGTTCTCACTGCGCCTACGCCTGCGTGTCATGCTGGATGCTTGCTTAGAAGGATGATGTGAAGACTATGAAGGCAGCACGTTTGAAGCCTAGGCAGCTTTGCACATGTAAGTGCCCATTGCCATGTTAACAGTTCAGCTTATGGCCTGCTGTTGGCTCAAGAGGCCCGGGTGGTTCATTGGGTAGGCTGTGTGCGAAGGCTGGCTTTGCTGGCACAACTAAAGAGCAGGCAGGTAAGGCTGCAGTCAGCTCATGCAGCTCAAGTTTCTGCAGGGGTGCAATCTGTTCTGCAACATGCCTTGTGTGCTCAAGAAGGACGTGCATATGAAAAGCAACTGCACATGCATGATCAGCAAAGCGCCGTCATTCATGCAACAATGAAGAAGTAGATTGCTGCCAGCAGCCAGCAAGCAGTCATGCTTGCAAAGCATGTGGAGGAGGTGCAGGATTCTTGACATGGAGGACAGCAGAATGGAGCTGAACACCAAAGTCAGTGTGATCTCACAGACCTTGCTCATCAACAGCCTGGCTTACAAGCAGGTGCTAGCCCCAAGTGCCCTTTCGACTTTTGACACACGCATGCACAGAGGAGGCACAATGGTGAATGCCTATGATGTTTACGTTTGCACACTAGCAACTCAACCTTGAAAGGCCTATTATGGCTTCAGCACAGCCAAATCATATGTGTTCTCGGTGTGCTTTGGGTTCGGCCTCTATGAATTTATGCTGAAAGCTTTGGCTGCAGACACACAAGCGCACGGCCAGTCCTTATGCATCGTAGGCCTTCCGAGGGATCCATGCAATTACATTGGTAGATTCGATGCGAGGGAGAAAGGAAATGAGCCCACCCAAGCACTCCACATGTCCTGCGAAGCTTTCGCGTTCGGTGGCCTCGGCGGCGCTTCGCAAGGGCACACGGCGTAGATGTCACCTACTTCTGTAGGATGAATCTCAAAACCATTGGTCATGTCAGGCAACACATGCATTTGTGAGGTCGCAGGATTCGCCTGCGAGCAATATTGGACTCTTTGCTGGCCATAGGGAGCATTCATGGGAGGCGGCTAACGTGGCAGTTGCTAATATTCACTTGAGAGGTTGTTCCAACATGACAGGGCCACCGATTTTGGCAGCAAACGGCTGTGGTTCCCGGCGCTGGTGGAGCAAAGGGTGGCGGCCCGGTCGAAGCAGCCTCGTGGATTTCCTACAATTCTGCTGGAGATACTGTATCTCGGCTTCCCGGCAGCTGGGCCATGCGAGGCAGCTCCAAAGGGCCTCGGCCAAGTGATCGGGCAAAGCCAGGCTTTGCGTCTGGCAAAAAACAAACACCTTGAAGCGGGAACCTCTCATGGATAGGCTCGTGTTACCCCAGGTTACATAGCACAGGAAGATGGTGTAAGCGATAGCTTACCTTCCCACTCGAAATCAAACCCACCGGAAGGAACAAAAATGTGTTTGCAGGGACCTCCAGTCAAGTTCCATGTTAAGGGTGGACGGTCCCATTATTTTCCCTGCCCAAAGAAACATGAGCACCCAAAGGCGTAACTGCAGTGCTGAATCCGCAGCAACCCCCCGAGCCCCAACCCTTGCAAGTTTGCTGTCGGCAGATGTATGGCGTCGATTTGTGGAAACTGCCTGTTAAGCCCTGATTGGGTACAATTCTTGCATGGAGACCCTTCGGGCATCATTTTTATGGCGACCCATGCAACCACAAGACCTGGCCTGCTGAGCTCGCTGGCCCAGAGTTGGGTCGTTTGGTTCTTAAGGCTTCAACATAATAGGTAAATAAATTATATCAAGGGTGATACAGTGGCCAACTAGGTGTGAATCGTCATGGGGCGCCCTCCGGTGAACAACATAATATTTAGGTTACTGGTTTCCCATCAACGGCGAAATCGATTTCAAGCCAGCCCAAACTTCCGAAACCGGGTCCCCAGGCTCTCTTGCTGCGTGCCACTCGCCTCAAGGAGGCAATGCCCCAACTCGAGCGAGTTGAATTCCATAATTCATACGAAAAGTGACCGATTCTGGCATCAATGGCTTTGAGAAACACACAAATCTGCACTGTTGGTAAAATGTGGTGCGAATCGTCATCGGCCCCTCAGCAAAAGAAAAGGCTGGCTGGTCTGAATTCACTGACAATTCCCTGCCAACATGAACACCCGAAAACGTACGAACCCGCAGCGACCCCATCGCGGGCCCCCCCTTGCCAGTTGCAACCGAAACAATCATGCTGCTGCTGCCACCTTTGCTTGTGCTTTGGCATGCATGCTGCACTTAGAATGTGGCTGCTGGCTCTTCTCTGCTTTCTGCTGCTTTGCTTGTCACAGCTACAATGAGCCAAGGAGTGAATGTCCTTATAAGCACTGTGGCTATCAACTTAAAAAACCGCTGCTGCAAAAATGTGTCAATGCAACGAGTCTGAAAGCGGCGTCAACGCTTGAGCCTGTGCTGGCTGACAATCGTTGAGCTGAGCCTTGGGATGGCTGACCCTGCTGCCAACACTACACTGTTGCTGCCCACGCATGGCACTTGCTTTTCCTGCAGCAGCAAAGCCAGGTAGCAGTCTGGCACCGATTTCTGACTAGCCTCCCCACCTTTATGGTGAAAAGTTGCAGATTGCTACTGGTTGGCCTTGAAAGCCAACAGTCTTCCTTCAAGCCCACAGACGGCAGTTGTGAAGGATTTCAAGCAGAAAGCAGTGTTGGCCCTTTGCTGCAGCAGTTTGATGCTATGACCTTAAAACAGAGTGTGGTGAAACGTGCATTTGGGAAAGGAGGGTCTTACCATGACCTCATTATGAAGACACACTTGGCAAAACGAAGCAATTTGACTGATCCTTGGGGTACGCAGATGAACTGCGCCCAGATAACCAGCTGGCAAGAAAGCAGTGCGCAGTTTATGCGACACTGGCATCCTTTGGGCAATCAGTGATTGTCTAACCCTGCAACTTGGACGGTGCTGTTTTGTGCAGAAGTGAAATTTTAAACCAGCTTGATGGCAACATTAGCCAGTGCGTCAAATTCTTACTGTACTCCATGTTCAACAACCCCTGTGGCAACCCAGCCAGTGCCACTGCAGTGGTGGCACAAGAATAAGGCTGTTTCGGCAAGATGGTGGATTCCTTGGAGTGCTGAAAGCTCTACATGACCATACGGCTAGCCATGTGCGCTTCGATGGAGGGACCTCCGCGGAGTTTGTCCCGGACAAAGGGCTCCGGGAAGGCTTCCCCGGTCCTCTTCAATTTGTACCACCATGGTATTATGGAGGTATTCCGAGCACGACGCGCGCGGGCGGCACAGGAGCGACAAATGACGCCAGGCGTCACGTGGAACTACAAGGTCGATGGGAAGATCGGAAAGAGACGCATGGACCGCCTAGCGGACTTCGTGGCAGGCACAGTACTTTCGCGAGGTCAGCTGCAGATTTCGCGGCAGGCGCAGCACTTTCGCAAGGTACGGTGCAGAGTTTGACGCAGTGAAAAATATACAGAGATATAAACATGAAGAAAAAGGCAGAAAACAGAGAGAGAGAGAGAGAGAGAAAGAAAGAAAGAAAGAAAGAAAGAAAGAAAGAAAGAAAAAAGAAAGAAAGAAAGAGAGTGATGATCGAGGAAGTGATGATTCAGCAAAGGTTGCGTTAAGCTCTGTAAACAATCTGAAAATCAGCGGGGGGGCTGGGGGGGGGCGACAGCCCCCCCGATGATGTTCGAGGAAGTGATGATTCAACAAGGGGTGCGGCGTTCAGCTCTGTAAGCATTCTACAAATCAGCAGGGGGGGGGGGGGGGGGCTGCCGCCCCCCCATGATGTTCGAAGAAGTGATGATTCAACAAAGGGTGGTGATGATCGAAGAAGTGATGATTCAGCAAAGGGTGCGGAATCTCTGTAAACATTCTGAAAATCAGCGGGGGGGTTTGGGGGGGCGGCAGCCCCCCCCATGATGCTCGAAGAAGTGATGATTCAACAAAGGGTGATGATGATCGAAGAAGTGATGATTCAGCAAAGGGTGCGTTAATCACTGTCAACCTTCTACAAATCAGCGGGGTGGTTGGGGGGGGTTCCTTCCTTCCTTCCTTCCTTCCTTCCTTCCTCCCTCCTCCCTTCCCTCCTTCCCTCCTTCCTCCCTTCCTCCTTCCTCCCTTCCCCCTTCCTCCTTCCTCCTTCCTTCCTTCCTTCCTTCCTTCCTTCCTTCCCTCCCTCCCTCCTGCCTGCCTGCCTGCCTGCCTGCCTGCCTGCCTGCCTGCCTGCCTTCCTTCCTTCCTTCCTTCCTTCCTTCCTTCCTTCCTTCCTTCCTTCCTTCCTTCCTTCCTTCCTTCCTTCCTTCCTTCCTTCCTTCCTCCTCCCATAGGAATGAGCATAAGATTTGTTTGATGCCTAATAAGTTTGTTTGATGCCTAATAAGTGTTGTTTGATGCCTAATAAGTTGTTTGATGCCCATCCCGGACAAAGGCGCGCCTGTCCATGTCTTTTGGGTGTGGATAGTGCAAGTTAAGGCAAGTTAATTGCTAGCTCATTACTAGCTAGTGACTTCTATTATTTGTTATACTTAACTTGCCTAATTATGTTAAAGTATTAGAAGGCTATACCAATTGGCCGGCCCATCTAAGCAACATCCATGCGAAACTACTCCGCACAATTTCAACGCCATTGAAAACACTCAATTCCAAACCACAACGGTAACGCAAGCGGCTACGACTTTGCCAAGTTGGAACCCCCATGGCATGCAAATGCCAACATAACACGGCGGCGACTTCAACAAGTTTGCGTACCCGCATTGAGTAGACCCGATTCGCCATGACTATCGTGGCTTCATTGGGCGCCTGCACGAGCTGCAAACAAAGCCCAGAAGGTCAAACCCGCGGTGCGCACCCCTCTGCCCAACGCCAGGCTTGAAATCTGCAAATTCCAGGCTTACTAAACAAACAATCAGTAAGGGATCCACGACTGAAAGACCTTCATGATGGTGAGCTTATTTTGGCCCGGGATGGGATAAACTTGGCAGTTCTAATGGCCCCCGGACGACTTCCTGCAAATCGCGCCTTCCACTCAGGGTTCCTCTCGTTGTTCCAGACCACGGTAGTGATGGCTGGTCGTGCCACACCTGGACAAAAGTCTTGTACCACGAGCATTGTTTCTGCGCAGCCACTTGCAAAAATGGCTGAGCTTGTTCAGCCAAGCACATGACAGGAATGGCGACGACAACAATTGGTCTCCAACAAATGCCCCACTGCCATCTCAAAAGGCTGGTGGGCATTCAAATGGGTACTGGTGAGTCAAAATGGATTGTGTGTGTGTGGGTACCTAATTTTGCAATAGCTTCGGGAAGCAGACGGGGCTCCCCGCGCAGAATAGCCTAGAGCCACAGTCAGAATATGCAGTTGCCATACAGGACCCGCACAAATTCTGGGGTCTTCGGCAGGAAATAGGAATGTTTCCTAACAGGTCTTCCTCCAGGGAGATCCCCACCTCCAAGCGGCAAAAGCTTGGTCGCAGGCTTGGACCAAAGGTCCAAACGGCCAGTTCCCACCGGTCTAATCAAACAATTCATCAATATTTACACGTGCCCACCCGTCCAAAACAAATGGATGAATATCATGTTGGTGACGTACCGTAGGGAACTTCCATGTCCCACCCAAAATTGGACGCCGATTCCGGGGAGACTGCCTCCAAAAAGGGAAGCCCCGATGAATCAACTGGGTTCAAATTACATAAATTACTTGGTTGACAATATTTTGTGGTTCTAGAACCCGAGCAAAAGGGGAAATAACTGCCCGTTGTTCTCGCCCTCGTCTTTGAGCCTCCCAGATCAAACTTCACGAAGGGATCCGACTCGTCGAAGCGGTCGGCGCTCCGCAAGTTCCGGGCCCGGATCTTGGTGAAGACCAGAGTGCCCGTCAGCTCCGGATCCTGCGACATGCGTAGTGGATCCCAGCAGAAAGGGGTGGTTTGGAGGGGCCTGAAGAAAAACAATGATATTTTTTTGGTTTGCCTCAAATGTCAATTCTTGCTTGAGGACATGTCAGCCTCCACTTTTTGGTGATTGGAATTGTTGCTTTAGAGGCCGTGGAGGGTTCCCATTTACTCTCAAAATTTGCAAGGGGTTGAAATCCAAACCACCATTCCAAAAGTCCAATTAGGGGCGCGCTGTGGAACACAAACAAACTCCGGGACAATCCCGCCCTCTCCCCAAACGGAAAGAATGCCTATGGGGACAGGGACCTTTTGGTGGTAAAACCCTTTTCATGAATTACTTCGGACGGGCAAACTTCTGGTCAGAGCTGAGGCGCAGAAGAAGCCACCTCGTTTGACCCCACATTCAGCAGTGCGTTCCACCAGTGCGGCTGCGTGCGCACCCCCGTCGCCGTTGTTGGCGCCTGCGCCAGAAGCCGCAAATCAGCCTCTCTATGCTTGGTGCTTTGGATTGGCGGTTTGACGAGGGCGGTTTCTCTTTTACCCTATGCAAGAACCAAAGGTTTGCTAAATCCCCATGCCACGACTCCATACCACCAATTGGCAGAAAGCGAAAAGGGTGACATGGGTTACGGTAAAGCCAAAAGGGTGACATGGGTGACCCGGTGACCCATCCGTCAAAACCTGCTTGGCCTCAGTCGCGCCGAAGCAAGGCTCTCCCAAAGGATCCTACTCCTTGCACTCTTCCCATGAAACGCCACGGGTTGCCTGGCCTTTGCTTCAGAGCCATCCGGACTGTGAGAATGGCTTGCAAGTATTGCCTGCAACACATACCCCACTGCAAAGAAACAAGCTTGAATTTGGCCTTCTCAAAGTGATGTTGAAACCCACATGTTGAATGCATCACATGAGTGTCTCCTGTTTCAGTGTCCTTTTTGTGGGCTGTTGAAAAAGAGAACCACCAGAAAACCATGGGCTTCCCACACTTGGGGGCCAACCCATTGTTCTTTGAACAGGCTATCCAGGCAAGGGAGCTCACCAACCGGCATTTGCCAAAGGCGCACGTTCACAACCACGAACGGTTGTATAGGAACGGGGTCCAGGGCACCACAATACGGTGCGGCGAAACTGTGTTGAAACCAAGGGGAGTCTTTTACCCCTTTCAGTTTCGGCGATTCCCTGGACCAGCCCCGGTTGAAGCAACTCCCCACTTGATCTTTTCCTTTCAGGTTTGTCTCAAAATGTGTGGACCCAAAGTGCACTTTGGGTCCCAAAGAAGGGTACCAAGAAGGGCATTGGAGCACCGCGACCAAATCCACGAATCAGTGCTTCAGACGGCCTGCTTCAGCTGCCGCGCCCGGACACGCCAATCCTCCTGGGGCACCCTACCCTCCTGTCCTGATCGGTCCTACGGAAACCCAGTTGAGCTGGAAAAACAAAAAAAAGTATTAAAACTCTTATCCCAAGTGTTTTCATTGCAAATCCAAGCGGCGGTCTTCACAAGCATGAGGTCTCCCAATAGCATGCCCCGTAAACCGCTGCAAATGGTCTGCTAAATTTTTCACTCGGCAAATTTGCTGGGATCTGCAGAAAAAAATGCAAAATGCAGAAATGGGCCACTCCTGCTCCAAGCAGTTTGGGGGCATCTGCGGGTTTGCGCGGGACTTGCGCGGGACTTGCGCGAAAACTTGTTACCCTTCGGGCCATGATAACGATTCTGATGATGATTATGATAATGGGCCAACTGTTGGCACTGATGCGGACTCCACAAGAGGCTGATTCACAGGAAAATTGTCTTCAGGATCACCCCCAGCTTTTGCCAACAAAAACAATGAGATGCTGGCGCGTTGTGAACCTGCAAATGCAGGTGTTAAAGAGCGCTTCAGTCTGGTGGTTTTCAAGGGACGGGCAGAAAAACAAACTGGTGGTGCTTTGAAGGTGGCCTGAGAATACCTTATGATGCTGTTTCGTGGCTTCAACCCCGCCACCAATCCAATCGACCGGGGCTAGCTGAGACTGGCTGTATATAAGTGGAAATGGGCAAACATGGGAAGAGGGGGAGGCTGCTGTTTGTGCGCCGGGGCATGTTTTAAGGAAACCACAGGTGTACATGGCATACATCAAGGGCAGCAACCAGCGAGGTGATAATACGAAAACTGCTGAAGTAAACGACATGCTGTTCACGTTTTCTGGTGGAAGAAACAAAGAATACAACTTCCAGAAGTAAGGATGTGTTGTCTCTTCCGCTTCACTCCGGCCAACTCGCGAAAACCAACAGTTGGTTGTGGGGAAGCAGCGCACATGGCTTGCTTGGCGTCCCACCCGACGTGGAACCTGCGTCCAGGACCCCCGCCCCACCTGGGCGGTTCCCAGCAGCCGCTCCAAGTTCTGTGGCCACCGCATGGCCAGCGGCTCCGCCTCTGGCCACCGCCGCCGCTCCGGAACCTCTGAGCCCGGATGAATTCCCCCCTGTCCGTGGGAAAGGTGGCTCCATGTGGCTCCTCCAAAAGTGATGAATCCCACTAAATGCGGACACCCACCCGAGAAACAACCAGGAGGTTTATCAATCAGGGGTTTCTAATGGATGGGGACCGAAGGGGGTTGACCGCTTTCATAAGCGGGATCCCATCAAAAACGATTTCAAGGGCGAACGTCGAACGCTGCGCACGGGGTTTCGCACCCTAAAGATCCCAAAACTGGCGGGGTTGAATCGCACGTTCGGAAAAGTAAACGGAAAAATCAAAACAACTTGGTTTCCTCTGGCAAAGGCGAACAATAATGGACCACATGATGTTGACCCCAGATTAATAAACCCCCACAAAAACAAAAAGACAACCGGGGATTCATTATGCTAGGGTCCCACTCCCCAAAAACGCCACAAGCCAAACCGCTGTGAGGGCCAGGGCGCCAGTTGAAGGAAGGCCTCGGCACAGGCGAAGCGGCATTTCTCCGGGTCCCGGAGGAAGTATGCGGCCCGACGCTCCAAAAGCTCCTCGCACGCAACGAGTCCCAAGCTCCACTTCCTAGAAAAATTGTAAATAATTAGGATACTTGGGGCGAATCCCCACAAACGGCTCCGTCCCGTTGGGAATGGGTGCCACAACCAGGATAATCAGAACAGAATGACCTGGAAACCACACTGGACTTCCCCAAATGGCTTGAAAATAACGAGACTGAGTAAAATAATTGGGTCAACCATGAATGTTGAATTCCCCAAAAAGTACCCCCCCCTGTGGGAACACATCAGAGCATGATGCTTGTTATGAGAAGTAGACTAACTCGAACATTTGACCCAAAATGCACCCGCCCCTTTGGGAATAAGTATAACATCACGCTTGAATTCGCCAAAGGGCACCCGTCCCTTGGTGAAATATATATATATAATAGTTAGAATAGCTGTAAGAATTAGGACAATGCATCTGGAATTCCCCAAAGCGCGCCCGTCCCTTGGGAAATAAATAGAACCAGTGGAAAAAAGAGCCCTTTGTGAGGCTGACCATTTGTTTGGCGGCTGTCTCTCACCAACGAAAAAGACGTGAAACCTCACGGCATTCCTGTCATGTTTGGCACCGAGCCCTGTGTTCGTGTCTGCCCACATCGAAAACCATCATACAGGTCGGTATCTTCAGGTTAATGTTGTTTTTCCCTGTTATCGAGGAACTTGAAGCCCGGCCTGCACACGGAGAGCATCCCAGGGGCTGAATCGCTCCAGCGTCTTCAGGAGCTGTTGCCCACGAGCCTCAGTCTCCATCTTGCTGGGCTTAACCGGGCTTTCCCCTGGTTGATTCTCCTGCTTGGGAAAAAACCGGGTTGAAAGTGATCTTTTGGCTGGTCCCCATTTTGAGGGACCCTGACCAAACAAAGCCCCTGCATAGGGACGTGTTGTTCTCCTGGGCTCCCAAGGCCTAAAGGTCGAAGCACCTCTGGCACTCCCCCGGCCTTGGCGAGCTTTGCGCGGAACTGCTCGAAGGCGAGACTCGCCACGTCCACTGCCTGCGAGTAGCAGGCCGCGCCCTTGCTATCCAAGGGTACAAAGGCCATGGATAGAGTGGGGCTGTGGGGTACCTTTTCAAGTTACTGTGGAAGCAGCTAGCCCCCTTATATATCTTTTACCCTTCGAGCCCCTTGCAACATCAAAGGGTGCCGAAGCACCTCGGGGCGTGGAAATAAAACATCAAAGCAACTCTTTTGGACTTTGCAAGGGTTTATGGTCAAAGCATTGTCAGCTGCTCACATGGGCTATAACCAGCGGACTACATACACTCCTGCAGGCAACGTTAACATGAAACCCACATACATGCATTTATGGAGGAATCTCCTCCGGGGGACTCCCTTTTTGGCTCCACCTTGCAATGCTAACTTGCAGGGCAGTGTTCCTCCGAAAAGAGATTTCCCTCCTAAAAGGCAAGACATCACCTATTCATCAAGCAGGGGTTTTATTCAACAACTGGCCTGCAACTACCCCAGTCCCTCCGCCCTGGGCTTCTCCTGCTCGGCATGGCGGTGTGCGGGGTCTATTTGGAAGTCGCCCATGAGCGACGTGTGGCTCTTGATGGACTTCTCCCAGGCTGTGATTGCCCCATCCAACTGCTCCTGGAAAACAATGAGTCTTTGTTCTAGCATGGCTCACGGGGTGTGGAATTAGGGGAGTCTGGAAATGCATCCCCCCCGCCACTGTGACTTTGCTTTTGGTTGAAAACCATTCCGGGCTTTTTCCACCCAAGCACATGCCAGGCGATGTTGGACCTTGAGCTGGGGCTCTGGCAAACATCAGAAATCGCAGACGCGTCCACCCCCGGGTGGTACCCAATTGCGACATTTAGTGTGGGCTTTCCAACACAGAATTCTCCAACTCTTAGGTAGCCATTGCTTGCTTGAAAGCACAAACTGTGTTGAAATTGCTCTCAAAATGACTCAAAATGCATTTGCCTCATCAACGTGTCCCGTGCCACCATTATCACATTAGCTCAAGAAATGACATCCAACGGGGTGCATGTAAGACACGGTCCGCATTCGATTGACTCTGTGTTTAGTTTATTTCTTGTGAGCCCCTATCGTATTCCAAGCTTTAGCATTGTGCGAGGTGTCGTGCAAGGGTATCGCTGTGTGTGTGTGTCTGTGTGTCTGTGTCTCTGTGTGTTTGTCTGTGTGTGTCTGTTTGTCTGTGTGTGTCTGTGTGTCTGTCTGTGTGTGTCTGTCTGTGTGTGTCTGTCTGTGTGTGTCTGTCTGTGTGTGTCTGTCTGTGTGTGTGTCTGTCTGTGTGTGTGTGTCTGTCTGTGTGTGTGTCTGTCTGTGTGTGCGTGTGTCCGTGTGTGTGTGTGTCTGTGTGTGTGTGTCTGTGTGTGTGTGTCTGTGTGTGCGTTTGCCTGTGTGTGTGTGTGTCTGTGTGTGTGTGTGTCTGTGTGTGTGTGTGTCTGTGTGTGTGTGTGTCTGTGTGTGTGTGTCTGTGTGTGTGTGTCTGTGTGTGTGTGTGTGTGTGTCTTTGTGTGTGTGTGTGTCTGTGTGTCTGTGTCTCTGTGTCTCTGTGTCTCTGTGTGTCTGTGTGTCTGTGTGTCTGTGTGTCTGTGTGTCTGTGTGTCTGTGTGTCTGTGTGTCTGTGTGTCTGTGTGTCTGTGTGTGCTGTCTGTGTGTCTGTGTGTCTGTGTGTCTGTGTGTCTGTGTGTCTGTGTGTCTGTGTCGTGCGTCTGTGCGTCTGTGCGTCGTCTGTGCGTCTGTGCGTCTGTGCGTCTGTGCGTCTGTGCGTCTGTGCGTCTGTGCGTCTGTGCGTCTGTCTGTGCGTCTGTGCGTCTGTGCGTCTGTGCGTCTGTGTGTTCTGTGCGCGCGCGCGTGCGTGCGTGCGTGTGTGCGGGTGCGTGTGGGGTGTGGGTGTGGGTGTGGGTGTGGGGTGTGGGTGTGGGTGTGGGTGTGGGTGTGGGTGTGGGTGTGGGTGTGGGTGTGGGTGTGGGTGTGGGTGTGGGTGTGGGTGTGGGTGTGGGTGTGTGTGTGGGTGTGGGTGTGTGTGTGTGTGGGTGTGTGTGTGTGTGTGTGCGTGTGTCTGTGTGTGTGTGTGTGTCTGTGTGTGTGTGTGTGTGTGTGTGTGTGTGTGTGTGTGTGTGTGTGTGTGTGTGTGTGTGTGTGTGTGTGTGTGTGTGTGTGTGTGTGTGTGTGTGTGTGTGTGTGTGTGTGTGTGTGTGTGTGTGTGTGTGTGTGTGTGTGTGTGTGTGTGTGTGTCTGTGTGTCTGTGTGTCTGTGTGTGTGTGTCTGTGTGTCTGTGTGTCTGTGTGTCTGTGTGTCTGTCTGTCTGTCTGTCTGTCTGTGTGTCTGTCTCTCTGTCTCTGTCTGTGTGTCTGTCTGTGTGTGTCTGTCTGTGTGTGTGCGCGCGTGTCTGTGTGTGTGTGTCTGTGTGTGTGTGCGCCCGCTATTGGTGATATGCACATTGCAAGGCAACGTAAACAACATATACTTCCATCATGCTGCTTCGTGATAAACTTGACCCTGTCTCATCTGAGAGACCAGGCTGCCTGGTCTCATCTGAGAGACCAGGCTGCCTTCTAGCCCCGCAACACACTCCGGCGTCAGAAAAGGGAACAGCTGTCCAACAGTGGCCTGGGAACTTTCGCGTTTCTTTGAGGAAGGGTTTCTTCTTTGCGTTGCTTTCGGCCCGAACTATAGAATTGCAGGCCACAGTGGATGTCGGATTTCCGGAGCAGAGGTCAAACAAAGCGTCCCCTTGAAATGTCACCATCCAACCAGATGAAAGCATCCCACCAGACGTTCCTGTGCTTGGGTTCCTTGAAACTTCAGGTGCCACTGCATGTTGCTATCGGCCTCCCCAAATGCAGGGTGCCACCGGCTTTCAAGCACCTCGCTGACCAATTCACAAACAGTAGGAGGATGGACTGGGAAATTCATTTAAACCAAGCCACAGATTGCCCGTACAAGATCCTCCAAGTAGATGTTTTTTTGGGAACAAATGGAACTCGAATTGGAACCGGCAACACCTAGTTTCCACAAGCCTAGCCTACAAGAACATCTATAGGCTATAGGACTTTTCCTTTTGGCTTTGCCCAAAATGTGGGGAATCCTTCATCCGAAACAGTAATCGGCAGAGGGACACCACCACAGCCGAGTCTGGTCTGGCCCCTGTGGGATTGAAAACACGACACGCCAAGCCCAGGCACCAGCAGCTGAAGCAGTGCTGAGGCATCAGCATCTGCGCCACTGGCCGGCAGGCCGCGATCGCGCTCCCGCCTGTCCACTGGTGATTGGCTCCTGCAAATCCAGGCGGATGTCAAATTTGGCAAACCCAACTGCGTCTTAGAAGCAGGGCCTGTTCAATCGCCCATAAGAGCTCACATCTCCAGCGGCCATCAGAAACCAACAAACAACCTCTTTTTGGCGCCTCTTGCAAGGGGAAACACATCCAAAGAAGCAATACAAGAGCACCACTGGAGGCCTTGAACTACAACCAAGTCTAGGCAACCGACAAAGCAACTGTCACTTTACCAAGGCTTGGCCCAAATCTGGGGTACACACAGCCAATAATATATTCAGACTCCGTGTCATATCAAGTCAACCCTTAAAACCAAAAAACTATAATTTGCAGGAGCCCAAAGGCCCCAAGGTCATCTCCATTGTGCTCCCATCTCCTACTGCCTTGGAAGATGGTCACTGGAGAGTCTGCGCCCATGGGAGAAGGCCCCTGTCGCGCGAAGTCCAGGCCACCCTCCCTGGCGAATCGCGTGAGGGTAGCTCTCATCGCCAGTTTGTTCGCAAGTGTGTGAGAAAGGCCGGAGAAAACGAAGACACATTTGCATTTCAAGTCGAAATGATGATGCCATCACCACCACCACCACGAAGCCGATCCCCAAATTGCTTTACCGGCTTTCTCAATAGATGCCATATCCTGACTTTATTTGTTTTGTGAAGTACCGCGCGAGCTGTTTGATCGTTTCACCCCTTGTCATAGCTCGGCGGCAGCAACGCAAGCGGCCGCGAGCATCGGGTTCATTTGTCGGTCCGTAAGGCAAGTGCTTTGTGGTTGCAAAAAAAGATCTCAAATATCTGGGTTCCCTTTTGTTTGGTCTGGCTCCCCCTGGTCAACTGCTCGGGAAGTTGAGTCTTCCATCCTCTCCCGTGCAAAGATCGCGCGGAACCCAACATGCGGCCCCCAAAAAGAGATTCCTCTGAATCACGGAACTAGGGGTGACAGCAAATGGGGCAACTCCCTTCATGTGGTAAATCAAGGGGATGACGAAACCCATGGGGAAAGATTCTTTTTTTCGGCGCCCCGCCAGCCGGCCACGCCTCTCTGCTGCCTCACTTGCCGGCGACGACCCGCCGAAGGCGTCGCCCAAAAGGTGCTGCATCTCCGCCCACATGCCACGGCCGCGCCTGAGTCTCTTCAAAGGGTTGCTTGTGCAAACTGCTACAATTCACAAACTGAATATATCAGGGATCCCCGTGTAATTCACTCAGGTGATTTCGTTTCTTAAAAGAGGACACCTCCCCACAAAACAAAGTAGTTTTCTCTTTGTTGTTCCCTTTCTGCTGCCCCAAAAAAACGGGTGCCCTCGCAAAAAACAACAACAACATTGATTACCAAGATGACACTCATGTTTCAGTGGCCCACGCGGTGATGTCTAAACCATGCAAAACTGCAACATAAGGAGCCACCCCCTTGCGCAAGGTTCAACTCGTCGCCAGTTGGTTCCTCATCCATATTTTTTCAGCCAGGCTGGGTGAGCCCCGCCTGTTCCTGTTTTGCTTGAGGCATTTGATCTGCGTGGGTCCAGTGCATGTACATGACATGGCGCGTTGCCGGTTTATGGTTGCCTACACTGCGTCCTGCCCGGTTTGCTGGTGTAGCATGCCCATTGCCGGTGCGTTTCTGGTCCTTCTGGTGGCCGGCAACAGCGCTGGGTCGACACTGTACGTGTCACTCTCTGCCATTTGGCAGGCCAGCCGGCGTGATAGTCCGAAGGTCAAAAGGGATGACGTACGAGAAGTACACGTCACGCTCGCAGTAGACGGACAAAGCCAATTTGCCAGGCGCCACGTGCCAGGATGCGCCAGGGCAAATGCAAGAGTAGCCGGCAAAAGTCCGCATACTTACGAAGAGTAGCCCCGTCACAACTCCAGCATGGATCTGGGATCTGGGTGTTCCGCATCATAGCCATGCTAGGATGCACAAACACAATCCACACCACTCATCTCCATGACTTTATCTCCCATCTGCTGCAACGTTGGCATGGAACTGGTAGGTCCTGGAACAAAGCCCATCAGGCCACGGTCACCCGAAGTGCGTGCCGATCGCTTGCAGGTACAGGTAAAGCACGCGCGAATGACGCGAAGCGTGCCCCGACTGGCCCACCGCTGGAGCGGGGCAGCAAGCATGTCGAATGCGACCACGCATTTGTCAAACGATTTCACAAATTTGTATAGCGCGTTGCGATCTGCGATGGATGTGACGTTTAAACCAACAGGTCACGGGTCCTGCAACCCTCACCACATTGCAGTCGAAGACGCGAGTGTCAGCTGCGTCGCGGTCTTGGGATCGTACAACCATGAAAGGGAATCGAAATAAGCGTTAATGCAATCGTACTACGATCAGTCGCGGACGCTCAAAGCCTACTACGCCAACGGCGCTGGTCAAACTGCACGCTGCACTCAGGGTCAACCAGTTGCAGACGTCGATGTGATGGGGAGGGATGCGACGCGCTAGGTGCACTTATTGAGTTCTTTGTCATTAGGATTTGTTTTCTTGCATTCAGCTTGCCCAAGGCTGCCACGAAGGTTAAAACAGCCAGATCCACATTACCCGCCCTCAGAACACAACTCCGTTGCACACACTGCCGCCAAGCCAAGCACGTGTTTGGCTGCAACGATTGCGACAGGATTTGCTGCACGCTCAGGACTTCGGGCTTGCTGTGATGTTCAACCAGAATCGCAAAAGCGCACTGGAGGAAGGCCAAGCAAGGACATTCTTCAGATCAAGGCTCTGCTCCTGTGTCTCGCTGGCCCGAGCGAGCAGGCCGTAGGCGCTTCCATTGATAAAGGCAACAAGGCGTGAGTATCTTATCACGTCCACGTCGTGGCCGGTGTCTGCTAGCTTCTCAAAAGTTGCCAGCGTGTTGCTCGTCGCAGTTGCAAGCTGCCCAGCAAGACTAGGGACTTGTCGCTAGTGGGGAACCTTTCTCAAGTTCCCCAGGAGGTTGGAACAATGTCAAGCCGGTAAAGGGAAACCTTTCGCCACATGCTCAGCACAACAAGTTGGAGGACTGAAACCGTTCGTGGGGAACTTTTGCCATTGCTCCAAAGGCTGGAAGATTCATGTCAAAACTTGGTGCGGACATGCTCCAAAAAAGGTTGAGATTAAAGTCAAACAACTAGTTAGCAACATGTTCTGTCATTTTTCGATACGTTGGAAGATGAAGGTCAACCGTCAGTGGGGAGCCTTTCCGTCATTTCTCAACAACTTTGCAATGCCATTGTCCAAAAAGGTTGGAAGACCAAGTTCACACTGTTGATGCGGGAACCAGTTTTGCATTCTCCCAAAGCGTGGAAGATTGAAGTCGCATACTGTTCAGTGTGGAACATGTGACACATGTTCCAGAAGGCTGGAAGGCTGAAAGATGTCCAAGTTCAAACCAAAAAGGCAACCAAGATTCGGGGGACTGGCGTCAAGCTGCAGGGCGCGGTCGGAATCTCTCCGAGAGTGCGACGTCGACATGGCAGTGCTGCAAAACCAATGTATCTCTGGGGCAGGAATGCGGATCGGGGCTGCTCTGCACAAAACGGTGACTGCACTGTAACAACTGCGATTGAACTGTTCTGTGACAGGTGGCCAGTGGCTGTGCTTTGTGTGATGTTTTGGGCGCCTGTGCCTTTGAGCAACTGCGTCAACTTCAGTTGTCACGGTGCAGGCTCATTCTATGCAGGGCCCTGGTGCATGTGCGGCTCTGAGCCTCAACCGTCGGAAACTGTCTGGCGCTCAAAGCAAGCCAGCTCTGGCTGAAGAGCGCGTCAACACAGCAACCTCATCCGCTTGCAATGGCTCTTTAACCAGCTGAAAAACCAAGTCTCTAAAGCTGCTCTCGCCTAATTGGGCCTTCCTCCTTTGATTAAAGAAGCTTTTGGCCGGTAATTACAACAGAACAGAACTGCCTGTCATTTCAAACATGATCCAAGCGCTTTTGGCTGATTCTATCAAACAATATATCTTAGCTTTTTCCCGCCAAAGTTTTGAACAACCATACGGATTCTGCCCGAAGTTTAGTGAACTTGGAAAAAGCATATTGACAAGAAAAGCGAGCTCCCAAGACTAGCCAGTCTGTGCAGGAAAACTCGGAAACTTCTTGCCTGGGCGAGTCGGCAGCGCGATGTCAGTATCGATCCGCCCTGACCACTGCGCTTTTGACCCAAAAAGCGGTTTTCGACGCGTACAACAAGTCGCACACACCGGAATTTCAGAAAGGAGATGGAACGACCTGGTTCATCGGTTTGGCTGTCTGACCCGTAGATCCGCAACATTAAGCGACAACTTGCTCAAAGCAATTTGGATGTGGCGCAGAATAAAGGTGCACTCGCTAATGAGTCTACCCCCTACACTGCAGAGCTTGTGCAGCCGAAAGGCCGCTCGTTGACTTCCCATGCCAAAAACAGCTAGCTGTCCAACAACGCGGGTGCCAAATCCGGCTCATGATGTGCATGAGAGTCCAGCCCAGCAACCTCCCAACTAGCAGGCAGTTAATTATCATGCATCAACTTGGCCGCACAATATGGACGCCCAGGTCCCAGGTATCAGGTATGTATCCATGTTGAGACTGGTGGCTGGTGTCCCTGAACTGGGCGATACTCAGGCACTAATTAGTCCGCATACCGACGTAGCTTTGAACAAAGCAGAGCTCGCAAACCTCTCCTTACCACCCCTTCTCGTAACGCCGGCCTCAGGTGCTAGCTTGGGATGGCTTCACCTGGCGAATGGGAAGCCCTGGAGCAGCAATTCAGCTATGACCAAGTGTGTTTGGGATTGTGAGCATGGCGCCGTTGGATTTGCGCAGTTAATCTATATAAATTGATTTGGTGCTGACAAAATTGGTCGTGTAACAAATGTTGTCCAAGCGCTCGAATGCTATTCACGTTTTTTTCAACCAAATCTGCCAAGGAGGAGGTAATTTGCCTTCCCTCTGACCGCAGACTGCGTGTAATTAGTAACCCATGATTCAACCTGGCCCAAGTTTGGGTACCCCAGGCAAGTGAAACCACGCTACAGGAGGGGTATCTTCTTCCCTCTCACTCACTCACTCACTCACTCACTCACTCACTCACTCACTCACTCACCCACCCACCCACTCACTCACTCACTCACTCACTCACTCACTCACTCACTCACTCACTCACTCACTCACTCACTCACTCACTCACTCACTCACTCACTCACTCACTCACTCACTCACTCACTCACTCACTCACTCACTCGCTCGCCCACTCACTCACTCACTCACTCACTCACTCACTCTCTCTCTCTCTCTCTTTCTCTCTCTCTCCCTCTCTTGCCGTGCAAAGTTCGTTTGCAGGGGGTGATTGCACGCCGCCGTTTTCTCAAGCAAAGGTTTATTCAAACTAGATAGTCCTCACTTTGGGCGGTTAAACTTGTTCGAAGGGTGGGGTGCTATCAAGCCAAACACAGGTCAAGACCGCCACTCGCTGATATCCAATGCTGGGCTTGCGTAGCCCTCCTGGTCATTTTTCCCGCTGGCCGTGTCAACTTAAAAGCTCTTCACAACCAGTGGAGCGTCAAATTGCAGCCATTCAGGCAGCAAGCTCTGGCAAACATGCCTTCTGACGGGCCAAAAGCAGTTGGCTGATTGGGTCTTCTGGTGAATGGACAAAATCCGAGTACTCTATGACTATCCAGCCGCCCTGCTCAGGGCAATGTCTGCCGGCAAGACTGTTCGTGCTCCACCGGTCGGGACGGAGAGTAGCTACGTCGGAACATGAGGCAACGTGAGGGCACTGAGTATAGATGATATTTGGCCCAGTCAAACTTTGCCAACAAAGGAATGACATGTTGAGCTCTGCCCGACCCCAACAGGCCCAGCAAGGAGCGCTCGCAAATTGCACGTCCGACTTCTCCGGCTGGCAAACCTGCCACCTAGCGTTCCATGGTTGAGACCCAGTTGCCCAGGTGACCCTGCCAAAAAACCAGGGACCCTCTTTCGGGATTAATGATGTCGACTGCGGGACCCAGCAAACAAAAAGGGATTTCGAGGGTGCCACTGAACAACTGGGCAGAAGTTGAGACTCATGATAGCCTTCGGCTGGAGGCTCGTTTCGACCTTGGTGCTTTGCACCATGCGTGTTCTCAAAAGGCCTGGAGCCCTAGGTGAAGTGTGGGGCAGTCAGCACGGCCGGGCCATTGCAAACACAGCATGTATTCCGCTTGGAGAGCCAGTTGGAAATGCACTTGTAGTGGAACCTCAGCTAATCTCTGGCAATGCTCGTCATACCAAACGAGCTTGCGAAAGTGCAAGTAACTGCAAACGCCTGCAATCTCCGAAAGTGTCCACCCTCTGACTGACCACTTGCCCAGTGACATAAAGGGAACATGTTTGGTGGGCCAGCATCATTCCAAGCGGGAACCAACCAAACAGTACTTCAGAAAATGCCACTGAACAAGTGGGAAACATGTCTCTTGAGATACGGGAAGTTCAAGGACAATCTGCATCCGTTGCCAGGTGGCTTGTGATTGCAGGGAAGCCTCAGGCAGCGCTCAGCATCACAAGCTCCACACTGAAGGAAAGGGTCATGAGTTGTGGGAAACCTTCAGCAGGCGTGAGTCAATCCCCCTTTAGGTGATCGAGTCATTCCGATACATGAAACCCCGATCGAGAGCACAACCTATGCCTTGATCTTGCACGCTGATTCCAAAGAGTCCGCTCAAGGGGGAACGAATGTACTGTATAACTTTCTTTCTCAGGTTGCCTGACCTGACAGCATTCAATTCAGGCTTTGCTCTCCACACTCGAGGCCTTCAAACGTCATGGTGGCTTTATCTAAGGATCCTTGAAACCTTTGCCGATTGCTGCGGCCAAAAATGAACAATCAACCAAGCCCTCACGCGCTGCTTAAGCTGGGCCTTCTTTCAGCCTATGGATTGCCAAGGTCCGGGCACACGAATGTCCTCTTTGGCCTCCATCACCTCTTGGCAAACCACGCAGAAGACCACCTCGCTCAAGGCAGGAGAACAGCGGCGGCTCTGATGGCTCTGACGCCGACCAAAACCACCCAACGAGAACGACTACCAAAGCGCCAGTGGAACAAAGGCCTGGAGAAGCTGATGGGCATAAGCTACTGATCCCAACTTAAAGGGGGATCCTGTGAAGCATTTGTGGTATCTCTGTTCACCCTCAATGACTGCGAGCGCACAGTCATGAATCAACCCCTGCTGGATCACTCAACGGTCTATTTAGCGAGGCTCCTAACCTCCTCAAAGCTAGCCCGCTCCCATCATGCTCTCAAAGCAAAGTTGGCAGTTGTTCTTCTTGCTTCCACGATCTTTCCAGGGATCATTGGTTTGAGGCAATGCTATCTGGAAGCTTGCAAGGTGTTTGGAAAGGAACAATACATGCAAAGGAAACTAAGCGTGGGACTTGGCAATGCTCTTTTCCAGTAGTGTTAGCTGCCCACAAATGTCTAACAGCCTCACACCAAAGTCATGATTGAATCAGCTTCACCCAGGATGTTGCCAGTGGGTAACACCTCCACATTGCGCGCTTGCCTGCTTAGCAGAATTCTGCAAACAGCAGCTGAAGCAGGCCAAATATGTATCAGTTTGAATCGAATACTAAAAGTTGCTGCGAAAACATTGAAAACAACATTGGGCCTCCTACCGCAACTGCTCAATTTCGCCGACACGCAAGAGTTGCAGTTGGTCCAGCGCAATTAGCCTTGCAAACCAGCAATGGCCATCCAAATTTTCACTTGTTCCACCCCTCCCGCCTCCCAAAACACAAAAAACGATTCAGAAAAAGCAGAACAAAGGTCCAAGCATGTCCAAGCAAAACATGGCTCAATCTCCTCGCCTGCTGGTTGCTGCTCACTTCCTGGGACTCCTTGTCCACCCGCGGCAGCTTGGGCACCACACTGGGGTCCACTGGCGGGGCCCCGCCCCCCACCAGGACCTCGGTGGATCGGTTTACGCCGCTGATCACAGGTTGGCGCGTCCACACTCCCAGTCCCAAAAGTTGTTCATGACAAACCTTGCCATGGTCCACATGTTGACAACCCATGGCTTTCTCTTGAACCCCCTGGCGTTTGGAAGACCGATCTAGCCTGTTTATATGAATCCATCAGCTTCACAAAGTATCGTCTCTGCACCCTGCCCTCGCACTCACTGCGAAAAGCAAGTGGGCTGGGAATCTGGCCCGGTCGCCTCTCCATCTCGGAAGGTGCAGGTAGCACAAGAACCTGAGCTGAGCATAGCAAGCAGAGACTTTTTACTAGCCACATCCCTTGCAGTCTCCAGAAAAAGCGATGGGGGAATGGACCCTTCTGACTTGCTTCGCAGAAGTGCGAATTCAGCCCAGCTGCTGGTACAGCGCCTCACACTGCTCCACGTAGGGGATCGCAAAGGTCAGGGATCTCAAGTAGTCTTGAATCCTAGCGCACTCTCACTGCAACCTCCCCCCACCCCTTCACACTTTGCCGCAGCCGCTTTGCTGACCCACAGGGAGGAAAGCATATCACAATTATTTGACAGTCTCTGAGTGTGCTGACTAGGGCACTTCTTGGGAGAAGCCCATGTTTGACTCTGTCCGGCGCGCTACGCGGCGCCAGGGGTCATGCGTGAGGGCGGCCAAGACCATTGTGAGAGGTTGATTCAAAGTGATGCCCTGCCGTTCCAAAGGTGTGACCAAGAAAACGAGCAAGCATTTGCCGACGCAGGCTGTGGATTTTTCCAGTTGGTAAAAGATGCTGGGGCATTCAGTCTCCCTGACGCTTGGTCACTGTGCAGCAGGTGCTCCCAAGAACTTTGGTTGTCGACTAGATCCTTCACGAGGCCACATAAATCTTGCCCGAAACCTGCCAGCAAAAGATAAGACATGTCCTGTTTGTTCAACAGGTACCCTGTTTTTTGATGCCGGTGACGCTGATCAATGGAGTTCCCTATTCATGCCAAGCATCCTTGCAGCTCTCTCTTCCAGAAAGCGACGGTCATGCCTGAGATCCAAGCGGCCATGTGCAACCAGCCGCTCAACTACTGACATTTTACTGACCTTCACCCAAAATGAGAATGCGCCCTTCTGCATGCTCTCTCTTACCCCGGTATACCTTGGCAGCATGAGCACAATCGTCAGGCAATGCACGAATCAAGGGGCTGTTCTCTGTCTCTCTCTCTCTCTCTAGCATGCACAAGCAGGTCTCGTTCAAATCAAGGGGCTTCGGCTGCACCTCTTTATGATTGGGACTGTCCCCCACTAGCCTTCATTCACGGTGATTATTGACTGTGGCCCTTTCGGCTGTGAAGGCAACAAGGCTGCACACCCCACAGCACGGGCTCCTCAAAACGCAAGCAACCATGGAGCGCCCATGAACAAACAGGCAGATATTTGCCAAACGCAAGAAGCATGAGGCCAACACAGGAACACTTCCTACAAACACGGCTTTAAGTTAGTCCATCCAAGGGGCTGTCCAAATATCACCGAGCGGGCTGTGGCGCGAGGCGGGGGCGAGGGTAAGCCCGCACGGGCCAAGTATGTCTGACCTAGGCAGTGGAGTCAAGCGCCTATATTGACCAGAGTGGCCCCTTGCTTGGCAAGGTTGCAAAAAATCCGTCACCTCAGGAACTGTATGACAGGACCTGCTTGACTCAAGTGTCAAAGAAGATGAGGCAAGCAATTGGAACTGTCTCGGTCGAATGTATCAAGCACACGCCTCGCTCAAGGCCCCTATGGAATTGCTGCTTCGTAACGGCGCAGCAACCAGCCATCACTCCTAAAAGTCGGGCGCATGAGTCCATCACAGTTGCACCTGGGGTGCTTGCCTGGCTTGAAGGGTTGCTGTCGGGCTCCATTGCCCTCGTGTGTCCATACGACAACTGCTGGAGTCATAACCCTCCTGAAAATGACCAGAAGCGCGGTCATGCCTCAACACTCGCCTCGCTGGGAAGCGGCCAGACCCCGTCTCCAACCCCTTCCCCACAACCAAGTTCTGAGGACAAATCCTCCGCGGCTCAAACCCACACCCAGCCAAACGCAACTCTCCCCTACAAACTGATCAAGTTCTTCTTGCAACCACCCAAATTCCCCTCAGTCAAATCCCGCAGAAACCGGTCAAATTCGTTACCAATGTGGAAACGCACAAACATGCACCTATCATATATCTTGGAAACCAGCTCACGCATGTTGATGCCGACTCACTCACTCAAACAAACAAAACACTTCAAGGCAAACCAAAACGCAGTACCTCAACGCCAGCCAAAAGCATAATTACTGGCCGAGGCGGGCAGCGCGAAGCGTTTACAATAAACAGCAGGAGGGCCCATGGTGAGCATCAAACCCTTCCTGACTTGGGGGGATATCTTCATTTGGCAAAGAGACACGCTGGCCATTCCAGTGGACAAAGGGTGCAGTTGCCTGTTCTAGTCCCATGTTGCAAGCCTTCCAACTTCCAACCTTGCTGTGTGCCACCAACAGAATTGCCCCAACAACATAAAATCATAAAAGGGCAGTGCAATTCGCACGGCCACCGTGGCCAACGGCGCCTTTCCAACGAATCCCCACCGTTTTGGCAAAGTTTCGCCCTTGGGAAGTGAGCACCAGCATTTTTTTCAAAAGAAGGGGCCAGGGGCTCACATATTTCTGACAGTGGTGCTGAGAACCCCCCAAACTCCTTTCAAGAAGACGTGTTGCACCCGTTGTGGCCAACCTTGTGACGCGCCGGCCCACTGGCGGATCAATCGAGTGGCTGAGGGATTGGTGCAGTGACCTCACCTGCCGAAACCGCCGCCGGATCTGCCACACGGCGTCGCCGTTTCCTCGGGAAACGGAAAAGGCCGGGCGCGACATGCTGGCCACATGGGCCGCAAAGTAAAACCCAAAGGAAACCACCGGGGTCACTAACTTTGAGACACGCCCACAGGAGCTCTACAGTTGGCATGGCACAATGCCCTCAGTTTGGTGTGGTCAGGGTTACTAGCTTGGAGTCGATCAAAGTCAGCCCCCAAGTCGGTGGGCTGGGAGAATGCTGCAGCCTCCTGCGTTGACTTTAATCTCCCTAAAGCAGTCAGAATACTCGGCTCAAAAACCATCCATGTTAGCATGTTCCCCTGCATGAAAGGTTTGCAAGATATTCCGTGCTTGGTACTCAAGCAAACGGGAAACTATGCGAGGACTCCTCACCTCAGCACGCCTGAGGCATGACAGGATCTGTGAGTTTGGTCTGAAAAAATGACAGCCTCGACCGGTTTAATGTGGCACAGAATGGTTGCATGAGACACCTTGAACATTTCATGTATTATGGGAACCCTGTAAACCCTCAATGCTTGTCCAAACTTGCAGGGCCCAGGACTAAGCCCCCGATGGCTTGGCTTAAGCCGAAGGTCAGCGAAGGCATTGTTTGGGGCCCGGGAACAAAAAGGAACTCCATTGATAAAAGCAATGTTTGTTCTGTGCTCGTTTTTGTTTTCTTTCTTTTTTTATCGAGAGACTCTTTCAATTCATGTGAAAAGGTAGTTCCTTTTCGTAGCCCCGGGATAGAACCTCCGCCTCATCCACCCACTGGGGGCGGCACGGATGGTCAAGTTGAACATGACAGGGTTCACTCCTGCCAATCAACAGGCACGGCATGCTGATTTCAAGGCTGTTCTCGAATGTCCTCGATAGTTGCTTGTGGCAGCCGCAACAAGCAGCTGTCACTAATTTCACATCTTTGTCACACAATTCAGGTTGATGACGGATTGGTTTAAGTGGACAAGTTGGCTTCAGTCATCACAAGGTTGATTCGAGTCATCATCAGAGAGAGTACGACATTCGAGCTCGACACCGTTTGCGGCTGCCAAAAGCTTTCACGATTCGCAGTCCTGAAAAGCCATCCACTTGAATGCGAAATGGGCAAAGGTCTTGCTGTGTACAGCTTGGACCTGCCGAACGCGGCGAAGAAAGCGGGTGGAACATTCAAAAGGGGCGACTAGACGCCCCCTACTTCGTCCCAAGAAAGGGGGGCTCAACAAACCCAGTGCTTCTAGATACCTCCATGTGCGGAAACAGCTTGGTTACCTTCCATATTGGTAACTGACCGCTGGTTCCAGGAACCACAAAAGCAGGGCCCGAAACCGTGAAACTTTTTTGGGAACCAAGGCTGGTTCCCAAAAAACAGTCACCAACGGCCAGTTTACAGGTTACTAGGAGTCGCTGGGAAAGCGGTTCCCATGATTCTTCCGCTGGCAGCCTGCACCAAATCCCATCTCATTGCGTTCTGCTGGGACATACATAGTTCCCTTCACCCGACCCCCTGCAATTTGACACGCAACCCCAAAAAGGAGGTGACGCGAAAGCAGGTTCCTCCAAACATGATGCTTTTCTGGATTCTACGTTAACCATGTTAACCTGCAGGAGGGTAAGCCTTCAGCCAAGCAAAACATCACTCCTTGCTGGCTATGGCAGCTCAAGTTGGCGTACTCCTTCACAGCCAAGACCCCAACGAATGCCAATACCATATCGAGGGGGGCTGCACGCTGCAAATGTCTAAGTCGAATCCAAGTGGGTGATCAACCTCCTGAGCCCCCAATTCCGGCTCCCTTTCAAAGGAACCTTTGCTGCTGAAAACCCGAACCTCAGGCAGCAATTCGCCCAACTCTTGCGCCTGCCTCTGCTGGATGCATTGCTGAGCTCGGTCGTGGGCGCAGGGTCCAGCCGAAAGCTGTCAATGCACTGCCGGCACCGCGAGCACGCCATCGCCCAATTCCAGGCTCCAACCAAAGGGTCGACCGGAAAGCCCCTGTTTCCCAATCCGACCTCGGGATGACCGGAACATATTGGGGAACTGAAACTTCGATCGCTTGACCTCTCCTGTGCCGGGAGCAGGCTCAGGCCCCTTGAACCTTCATGGCTGCGTGTTGCAAGGACTTGTCTCGGATCTGGAGCCAGCCACTAATCAAGAAGAATTGTGCCGAATGTGCTCTCAACACCATTCCTGGCAGCATCAAGAAAGCGACCTTTTTTGCTTGGGACAGGCCAGCCTTGAACAAATCATGTCATAACAAGGTGGCTTGCCCACTCCTCTTTGATTGGAAGGCTTCCGTGGTTCTCTTGCTGCTCTTGCTTGTGAGGCTCACTGGATGTGAACGCTTGCTTGAACAAACTACCGCCAAGGTGCCAATAAGTTATCCAATACTACGTGCGCAATACGGCGGGACTGAGTCCTTGCCAGCCCTGCTTTGCTCCTATCAGGGAGGGGGAGGATTTCAAAAGACACAGCCATTGCTGACACAAGCAAATCAAGCACAATACAATTTGGCAGCTGAACACATTCAGTAGTCCTTCTTTACTTCAAGCCTTATCTATCATTCGGGTTAGTGTGTGGCAGGGGTAGGCCTGTTCAGGGCATGATTAACCTTCTTTAAAAACAAAGGATAGAACTACACAAAGCGTCACATTGCTTTCTCCTGTCCAGCCTTGGGGAGGCCGCCTCAAGGCGGAACACTCCCGCCCGCCAAATCAGTGATGTGCTGAGTTCATCAAAAACCCAGTACTGTTCGGGTGTACTGGGCATCTGGTCTGCCAGTGCGCTTCTTCAATCAAGCATTTTGCGGCGAGGAGGTGGCTGCTGAGCCAAGCTATGTGCAGCCTAAGGCCAAGGGCTTTCCTTCATCGGGAGTGCATCTCTGCCCACCTTGCTCGCATGAATGGCACAAGCCCATGGCAAATAAGTCACAATCAAAACCCAAAGTGGAAGGAGCTCGGAACCATGTGAAGCACCTCCTCGCCCACAGCTGTTTCTGGTTGGGACCGTCCCTTACCAACCCTTAGTTACCTGGGTTGATTCTGGCTCCTGTCAGAAACCCAGGATTAATAAAAACCGCATTTGGGTCTTCCTTTTTAGGGGAGCCCAGGTATAGTTGGCTTTCCTTTGGGTTGTCTTTAAACCGCACCCAAAAGAAGGTGTCCTTAAAAAAGCACTCACCCATTGCTTGTTTTGCGTCGCGGCGCGGTCCAAGACCCACAGGTACCCTCCGTGGGGAACGAGGCACATGAGACGAGCGGATGTGAACTGACCACGAACACCTAGACCTTTAGCGGATTTTCGAGGGACCATCTGCGTTAAAGGGAACCCCTCGACACCGCTGCAGGCCCAAATGTATTGCTCTGCGGTGTGCATGCTGGTCGTGGGCATCGGGGATGCGTGACGCCCTGGCTCCTGAACAGGGAGGACATGGGAGGACTATGGCTTTGGTGGGAATTCTTCGCGCTTGGAGGTGGCACGTTTAACATCCATCAACTGGATTCATCAGGTCCGCAGCACTGCACCACTGCTGTGCAGGAGGAAGGAAACTTGAGCTGGAGCAAAGTACCCGCAAACCAGGGAACAGCAATGAACTAACAGCAGTATCGTGGATCCTCCCTCCGACCTCCAACAGCGTAGGACTTTGTACAAGCCGGCCCTCACCGAGCGCGGACAAGGAAGATCTCAGCAGACCAAGGTCCCATCGTGGGGGCGGCGCCAGAAGAGCAGCATCTTCTCCAGCCACCGGAAGTCCCACCCAGTGCAACGCCAAATCCGGGCGCGCAGGACGTCCTCAGTGACACGCAGATTGAACTAGCAACCTCCCTGGCAAAGCCGACATCAGGGTTGCGGGGCTGATTAGCTTGGCGGAGGTTCCATTGGGTGAGGCGGGCTCGGGTAGCGGTGAAACTTGTTCACTGCATGACCAATTCTAGACAAAACCCCATCATGCAAAAAACAGCATGGCGCAAGGGATTTGGGTGCAGCGAATTTCGTTGGGATGGTGGGTTTCTCTGCTGGCGCGGGGCCATTTACATTCAGCTTTTGGATGAGTACGAGTTCAAGAGCACAACAAGCGACTCAGAAGCTCGGCCCCCAGAAAACCCAGGTGCAAGGCATCCCAACTTGTGCGCTGCACTCCGTTTTGGGTTGGAAGGCGGGAAGCCCTGCATTAAGGGAAGAAGGGAAGAATGGAATCAAAAAGCATGGAATCAAAGTCGTCTTGAGGTATGGGGTGCGGGAGGCCTGGCGATTGCCACCAGAATATGTATTAAAGGCGGGATGTTCCACTTAGACAAGGGGTGTGTAAGCTCCTTGCCACCAAAACACATGCCACATACCCTGAGTTGGAGTTGGGCAAACCAAAGTCACTGCCAAGGGCTCCTTTGTCGGCAGAAAGGCGCATTTGTTTTGTACCGTGAACCCTCCCCCCATCCAACGAGAAACTAGTTGCTCTTGTTCCCTTTGTCTCATGGAAGGACACCCCGCAAACGAATGGATTTCGCTTGGTTTTTTTCCTGGCTGTGCGAACAAGGGGTGCACCCCAAAGCCAGTTGGTGTACAAGTCTACGTGGTTTTCTTCGTCTACGAGGTTTAGGACGTGTGGTGCCGTTCAGGGTCGGAGACCCAACTTGGGGCCTTCTTGCTTTGTTTTGGATTGTTTCTTTTCTGTTGCGACTTCGCCCCTACGGGGGCGTGTGTGTGCGGAGTTCCTGGTCTACCCAGGAGCCACTTTGTCTTGCAGGGGCGTGCAGCACCTTTGGCATACTGCTTTTGCTGAAGGTGGGAAGGGCGTCCAGACGTGGACACCTGCAAGATGTGCACCTGGAAGACGTGGTCGTAGCTGGTGGCATCGTCAACTCAAATGTGATGTGTCCTTTTGGTCCTTTCTTGCAACTCGGACCAGCCGACTCGACTATTCTTCACTCGAAGGCAAGGACTCTTCTCCTTTTGGAGGAATTTGTGTGTGTGTGTGTGTTTGTTTTGTTGGGTGGGTACCCCTTTTCGGCTGTTTTTAGGAGAAACCAAAGGAACACCACCATTTCGGTGGTCGCCTGATTGCAGACCCTTCGGCATTCGAGGTGCCCGCCAGATCTTCCACTGCCGCTCCAAAGGCTGAGTGGAGTCCACACTCATCGGCTCAAAGGTAATGTTCTTGTCCTGTGGGCGAAGGAGAAACCTGGTGTGCCGTTGTTGTTTCAAGGGACACGCAGAAAGGAAGAGTTCTGTTTTGACTCTTGACACATGCCCATGCTCTGTTTCAGGGTGAGGGGATGGGATTCCTAATCCGAAGTGGGGCACCACAACAAGGGGAACTACTACTATCGTGCATAGAGATTGTTTAGGATTCAATTTGACAAACCCAACATGTGCTATATGTGCTGTCTTCAGATGTCTCTTTTTGTGCGCATGACATATCACCGTTTGCGCAAAAGTCATAATGTTCAATGAGTTCCTCTTCTCTTGGGTGATGTTAACAGGGGCCAGGTGAGGACCTCTCTGTGCTGCTTGAAAAGCTTGGAAGGCAACCTGCACCCAGGAGAGACTCGCACGTGCAGGTTTCACAGGGCTTGCTGACCGGCCTGACCTGCCAGCCAAGAGGTCATAAGGGCATCACAAGATTAAAGCATCCCTTCGTGCTTCAGTGCACGTATTCAAGGAGCCAAACCATTGGTGGATGATCGGCATTGCCCTTAGCTTCGCTAACGATCCATGGTTCCAAACAAGCAGGGTATGCCAATGCAGCTGCAGGAAAGTAGGGAAGCGTCACCCCAGCTATAGGATGCAAACAATGCTGTCATGCAGTGGCTTGACCCTTATAGTTGATGCGGCCACTGGACAACTCGTCGGGAAAAAAAGAGGAAACAAAAACATTACCAGGCGGGGCATACTTTTGAGCCGTTCCACGGACAACAAACACCTGTGCGTAAACACCCAAGCCTGAAACCACGTCGCGTCCAACATGGTTGGCTACCCAAGTAAAATACTCCCCACCCAATGCCACACCCTTGGTATCAGCCACAAAACCCACCACCGTGGCATCCTAAAACCTGCCAAGCCGCCGAAAGCATGACATCAGCAATCGCCAGCGCGCGCGGCATATGATACGAGGAGGTGACCAGAAGCACTTTGCCAACCTCCGCCTGCCAGCAATGCCAAGGCCTCAACCACTCTGGGGAGGGGTTCTTAGATTGTCCAACTATGTATTACCCGTCAAATGGCGGCTTCCTCTTGGTATGTGTTCAATGGTGAAATGGCCATGCGAATGTCATCAATGGCGTCGATGTGGCAGACATTGCTTTTCCCCAGCCCAAGAAGCCATGGGGTTATTAACGGAAACACCGGTGCATCATGGACATGAGGCGCCCCTTCACAAGCAAACAAGAGCACCATGGACAAACATGCTGGGAACGAAAGCTGGTAACAAGCTGGTAACAATTAATTGGAAAGGAGCGCGCCGTCATCTCCGGTCCACTGCTGTGGTTCTCACACCTGCCCAACACAACCAGTTCCTTGCTCAGGAATGTGTCCCAGGAAACTGCCTCCTTCACTAAGTACTGAAAAGTAGAACGAATCCGAATCCTCGTGTCCATTGAAGTATTTGCATGCCGGCGGCCAGGCTGCAAGCGTTGTCACCTGAAAGGGCCTTCATTAACTTTCAAGATATCCCACTCTCAGCTGCCATTTCAAGGCGTCCAAAAAGGGGTGCCTCCGACATGGCAAGCAGCAAAAAAAAAAACATGCTGCAGAAAGGGAGAGCTAATCGGAAGCGGTGTAAGCACAAGTTGCAAGCCTCAAGCGAAATGCCGACCAAACGACTGGCTTCATGTCATTTCCTTTGGGCTTGCAACAATGACACTCTTGAAACATCTTGAAACCACTATCCATTTCAAAACAGCCACGACCGCATCCTTCGGGTCCTCCAGAAGCTTCGGAATCATCGTGGAGAAGTTAGTGACTGTGTCTACGGCCTGGCGCCAGACAGCGAGAGACTCAGAGTTGAGTGAGGCACAAGAATAAAGGCTGGCAAGCAAATAACAATATTTCTTACCACAGGGTTGACCATCCAAAGAGGAATCTTTCGGCAAGCATCATGCCAAGGAAGTGCGGGTGTGCCCACGTCTTGTGCACATTCACAGGGGTGCCTTTTGCTCGCTGTGGAGTTGGTTGTTTGCTCACGGTCTTCTTTGCTGGGTGTGTTCTCTCTAGGCTGGTTCACCAGCAAGCTCCATTTTGTGGCTACCCCTTGAAAGACATAAAAACTGTTGAAGCGCCCTCCAACAGGGGAACCCTGGCTATACGTGGAGCTTCTCTCCAAACCAAACAAAAACTGTGGCCTTAAGGATCAGCCTTCTGAAGGGGTCACGTATGTCTTGGGGGGGCGTAACAGGCAGTTTGAGGCCTGAAATGTCTTTCCCTGGGTTGTCCTCAAAGGGGCAGTCCAACCTTGATCCCCTGCATCTTTGGGGGTTGAAAACCTTTGGAGCTGGTTTGTAATCCGCCCCAATCAAGGTCATACCAACCCCAAGGGCCCAAAAGTGTCCAAACCGCCAGACAAGCCGATCCCAATCGCGACCTTTGCCTTCCAGGATTCCACATGCCCCAATCCCGCCTGTCTTCCCCATGAGCATGTTTATTCGGCAAGCCCGAAATGCATACAAAAGCCCCACACCCAAAAAAAACACAAAAAACCGCACCCGACCCGTTCCGTGCCCCCCTCACGCCCCGCCTCATAGGACAGCACCAGCTGCCCCGCAGCCTCCACCGGCCACAGCCGCTCCTCCGCACCGAAGCCCGGCGAGCTCGCGAAGACCTGCCCAGGAGCTTCCTGATTAAACGACTGGGGGAATAACACGCTCTTGAGGTAAAAAGACTCATGCTTTCCCACTTGAGTTCAGGGTTCCCCTGATGGGAAGAACTATTACAAGAACTGCATCAGATCAAGGACAGATCAAGGACCTACGTATCTGGTGAGCAGGGTTTTACCTTTGAATCGGTGAGCTCGCCGTAAAATAGGCAGAATTAAAGATCAAATCCCAGCCAGGGGTGCGAATTCCAGCTGTCTAGTCCCCTCACTAAAGCGAGACGGAACTATGAATGGTAAACGGTCCGAACATGAGGGACGTCCTTTTGGAGGGGTTGAAATGAGGGACTTCCTGGAAGAAAGAGATCTCGAACGAAAGGGCCCTCTTTTTTTTCTCAACTGTTTCCCAGAGGCAAGCACCCCAAGCTTGGAGACAGCTTGGATTAGGAACCCGACCTTTCGGGGTCCCCGATACACAGCCAGGGTCCCCGCAGAGGTGGTGAGATGAGCCAAACAAGACTGGCGCACTGGCATAACTCCTGGAAGGACAGGTTCATAAACCCCTCATGTTCTGTTCGAGGACCCTTTGTGTGTGTGTGTGTGTTTCTAAATTCGCAGGAAGTCATCACTCGCAAAGGCGCAGGGGGAATCAAGACCAAGCAGTGCCTACCGCTGCCAAGACAAACACCCCTTTGGAAGTCAAGGGGAGGGGTCCCCGTTGGGAGACAGCACCATCAAAAGGCCCGGCAAAACCCGGCTGTGGGACTCGCAGCCTTCAGGGGCACCGAGGCAGACTCTGCAAAGGCCAGCTTGGTGGCGAAGATGTCCCGTTCTGGCTCCCCCCCCAGCAGCAGGATGGCCAGCCGCGAGAACATGACGCCAGTCGCGATGCGTGTTGAAGCCAAAAAGAAAACTCACCAATTTCAGCTTCTCTTCTGATCCTATAATGTGATTTTAAAAAGTCTGCTTGGGGGAGTTTGTGTGCTGCCATCATCTGCCATCCTGATCAGATCCAGGCGTGCCACGGCTTGCCTAGGCCCATATGCTGCAATCTATAGTTTGGTCGACACCGTTCACAACGGTGCATGAGCTCGTGGCAAACCATGTCATGCCTGGGTTCCGTTCTGCCGTTTCACTATGGTGCATGCATGCTGAGGTCACCCCAGCAAACAGTGTCAGACCATCTACACTATTTCTCTCTACTGAGTGAGTTCACTCATGTAAATTCCAAAGGCTTGCTTGAAACAGCTCATCAAACATCCCAGTCCACGCCAATAGTTCACATTGCCCCCGCCACCACCGCTGCGGTTATTTTCCCAGGCAAGCCACAGCGCTGCCCCAAACCCCAGATCTGGGTGTTTGGTGCATTTGGTCGCAGTTCGGCCTACCCATGTTGGAGCCTTTGCTCTCAGCTTGCCCGTCGTTCACAGTGCTTTGGTGAAGGCATGTTCATCAGGACATTGTCTTGTTCTTCCTTGAATGAGAGTGTCGGCTTATGAAACTGCTGCCGGGAACTGGGCGTGCCAGCCAGTGTTGTGTTTGCTAGCCCGCATGCCACGAAGAAGAGAAACGCTATCAGCTGTGCTTGCTCGGCCCGTGCTCCAGGTGAAACCTCAGCGCAACCTTTGCTGGTGCGGCCAACCTTTACAGATGTTGGCTATGGAAAGCCCATAGCTTTCTAAGGATACATTGCCTTGTCCCGCATCAGCATGCTCAATTCATTGCAAGAGTCGGGCTTCACGTCACCGGTCCGACCCATGGCGACTAGGCTTCAGTGGGTGATGTGATGCGTCCGCGCGCGCGGGTGAAACAACGGTGAAACCGCACTGCGAATCTCACTCTATCAAGGAGCTGATGTCCATAAACGGTGCCTCAGTCTTGAATGTGAATTCAAATTGCAGTCGAGCTTTGACGGGGGCCAACGAACGCGCGCCACCAAGCCGTCCCGGTTGGCAAACATCAGGGCTGCAGAGAAAAACCAGCAACCCAACGGTTGCTAGTGCTTGTGGGCAGACCTGCACCTAAAGCCATCCAAGAGCATGTTCTTCCCCCGGCCCTAGCACCTGGCATTGAAGAGTAAATCCCATGTACAAACCCAAAAATCGGCCGTGCCTATTTACGTATTTGGGCTTGGGATTGTCCCCTGCAAATCTTGATCTACCCAGGTTGTGATTGTGGCTCAAGTGTGCTGAATGCTATTAACATGGAGAGCTACCTTCAACCAAAAAGTCCCACCACAGGTGGGGCATGCAAACTGTTGTCTAGAGATGGGTCCATGGGTACCATGCCTGAAAATCAACCACTTCCACTGGTCTCTTGGTTGCTTTCTGAAAAACCAACGGACCGCTGGAAAAAATGTGAAGTCACAGCGACCGTGCCGTCTGGGGTTTGCCTGGGATGAAGGCTTTCAAAGGGGAATCCTCAATTTAGGCTGGTGGATGGTTCCGCGGAACTCTTGGGGGGGGGGGAACCCAGAAGTCCGGCACCCAACAAACCTTGGCAACTCGCAAGCTTCCTGGACCTAAAGTTGGAATGGGGTTGTCGGGTACTGTCAGAGTACTAATTGAACAAAATCACGCCATTATTTTAGGATAATAGTTGGTTTCAACTTCAGACAAAGCTGGGCTTCGCAGCCAGATCGGAAAACAGCTCCAGGAAGACTTGCTCGGTCACCGCGGTGTTCGCGACTGTCTCCTGTGCCAGGTGAACATCAAAAACGATTCCAGCTTGGCTGTTCTTCCGGAAGCTTCTCCGCATCACCTTTTCAGCGCATTTGTTTGTTGGAATGTGGTTGCGAACACACTCTTCGGCTGTACTCTTGTTGAGAAAACTGTGCATCACAAGGAAACTCTGTTGCCACCCAGGGGCCCGAACTGCAGAGCTTTTCCAAGGAGTGCATACCGTTACCAAAGCATACGCTGCAGCACAAACCATCGCCCCTTCAAAACCCCTTGTACAACACAATGGTCTCATTCAACCTCAGCGCCTCTTTGAGCATCAGAAGTGTGCTGCAATGGCCGACAGAACTGCGCTGAAGTGGCCGAATAGCTCCCCACAAACCTTCTGCGGTGGTTGTGGCAGGGAACGTTAAGAGTTCATGTCAGTGTTGAAAGAAGGTGGGCAAAGGCAAAGTCTACAATAACACACATTTCTTTTTTTTTTTTGTGGCTTCCGCTTGGGCAAGCCAGTAGTTCGTGCTTGTATCATCTTATTCAGCGCGGACGAAATAAACAAAAGTAGAAAAACAAAAAACACATGGGAGGCGAGAATGTTTCGGTGGGCCGCATCAAGTGCATTCCCCAGAGCTCCAGTCACGGGTCACCATCCTGTAGATCCATGTCATGCTCCCAGGAGCAAGCTCTCTCGATGCTGTAAAGGGTTCGCCTTGTTGCTCTGAAAAAGTGAAGTGGCCTACAGGAGGAGAGGGCCTGAATTAAAAGGGCTCCGGTCTGCTTTTGTGTCCTTGAGAAGTTCAGCTGTCTTGTTCCCTGGTTCAGTCGGATTCGCCCATGTTGAAAGACGTGTCAGGGCCAAACTGGAGCAGCGACGTGCTGAAGAATCCGGGCATGTGGAGATGAGAGAAGCCGAGAAGCTGGTTGTGACAAGTTCGCCGCGGGCCGTCATTTTGGCACTTGCTGGTCCCTCCGAAAGTGCCCTATAGTACGCCCCATGCACCCCTCAAACAAGACACGAATCCTATCCGAAACATGCCTCAACCGTCTCCGTCCTCATCCTCTGCGCCAAAGGCCATAACCACCGTCTGCTTGACATCCCCGTTGTCCAGCCTCCGAATTCAGGCCCTTGAAAATCTGTCACTTTCTGCGCTCCAAACTAGGGGTCTTGCACTTCAAGAAGTCCAACATGGGTGCGTCCTAGGGACCCCTACAGGGCTTGAAAGGGGTGCTCAGCACCAACCTACAGCCAAACGGGCGAAAGACCGATGCTACCATTTGACGGCTTTATACGTTTATATATATATATGTGTGTGTGTGTGTGTGTCATCAGGAAGTGCAAAGAAGAATACGTTCAAAGAATAGACAAATGGGGCTGCTGATAAATAGGAACTCCTGTCAGCGTCAGGCAATTCCAAGCAACGCATCTGTTGAGGGTTTCGGATGGAAAGTTGCAGCTTGCATCACTTCCGGCGCGTCAAAGCATACGCACGGCGAAATCCACAACACGGCAAAAGCCACAATTTCAACTACGTGCTGATCGTCCGAAGTCCGAAAAGAAAGTCACCGCCCACATAAGCTTCTCTTTGCCAGAGGCTCGAAATCTACATGCACACGGTTTAAGCGTCTGTGCTCCATTCGGTAGATGCGCCTTTGGTGACTGACACTGTAAGGCCGGTTTACCTGAACAGGCTTGATGTCCCGGCCCCGTCATAATGCTCATAGAACTTGCTGCGCCTAAGACAACTTAAGTCTCTGCACCAATTAACGAATCCAGAATCGAAGTAAGGAGCCTTCTTCCGTGGGTAAAGTCCTTTCACACAGGTGAGCTTGTGATACTAAAGACTTTGATATAATTAGTGCAGAACTATGATATCACGGGCTTCGAACGCGGCCTGGGCTTCAATTCTCTTCACACTCCGTCACATGGAAACAAACAAAAAACATGCTCTTGAAGGAACCTCTTGTTGAAAGACACCCCTTTTGAGCTATAGTCTGGAGGGGAGTATTTCAGCTGACCTCGTAATTCTCAGCTGAAACCACAAACTTCCCAGGTCATTGCCCAGAAAGAAGCTGGAAGCTCCTGGGTGTTTGCCTGTCACCACAAACCCACGGCATTTGGCCCATTCCTTGGGTAACACCAAGGCCCTACCCTGCCATGTGGGGTGCCAGTTCCCCGCTGCCCAAGGCCTCTGCAGCCAGTCCCCGAGGCGTGCCACACCGCTGGGGCCCTGCAGCAGCTTGAAGGCTGTCAGCACCCGCCGCTTCTCCTCACAGCTCACTGGCTGGGGGGCGTCTCTTTTTGGACTTAGGATCGCCATCCATCCAGGGCGATGCCGCCCAGAATCTTCTAATACAAAAACCAGTGGAGTTGCTTGCGTCGAGCCGGCCCGCAAAACCTGCCTGGCCAGTACTGACAAGCAAGCGCTGCCAAGAGAGTTGGCTCGAAGTTTCTGGACAGGCCCCAGCAATTCTACAAACTCAACCGAGCTTGCAACATGGCTACGCAACAAGAAGACGTCAACTCCACCTGTTCCTTTTTCGTGGATACCCTCGAAAGGAAACAAGGTATGTATACACATATATATATATATTAATATAGACACTACTTGCAGGGGAGCTTGCCATGAGATAGGTTGGTTCTATTCCACGTTGCAGCAGAGAATCCGCGATTTGGTCGCAATTGGGCCCCTCACGCACAAGCCATGTGGCCATGCTCTGTCCTTCTGGGGCAGCGCCGGGCGCAGGGAGGTGAGGAAGGTGGAAGCCTTGAGCTCCTCCTGGGCAACAGCTTGGGGTGGGCTTTGGGCACGTTGCAGGCGCGTGTCTTTCAAACCTTTGCAGGGACGCAATTTGCGTCATTCGACCCTGAAAAAAAGCACTGCGAACAGCACGCACAAAAAGAAACTATTTAACAACACATCGGCTTGTGACAGCTGTGCCCCTTGGCAAATCATGGCAAATCACATGCCAGGGAAAAGCAGCTGCGCAACCGAAGATGCAAGTGCCCTTAGATCTGAATAAATGATAGCTAGAGAGAATCACAAAGGATGGCACCTTTTGCCTGCGCAGGGCGTGACCGTGTCTTCTGACGGTTTCGGGATTGTGGACAGCCGGATCCCGAAGACCAACCAAACCAAAGACTTACTGTTCAAACAGTCAGCGCTTAGCATGCAATTGGACGAGGCTTGGGATAAACGGCAATCGTGGGCCAACAAGCAGGCCAGGCAAACAATCGAAGGCACAAGCGATGCGTGCGGCGTTTGCCCTCGTACCGTACTTCAGAACAGGAGATGATTTGTTGGGTGAATCGGCTACAGTTGCAAAGCGGATAGGAAGGCAAGAGCGGAATCTGATCGACCACCTGTGGGGCCAGGCACATCCTTCGCAAACTGTCATCTGTCCTTGCAACATAAATATTAGCTTGTCTTCCACTGGAGTAAACGGCCCCAGACTAGTGCACAATACCTCAACAGCGGAAGGCTTGCATAGCCAGCGGCTGCCTCTCGCGGACATCAAACAGTATTGACGCTTTTTCATCCACTGCAGGCGTCTGAAGCTTCCCATGTCCCCCCCCACTCGCAGACGCCTTCTTCATGGTGATGAGCTGGTTTAGCCACACCTAGCCGTCACCAAAATCCATTTCAAGTGGTTCTGTCATGCAAGGGAGGCGTGTTGCAAAAGAGTTCTCATCTCTTGGATGGAGCTGGCAACGGTTGGCGTTTGGAGGGCTATCAATCTACCAGTCGTTTGATCATGCTAAGTTGGTTTCTGTTTCGGGGTGGAGGGCCTATCGCCATATAAACAGTGTGGCGAGACTTCCCGGTTCGTGCCGAAGCAAGGGATGGCATTCAATTTACCTTCGGCCTAGTGGTCCTACCAGCATCCCGCCTTGCAGGAACAAAGCAATCTGAATATTTTGATCTTTCGCAATAAAAGCTTACGGGTGTCTTTTGCTGGTGCCTTGCTTGCACGGCCAATGCAAGGGAGTCCTCGCTCTCTCTCGCTCTCTCAAAATATGAGCATGTGCCGACAGGAATCAACATGACAGCAAACAATCCTTCTGGTGCATGGTCCTTATCATCTTCAGCTGAGGATGTACTTGCCGGCCCCTAGCATCCTAGATAAATAGTTAACGACTGCGTCTTGACCGTCCCCCCGGTCAGCTCAACATACACAGAACCATACACTTTGGCAAGCCAGCGAAAACATCACTTCTGACCGCTAAAACATCACTTCCGACGAGCCCACCATGCGGGGGCAGTGCACCAAGGCCCGCGTTTTGACAGAAACTGAGGTTGCTGATTCGCAAGCGATTCGCAGCTCATCCAGGGCTGCTAAGCACAGTTTCTTTGCACCCCAATCTGCAGGTCGCATCTAAATGTAGCCGGTAAGCTTAGGCTCCAACTGACAAACTTTATCACTTTGGCTTTCACAAAGTCCAGTCCTGTCAATTTTCTTGAGGGATCCGAGCTATTTGCAGGCCGCCCACTAGGAGCCCCAACGTCCAAGGGCTTGCTCTCCACCTCCTCCTCTGACAGGGCCAGCTGCTCTCGGAGGACCTGAAGAACCCAAGGTATGAGGGATTCCCTGGGCTAGTGGGAGAAATGGCTTGTGCGTGCGCACAGGTGTGGTTCCCAGCACATGCGCGCAGGCGGGCGTGCAAACGAGCGTGCCTGCCCACTTGCGTGGCTGGCTGCCAACATGCACATGTCACGAGATGCTTGCATAACACAGGGCTTAATTTTGACAGTGACAGAATGTCTTCCACTAGTTGGAAACCCAGGCTGCTGATTGTGGACTACGTTCCCTAGCGAAGTATCAGTTTGGGAATGCCACAAATAGTGAACACATCCTGTTGAATGTGCGCTCCCGCTTTGGCCAGGCAACATGCATGCAAGACAAGAGAGGGTCCACAACAGCGTTTAACGTTGAGTGTCAAGCAGAGCATGAACGCAAACTCCAATAGGTGGGGGCCATCCCAGCGGTTTGCACAACTGATCGAGTGCCATCCTCCGTCAGCCCACAGCAGGAGCAACACATGACAATAAGCAACACGTTGAAGTCCCCGGAAAGGTCTCGGAACACTCCCGTTATGCAAGCCGCATTCCCAGGAAAAAAGTGATAAGTGGGATGTAGCGCCTCGCTGACAGGAGTAATGGGCATTATTGACTAGAGAGTCTGAAAAACAACTCCACTTTGGGCTTGCCGTGGGAGAGTGCCCCAGGAATCACACATACGCCAGGTCGTGCACTGGTGAAGCAAATGTCAGGATCCCTTGCTCTGCAAAGCAGCGACAGAAGTCTGATCCGCGGCAGCCAAGTCACTGCCACCAAATCTGCCTTGCGAATGAAGCCTGATGGGCAGCAATCACACGCTCTTGCTACTAAGCCGCGGACCGGGGATCTTTGAGTTCAACCGCTCAACCGGCCAGGTAAATGTGCATTCCAAATTAGAAATGTAAATTGTTGTCAAGACGTCTCATGAAACGCATCAGCCCGGATTTCAGCCAAATGAGCCCAACAGGTGATGGAGCAAACCACCCAACAAGTAAACAAACGGGCCCCTTGGCCGCCAAATCTCTCAAAAAAAAGCTGCGGCTTGCAGTGGAAACACTCCATTGTTTCTGACCCTTGACCCTGTGGGCGAATATTGGCTGAACAGTTCCAACTGGGACTGAGTAAAAGCCTTGTACTTCAGCTCTGTTCGGCCAAAAAAGACCCTGTCTGTGTGTCGGACTTTCCCAGTGGCGAGTGCTAAACAAGGTTCCGGATGACTGCATGTTCAAAGGCTCAATGATTGCCAAGGGTGCGGCTGTCGTTGTCATTTGCGCGGTGGTTGTCTGTGTGAGGATCTCAGGTCAACAGAACTAGCAGCCGCAAGCTAAGTTGCCAAACGGAAACTTACATTCGCAGGCGGCAATCCAAATGTACATCATACGGCCTCTGAAGTCCAAGCAGAAAACAAAACATCTTCAGCAACTCGGACCAGAAAAGCAACAGCAACACAGCATGCCTGGATGAGTTAGACCCGGCCCAAGCCCCTGCTCAAGCCTTCATGGTCGCAGAACTCGCACAGAAGCCGCCGCAGGCTCACATATCCCAAAGGTCCCCATACCTGGCTGAGTTTCCGAAGAGGGGCAGTGACACGTGGCCCTCCACGTACCTTAGTTTCCTTAATGCCGTCATTGCCAACCTCCGAATCGAAACGCCAGCGCCCCCTTCCATACATCATGTGAGTATGGCCCCATTGAGGTATCATACTTTGGCGTGATATACTTCAGAAATGTTGGTGTGCTATTACGGCGCTTAATCAAGTGGCACATCATACTGGGAAACAAAAAAGATCCGTATACTCCCTCCACCTCCTTCCCCTGTACTCCTCACCGTCCAAATGGAACATCTGCGCTTGGATGGGAAATGCAACACGTCCTAGAGTACGGCAGGCACATGGATGTGTTTTTGTTTGCAGAAGAAGCCCTTTCAAACTAAAAGGAAACCCAAAACTGCCACTGCAGCCCCAAACTCCAAGGGCCGAAGCGCAGTACCCCTAGGCACCCCTCATCAATACCGTGGACCTTAAGGGAAGGCACTTTGATCCATGCTTAGCCCTCAAAGTCCATGCTCAAAGGGTAGGCCATGGTTTTGTGCGCATTCCCTCACGATTTTTTAATTTTTTTTGGTGGCCGTTCTTTCAGGAAAATGAAGGCCTTCAGGAGGTCGGGCCACAGGGCCAACACCTACCAGGAGGTCACCCGTTCTTCGAGGCCCCAGCCTCGTGGACCTTTCGGTGGATGACGCCCTTCAGCGCTGCCAAAGAGGGGATCTCAGCAAAGTGGTCCGCCGCGCGCTCGCCGCCCAGGTGCCTGACATCCGGCGGGTGCCATAAATCTTGCAAATCAACCACGCTCAACCAGCAAACTGCGGTCAATTGAAGATTGGGGCAATATCTAGGGCACCCACCATCCTTTTGGGGGGTGGGATCAGCGCAATCCCCCTTCTCAGCTGGGAGACCCGTGGGCCCCTCCATATCCAAACAGAACGCTGTGCCCGTGAGGGCAATGTACATGGGGAAGGCCACCCCTACATCACTGAGGGTAGGGATGCGGTGGACGCGGTAGAATCGAGTTTGCATCACCTCTTTCAGGGTGCGCTACTGCTTTTGGGGCATTTTGGTGCTGCGTGATAGCCAAGTTTTTGCGGCAGCCGCATGAGTCCACAGCTTCATTTGCTTGAAAAGGAACTCCAAACTGAAGCAGTGGGATGCTGTCAGCCTCTCCTACCATGTTTCCTACATTCCCCCCTCCAAACATCACCTGTCCGAACATGGCCCGTAAAGGTGCTAAACCCGAGAGGAGAAAATGAGCACGAGGGCTTTGGATCTCTCCCGGGCCTGCCGCCACGGAGAAGCCAGGGCAGCCAGTTTTTGTCAGTTGATTTTAAGGGAATTGGCCGCAATCTTCCAGTTTGTCCAGTGACTGAACTAAGATTCAGTGAACCTTATGGAGGTGACCATTGGTAGCTGGGAAGCTGCAGGGATTTGGAGGGCGGCAAAACAACCGCTGGAAATCCCCCCTCCCATCAAGCATTTTGAGGGGGATGTTCCATCTGGGTGGGGCGGGAATCCGTCTGAACCCTCAGAATCCGTCGGCAGAATCCGTCGGATCGACATGGTGCGCACACTATACATCACGCTCAATTGCCCAAACGACCTGAACATGAGAGGTGATCGCCTCTGGGGCCTCTCGGGTTCATAACAATATGTCCGTTGGGGAACCTGCTGCTTGAAACAACGGTAAGTCATACTTCTTCGGGACGCAAACTGCCCGACAATGTCGTGCCTCATTGGCTGGGACTGTTTGAGGTTCTCGTACATCGTGTTGAGGCCCTCATCCTGGCAAGCGACAGGACAGGGTGTGGGGTCTCGGCTTTCGCAGCAAGGACCGGAACCCTTGCGCAACATGTTTTTCTGCAAGGGATGGCTGGGGAAATCAACAGCAACACGCGCCCTGCGTTGTAGTTCAAAAGCAAGGTGTTTTAGGGAGGGGGGTTCTAGGTGGAAAGGGTCACGCTCTAAATGCGCAGACTGGATCCAAGGAGCCCTGCGAACGAGCACCAGCCAAATTGGTCGAAATGGCAGGATCCCGCATCCTAAAATTTAAAGCGTGGGACACTGGGGCACCACCACAAGGAAAGCCATCTCATCAGCAGGGAAAAAGGCACATAAGGACCCCTATGAGCCATATCTCGTGATGAAAGGACACGGGTTCATTTCCTTCTGAGAACCAGCAAGTGAAAGATTGATTCGTGAGCAAGCGGCACCAACTTCTTTCGCTCACGTCACGCCTTGTGGATAGCGAGGATGAACTTGTCGCAGCCCTGCGCAAGGATTCTGCCCACTGAAACATGCGAAACACAAACCAACAAAAATACCAGGATCGGTCCTTAAACATGTTCCGCAATGCAAATGTAAGGAAGAAACAGCATCACCGGAGACCTGGTCTGCCCCAATGGAACTGGCCGGTCCCGCCTTGGTAAACTGAGCGTTGCGATGGAAGGGCCCGACGCCTTGGTCGCTAAGGCATGAGGCCCAGGCCTGGCCCATCTAGGGGCCCAAGACATGGCGTAAATTGTATGGGTATGTGGTAGAATCTTAGAATTGGGGACCCCTTTGCGTGATTCCTTTCCTTGTTGCTTTACGACTAAAAATGGGTATGTTGGGTATGTTTTAAATTGCTAAGGTGCACACCACCCAGGCAGGGGATTCGTGTCCAGCAACCATTTTGGATGGTATTCCCTGTCAGCAGGAGGGAGGGCATTCAATGAACTAGCAGCCTCCCCAACGCTGCAGCAGGAGGGCACACCCGATTTCTTACGGCGATTGTCTTCGATTCAATGGAAGCAATGCAAAGGACCACCAACTACTAACAAACACTTTTTCATCACGAAGCCATTGGGTGTTGCCGCCACCGCCTTGCGACCTGGCCAAGTCACCTGTGGCTGCTGATGCCTTGACGTTGCCGCGGAATTCCGGGTCTACCAGAAACATCCTGGAGGCAGCAAACGACAGGAGCATGGTGGGGCTATTCGCTCAAGGAAGGTTGAAGCAAGGGGTCGGCCAAAGGCATTCAGGACGTGCAATGCTTGCTAATGCTGGTCCTTCCATCCCGTAAGTACCGTCTTCATGGGAGGCTTGAACTCAACATGGCACAGGTGTTCAGGTGCTACGTCCTTGGGAGGAAGGGCAGTTGAAGGATAGACAGCCACATTCTTCCGCTGAGGCCGAGGACTGAACATGCAATGCCGCACGCAGCCACAAGGTAGACGACATAACTACTGATTCGAATCCTTTATTTTGAGGCAAGACCGTAGCACCCAAAATTTATCGTGTCTTTTTAGTTTTCCCTGTGCCAGGAGGTTTGTCTCAGGATTTGGCAACATGAAAACAATTAGGCCCTTGTCCCCTTTCAAGGAGGGTTGAGAAAAGACAACCACAGTTTGACATATACCCGTTCCAAGTTGGGGGCACCCCAAAAAGTGTGGTTTGCCCTTTGGTGTCCCGTTAATATCCTTTAATCTCGCCTGAAAATGGTACGTACCCTCGAGTAGTCACATATGGCCATTAATTGTTGCAAAAGACACGGCCAGCTCGCCTTAGTTGATGGGAAGCCCAAACCACTGCTCAACTCCTGGTGTTGGTCACCTGCTCCACCCGGGAGTAGTGCGCATGGAAAGGCACGTCCAAGCCTCCCAATGGCAACGGCTGCCATGGGAATCGCATTTTCCCATGGCAAATGCAACTTGACCCCACACCACACTCACAAGCCAACGCAACTCGAACAGTTTCCCCGGTGACGTGAGAAATGCGCCCGCTAAATTATATTTTCAATAAAACCAACCCTTCAATGGATTCAATATCCTCATTTGGGCTTGTCTCGTGGGCGAACCCACGAAAAGAACAGTTTTCCTTCGTTGAGGGTCCTCCAAAATTAGCTCAGCTTTTTGCCCTTCAACCAAACATAGCATGCTTGACCTAGCCTGTATTGAGTGAACCTTAAATGGCGAACTGCTTGGGCTGAATCATTTTATGTTCATGACATAGTTTGGTTTTGCAGAACCCCACACCCACATTTGAACTATTCGAGGCCGTGTATGTCCCGACATTCCTCCCGGGGTTGCCTTCGTTCTCGAGCGCTGGCATCACATCCGGCGCAGGGCCGCACCGGATCTCCTGCGCATAGTTCTTCCTTAGCTGCCCCGAATAGTGGCTGGAAAGCTGTGGCTTGCAACCAGCATCATGACTTTATGGCCTGATGGTAAAAAAAAGAAAAGACAAAACACACAAAGGGAGCCCTGAGGCGCTCGGTTTGCCTCGCACGCCAAAACGGAGCCTGCCGAGGTGCGAGCCATGAGTCGCCTGGCCAGGAAAGGAGCCTACCGACCTCCCCTCTCTGCAGAAACAGGTAGGGTTGTCTCCAAATCCCTGCCACGACCCTTGCAGGAAAATAAAATTTGTTTGGGATTGACCATGATTAGAGGGAATCCAAAAAAATCAAAAGGAAAAAGGAGGCAACTGAAATTAGGGGTACCCTCACAAGATGCTGGAAAAACCGCTTGAGAAGAGCCGGTTGCATTCGCTGCATCCGGTACCACGGTTCGTAAATCTCTCACAAGAGGTTCACCAGATTAGCCAGTGGGGAGAGCCACCAGAACGCTGGACTTCGGGAGACCTGAAGCCTCGAGCCTATCTGCCACTGTCGCTTCTGCGGGGCGCCCACTCGTTGACTGCAAAAGAGCACGAAGATGTCACAACCAATGCACCCAGCGCTCAAACCAGAGCGTTTTCTGCTGAATGGGTCGGCGTAGCAAGTTGTAACACTTGTTGATTGTCAGTTGGAACAAACACTTTCACCAACAGGCTAAAGGTAGGGTCAACAAAGCATCCAACTTCACGAGTCTAAACACATGGTTCCTATTTGCCACCCAAACATTGCTTCGCCATTTGACTTTCGTCATGCTTTCAATGGCCGTGAAATGGCCACGTGCTGATCCTTCCAAAAAGAAATGGGTGGGCCCACAAATCAAATCACTGATCTGTTGTAAGTTGAAAACAACAGGTTCCTTGAGGGCTTTCCTGAGCAACTACCGGATAGCGAAACAAACAAACACACAAAGCAGCAAAGAGGGAAACAAGATCGGGGCCTCTGTAAAGGGAACCGTGGAAGAAACCGGGAAGAACCACCAGTTCAGAACTTGTTCAAATTTTCAGACAACCAACTGGTGACAAATAATGACTGCCAACATCGGGGGAGGGGCCGGGGGATGTGCTTGATATTCAACCCACAAAGTTTAAGCAGTAAGTAGGCCATAATCATTGTTTTAGACGTCCTCCATTAATACATAATTAACCAGTTGTTTCCTTTTCAAAAAGAAGGCAATGCGGCAAATCTAAACACATGTTCGTGAAGCCAAAGCTGGGGCAAGGGACGGAAATTGTGGGCGACGTCGCCTTCTCTGCCACGGTGTAATCTGGCTTCTGGTGGGTCGCGCCCGTTGTAGTCTCGAAGTATCGCTCCTCAGGAGCAAAACTTCTTCCAATGTGGTTCCCCCCTTTGGACCCGTGAACCTAAACAGGGAACCAAGAAAACTCTGATTTGAATAAGCATACCGTTTCTGCTTGAGGGTCCCCTTGTTTGTTTGTTTAAAGGTAAATTGCGAAAGCCGCCACAACATACTCAAAGTTAGGGGGCCCTCCGAAATGCATGCTTTTACAAACAAAGCAAACAAAGCAAACAAAGCCCTACTTCCCTGTTGAAGGCGCCCTTGCTGGGTTAAACAAAGGCAGGCTGAAGCTTTTTTTTTGGGGTTCCCCCATGTGGAACCAACCTTTACATGTTCCGCCTTATCACGCGGAAACGAGGCTCATGTCCAGCAGTTTCCGCCATGCCCTCCCCTGGCTTCCCTGACTCGACCAAAGCCAATGGTTTCCGTTCCCTCCGCATGGAACCTGAGAAGTCAGGAAAACTGCCACCAGCCTTCAGCTCCCCTAGAGGACCAGTTTAAAAGAAGCGACACAGATTTGGAGGACAACTGTCAGGGAACCCCAAATGGGTTCCAATAACTGCATGGGTCCAGCCCTGCACGCAAGGGCAATTATGTGTGTAGCAGGCCCGGCGCCCACGCAACCTGATAGGGGCTCCTTCATAAGGACTTGATCTTCGCGTGCAAGTTCTTTGTCGGGGGGAATCTCAATGATGCGAGCTCTGTATTATTTTCCCTGTAGATTTACACACACACACACACACACACGTGGGGAACAACCTCACCAGCACCTGGCACTGGCACCCTCCACCCAAACCACTCCCTCCCTTGCCCCCAAACAAAAACAAGAAACAAATAAACATGTTCCAAACCGCATGAGAACTAAGACTACAGAAATTCTACACCACCACATTTCCGCCGATCCCAACTGCAGTCGTATTGGGGGGACTTCCCAAAATTACATGTTAAAGTTCCACGTCCTATTCGCCTTGCAATTTTGAAGTGACGAATCCAAACATGCCCACGGGGAAGCCGGGAACGGATTTATAGTAAAGGACCCCCAAGAGGACGACGGAGGGTGTGGTGCGGCAGGGCGGCATGATGCACCTCCTCAACGATCCTGTCCTGAGGGAAATCAAGAACTCAGGCAACCGGCAATAGGATGACGCATCGCTCCCTAGCGTTATCATCCTTCACCCAGTAATTTCCCAGCTCCCTTGCTTCTAGAATACGACCGAAGCCCAGGAAATTGGATTTGCCCTTCGCATCTGATCGGAACAATGAGTATCTGTGGCCCGTGCCGAAGCCCTAACCAACCAGTAGCTGACCACCTAATTTGTGGATGCTCTGTGAAGCACCTCTTGTGTGCCCCCCTTGGCTTCCTGGGGAATTAGGTGTCCATACGACCTCTCTCCAAGTTGTGCATGCCACATGCCCTGAGTGAAAAGCAGCTACCGCTGCAACAATTTGTGTTGTGCTGCGGCATTTTCGCATTCAAGCATCCAACACCACAAACCCAAATCACCAATTAGAGCAACCTGAGAATAAGGTTGCCCACTATTGTCCCCGTTTACGGCAAAAAAGGGATTTGTGCCCCCGAAGTGGGCCCTGTAAAGCCGCGCGCTTGCGCAGTGCATCTATGATCAAACGGCTTGATGCGGGTTGGCCACCAACGAATGGCCGACGGCCGCAAACGTGGCGCACGCTCGCCTGCGCTTATATATGTATATATGTATACATATATATATATATATATATCATGCATACAGATATTGCATATGTTTATGCGCACACACACACACACATGCGCGCACACACACACACACATGCGCGCACACACGCGCACACACAAACACGCAAACACACAAACACACAAACACACAAACACACAAACTCGTAAACACGCACAAACACGCAAACACGCAAACACACACACACACACACAAACACAAACACACACACACACACAAACAAAAACAAAAACAAACAGAAACAGAAACAGAAACAGAAACAGAAACACACAAACGCACAAACACACAAACACGCAAACACGCAAACACGCAAACACATACACAAACACACAAACACACAAACACAAACACACACACAAACAAAAACAAACAGAAACAGAAACAGAAACAGAAACAGAAACACACACACACACACACACAACACACACTAACACACACCAACACACACGCACCCACACCCACACACATACACACACCCACACACACCAACACACACTAACACACACCAACACACACGCACCCACACCCACACCCACCCACACACACGCACACGAAAAAGCACACGCACACGCACACGCGCGAGCGCTTACCATTCATGTTGTCGGGATCCCGGCCCCGTCCCCGGCCTCATACTGGACGTCCGTCTCTGCCCCTTCATAGTGCGCAGACTTCATCGCATTTGTCAAGGGCCCCTCGCGCATGATCGAAGGAGTAGAGTTATCTACCTGCACGGCAGTCGAGGCCATTTGGACAGGCTCCCAATCCGCGGGCCCGGCCACGAACAAGCCCCTGGGCAGGTGTCCGTATGCAAACAAATACGCATGGCAAAGGTATGTTCACAGCGCTTGCTTCAGGCTCGTGTTGGCTACAACGCTCCAACCCCCGCACCCCCCACCCTGGCCAACAGGGCCTTGCCAATGATCTTGGAGGCAGCTTCCCATTCTTGACCCTCCTTCGGGCCATAGACACGGTCGAAGGTGTTGTCCCCCTTCCTCAGCTTCGGAGCTGAGCTTAGCCCAAAGACAACGCCTGAACAGCCAAGCAATCTGTTGGAACCACCATATCACCTGAACGTGCCGGAGCCTAAGATTGGTTAGAGATGGTTTCCACTCTGCCCGAGCCCAAAACGGTCTAACATGGTTTCCACTGCCCAACAAGGGAAAGGCATACATAGTATGTGTATATATATATATATATGTATTCGGATATGTATCCATATGCCTATACATCATATATCGGCCGCCTTTGGTGGTTTACAAGGTAGCACGTCGGACAGAATTCACGCGTTATTCAGCATTTAAAGCGGCAACAGCTATATGTGTCTGTTTGTCAAAAACATCATGTTATGGTTCATTTGGGAGGGACGTGTTACATTAGGGGACTCACTGAGTTTCCCACAGAAGCCAGGGAACAAAATTTACCATGTCCAGTTGAGGAACAAAATAGTTTCGACTGTGGCTCACTTGGATATGCAATTCTAGAGGATTTGGATGTTGAAAGGGTACAAGTCTTGCATGGTCAGCCCAGTCCTTTTAGCAAGTCAGTGCTTCATGCCGCCCCTGCATGACCGGAACATTGACACCTAAACATTGGCTCTGGACAATGCCCGGCGATCGACGGGCTACTTTGCTTAAGGCAACCAGTCAAATTCCTCTTTGCGTTGCGCAAACTAAACAAAGACAATTGCAGCTGTCCTTCCACAGGTTCCCCTGCCAAGTCTGCCCGATTGTGGCGAGACACCGCGGCACGCTAGGAAGCTTGGTCCAGTCTTTCAGCAGCCCTGACCGCGGCAAATGACCTGAGCCGCTTCAAGAAGAGCTGGTTCACTCACCACAAGTGGGCCTTCTCCCCGGAGGGTGAAAGCATGCTGAAAGATCGATTCCCTTTTGAAGGGACCCCCTGTCAGGTGCCATGTTAGTGGGACGGAGGGTACTTTTTACTGGGCACTTGCCTTTACAATTGACTGCCGCAGGTCAGCACTACCAGGCCAACCGGCCCACCTCAAAACCACACACACACACACATCACACAACCAAACAAACAAACAAGCAAGCAAGCAAGCAACCAAGCAAACAAGCAAGCAAGCAAACAAAAAAACAAACAAACAGGCAATAAAGGTCCCTGAACATCACAACGCAGTGTCACGCCTGCCGGGCGCCTGCTGACATGGTGAATCTGTCACACGGCAACGCGGGCTGAAACAAACTTCAATTTGAGCTTGGTCAGAATTGGCGGACGGTCTCCTCACACGCACCACCAAATCCTCCAACACTGGACTTATCGTGATTATTTTTTCCTTCCGCTATCCTCAGGCCTGCAGCTTCTTTGGTGGACTTTGTTTCCTCAAACACTTCTGTCCACCAGCCATGTTTAAGGATGATGTTCCCTATGAAAATGCATCGTCACATGCGGCCAGCATGAACGCAACAACAAACAAAAACGTCCGCACCTGGCCCCCGCGACGCACGATTCAGGCATCCGGCGCTGTGGCACAGTCCGTCCCTCTCCTGAGGAGTCGCGCAGGACACGCTCCTGCGAGTGCAAGCGTGCATAGGATTAATTCGACACAGGAGTTCCGACCAGCCCTGCAGAATCCCCCTGAAGAACACCAAGACGCAACGCAACGGCCCCCCGAATCCGAAAGCCTTCTAAGCAGCATGAGAAATGCTGACCTGCATCTACAGTGCTGGCCTGGTGGCCTACTGCGTAGACTGCGTATTGTTTTGAGGATGGCGGATGCTTTGTGACTGGATCCAAGAATGTAAGTTCGAACACCGCACACCCCGTAGCCCTTTTCCCCGTCCCGCGCAACCCGAGCGCTGACCATCCTTGATCCAATGGCCGCACCACACCAATGCCTGACTTGATGGTCACATTCGCTGTCAGGAATAGCTATTCCTGAAGGGCCTCATTGAAACTCAGCCAAGTCAAATAGCAAAAGGGTGTGCCGCTGGCCACAAGCAAGCGCCAGTCAGCCTTTAAGCCCTCCCAGCTCCTCGAACCAATTGCCAATCAGGGTGCCCGCCTGAGGGCGGCGGGCGTTTGAAAAGCAGGAGTCTTAGAGCTCGGTGCCGACACTGCAACCACTTAACCTGTTGAGTTTGTTGGCCTGAAAAGTCTCCGGTCAACGAAACATGCAAGAGAAAATCCAAGCCATGACCAAAACAAATCCCCTGATGCACATGTATGTTCCGCGCATGGCGGCGAGTCCTGCAAGCAAGCGGGAGGGATGTGCGTAATGCACTGCTCAACAGTTTGCCCTGTTGCTGAGGCCTTGCATGTTGTACTTACCAAATGGAGATGTACGTGACATTTACCTGCGTGTTTCCAAGATATTGGCCCCCCAGTAGTCCGCGGTTCCCATTCGGTGTCCTAATGAAAGCTATTTAAAGGGAAGTATCATATCTTCGCAAACCTCCCAAATGGAGGGGTTTCCCAAACAGTCCATTCAAGCGACATCCTCAAGGCTACCCTTAGTAAACCACCCCTACGAGTAATTGTGAGAACCTCTCAAGATGTTCACAATGGACCTGCAAAAAACAGACCCAGCAAATTCGACATGGAATAAGTCAGGAGTCTTGCCTCTTTCAGCCAGCGTACTTGCCCAGTAGCTACGCAAACAGCAACTAGAAACCGCGCCTTGTCTTTTGTGTGGCTTGGGGCCGAGTTGAACGAACAACATCGAACCTGGCCAGGGCAACGGGCAACCTCTCGCCGGACCCTTTGGGGCACCCGGCTCCAGCATCGGGCTGCAGCCTAAGGCACCACGTGAGCCAGATTCAAGAGTTCAAGGCCCGCCCAGGGTTTCTCGGTTGCTTATAAGTCAGACTTAGACCCAGCAGTTCCCGTTGGAGGAAATCAATGCCCTCCTAGGTTAAATCTGCCCCTTTGGACTCTCAACAAATCGTGCCTTGGAAATTTGACGCCCAACCCCAAATACATCATGGGTGAAGGCCCGGCCTTGCCACCTGACCGAAAACAAATCTGGCGTGCTGAGAGGTCATTCATCCCTGGTACACAACGTCCTCTGAGCCTCTGAGCCTCTCAGCCTCTCAGCCTCGCCAGGTTTGCTCTCTGTTACTTTTACATGTTGAACTTCTTCGAAATGTCGGCCATGCGGAGGACATGCAGGCCGCCGACTTGGTGGATGTGAAGTCAACACTCAGAAGTTGCCATGAGCAAGGACTATGGAGATGCTGAGGCGGGCCCAATGGCAGCAAGACTTACATACATTGGGTATATTCAATTGTGAGACGGGCGAAAAAGCGTCCATATGCAAGCATAAACAGTGGCCCTTGAACAAGTCGCCACCAATCCGAGTTGCTGGGTGTTGTAGGCATCATCGCTGAAGTGCGCCATTCGCAGCCTTTAGCAAGGAAGTGGCTTGCAATCGCTGGCGTGTCCAAAACAACAGGTTCAAAGCGCTAATATGCGAACAGTGCCAACAGTAACATTGAGGGGGGTAGCTGGGTTGCACTTTGCTTGCTTTGCCAAGACTTACACTCAGATTTCCACTACTTGACTTAGTATTGGCAACACTAAATTTAGTATTGCCACAAATTTCCAAGACTAATCTTAGACTTCCAGTACTGACGTGGTGTTGCCTTTAGACTCAGAGCTGGGAAGGGCCTACACGAATCACTCCTTAAAAAGTGCCGGCCTCGCCATTAATGAGGACCCCACACTCAATCCGAGCAAAGAACATTAGGGGCTCTTGTGGGGTACCCCTCTTTTGTGTGACTGCTTGGCCTTGGCTTTGTCAAAGGGGTTTATATAAAGAATGATGGCAAGTCTTGCAGGGTACAGCTCTACTGTGAGACTCGGTCAAACATTTGGGGTCGCCATTGTAGAAAGTCGTTTCCTAAGTCAGAACCCTGGGACGTTTTTGGGACCTGACATGATGGAATTCGGTTGCTGCTGTTTTTGCTTCCAAAAGAACAGCCGGGCACAAAATACAAACCAACAATGCAAAATCAAGGCCTTAGGTTTTTACTTTTAAGGGCTGGTGTATTTTAGCCCTTCCCAGCTCAGAGGCTAGGAATTCCAATTTTTGAAGTGGCCCCCAAACAATAAGTAGTGATAGTAACACCAATATCCAGAAGAAGGGACTTTCCAAGTTGCCGGCTGAGCAAAACCCATAGCATGACAACCGTCTGTGGCTGGCAGCGTTCTGCCAAACTTCTCGCTTGGAACCTGAGAGCAAACTTCTCCCTGCATGCTCTTTCATATTGTCCCAGCACCTCCCAAGATCAAGGCACACGACTCATCCCGGACTCATCCCCCCTTATAGTGGCAAATTGTCCCCAAGAGAAAACAAGTCCGCAATCATTTCCCCTTCCATCGCAAATCCAGCCGCATTAGGATCGAGACTGCGGGACCATGCGGGACCGAACAGAACTACCCGGAATCAGCCCCCCTAACTAACAAAGCAAACGTTTCTACTCCAACAGCACGGACTTGTATGGGGGGGGTCCAATTCAGATTGGGACCGATTGCGGGCGACAGGGGAGTGCACGCCGCGGGGCCCGCACTCTGGCGGCACACGCTCCTTTTGGTTGACAACGCAAGCCCAAAATACTGGGTTATTGTGTGCTCCATGAGCATCACCCCAAACCAAACCAACCTAATTGCCCAGTGGCTGCTTTCTAACTGTCTGCTCAGGTTGCAGCGCCCCGCCTCTTTTTCAAAGGCACCCGTATAGGGCGCTGGGAACTTGGACGCTGAGATGGCCGCGGAAAGGCTCGGCTGAAAAGGTCCAACGACCACCCCGGAGTTTCGACCCATCGCCATGGTAAGTGCAACAACCCTTGGCTCACATACACCAATACGAAGGAACAAAATCCAACGGGCGTGCCTCAAAATGGGGAAGACCCCCATGGTGAATTGAAACCCACGGGAAGCCAACCATCTGAAGGCTGAGCTTGTCAAGCAGAATGTGCTGCTTTGCATGTCATGGAACTGCATGAGTGTGCGGTTCCGGTTCTCAGTCCATATGATATGGAGCGGGATGCTTAACCATATTGGTCAGAAACACTCCCTGCAACTTCTCTTTCTTTCCAACAGCAGGCTGTTTTTGAACAGTGCCCAAACGCAGCCATTAAACAAACCAATGCACATCATTGACCCGGTGAAGCCTCTTTGGGCATGGCGTGCATGGCTTTCGCCTGCCATGCTGCGGCGGCGCCTCGTAGCGTGCTGAAGGCGGCCGAGGCTGCATTTCGGCATGTGTTCCCTCAGGCTGTCAAATGAGTGTTGGTTTATTCCCTACAAACTTGATTGGATACAGTGACGCTGGGAGAATTCAATTGTTTGTTTGGTCGTTGACGATCTCCACAAAATCCACTTGCCCTATGGGTGAGGCGGTGTCTTCTCTGCCGCTTTGGCAGAAGCACAAATGGTGGAGGCTCGACTCCTCCCTGGATCGTGTCTTTAATTACTCGTTTTGTGTTTTTGGCAAACGTCAGGCATCTTCGATCGCAGCTTGCACAGAGTCTTACGGGTACACAAGGCCTGTTGAGAAAAATATCCTTCGGGATGTTTTCCACACTCTCCGGGGTAACCAAGAAACATGGAAAGTGCACAGGCTCCCTTTCTCCGCAAACCTGCTGCGGCGCATGTTTGACAAGGTTTGCTTCGGCGAGTTTTGGCGCAGAAAGGAAAGTCATTTTAAGTAAGTAAAGTAGTGTTTTGCCGCAGCCTTGGGCTCCATTGTGAGCTACCTGTGCTACGTGGACACTTGCCTGCAAACACGGGGCCGCCCTTCCGCGGAGCTTCCGCGAACCTTCCCGCAAACGTAAGCGTTGCGTTTCTTGTACGCAGCAACACCTTTCTGCTTCTGCTGCTTGCACAAACCTTCTGCGAAAGAATCCCTTCCGCGCGTGCTTCCGCGCGTGTGGCGCGGTGCACGTTTTCAATAGTACTGTCCCTCTCCCCACTAAATTAGCTTGCGGCAAAACAAAACACCGCTCAAATATACATCTGTAAAAATATATTTATAGATATGTTCTACGGGGCGCAAACAACTGTGGTGCGATGCCTTTGGTGCAGCCTGCTTCTAGCCCCAAGCTGTGTCAAACTCACATGGTGTTTGTTGGCAACTGTTCAGAACAAGCGTGCTTGTTCCTATTAAAGGCATTCACCAAAGTGCTCCCGCAACATGCCGCAGAATTTATTCAATTGTGATCAGCTTCGCAGAAGTCCGGAGGGCTTGCCCAAAAGCCAACACCCGCACGAAGCAAACGTAGCAAAGCCAACAAAACAGGGTTGTGGGAAGTGCCCACTTCTACACTGCGAATGGAAAGGACTTCCGAAAGGGAGGTTCCCTGGCATCAAAGAATTCAGAAGTGGGAATGACTAAAAGACAAGAAAGGACGTTTGCTTCAAGGGCAAAGCATGTCCGCAGTACCCATGACAACCCCAGACTAGTCCTGGTATAACTCCAACAAGCGAGGGAGCCGCCTAAAGTTGAATCATCCCCCTCCTCAACTGTAAACAAATGGTAGGTAGATGCCCTCTTTGATTGTCATTGATCAAGGCGTCATATCGCCTGAGGGCTCCGAGGGCGTGCATGCGTCGCGCGCCTGCATGAAGGCGCTGACTTTGAGGACCTAGCAGTGAGCAGCCAGCAAAGGAATTTCCTTGCCAGCCTGAAGGTGAACACCACGAACATCCAAAATACACGTATTTCGTTGGGAGCAGAATCTCCTGTTGGGCTCTTGGGGCCCCAAAAAGCGTTTTGGGAGACATGCTAACTTCCAGGGGAGGCAAACTGGGAGGGAGCGGCAGGTGCCTTTACTCGTGCTACAAACGCCGTAGAACTACATTGACTAGACTTGTCAGTAGGGAGCCGCAGTTGCAAACAGTGACCCAGGCAAACAAGGGTTGACCATTGAGAGCCACCAAGCAAAACACAAATTGAGGGTGGAATCCACTGAGCAGCTGGAAATGGATTTGCCCTTGACGTGTCACCATTGAGAAGCAAAAACAAAACAACAAGCCTACAGCATCCTTGAGCCATCCATGCGAAAGGGTCGGGAGCTGAATTCCACGCCCACGGTGCTATCATTCGGTTCTTAGCATAGGTCAAGCCGAACTCAAGGAGACAACGCATGACGACTGAATCAAGCTCCTGGAGGATTTCTGAAAGTCCTTCAATCACAAGTTGCCAAACTTGTCAAACACATTCTTCGGCAACGAAAAGTAATCCCAAAGCAGCAACGGCGTTTTGCAGCTTAAACGCACAAGAGCCGACGTTGGGATTCTCAGGCAAAAACAGGCCGTGAAGAATCACACGGCAATGCCCAGATTCATACCTCTGGGCCTGTACAATGCCGGCACGCCCTTGTACTTGAGGCCTGTGCACCCTCACGGTGCCAAACGAGCTGGCATGGGTTTGTCAAATAATATTGGACCCCCTGAATTGGGTGGTTTCCGTTCATGTTCCACTCAACTGCAAGAAGGGTACCCTCAAAAATATTCGACCAGAAGGATCAACACCTGACCTGTAGATCAACGGACAGTGCTGCAAACCCGTGAGCACCCGCAATTAGGTGCCGAAACTATGCCCTGCGAACCGTGAGGATGGGACAGCCGCCCGCCGGGCAAAGCAGCAAAACAGTGCTATGCACAGGGGCGCTCCAAGCTGCCAACTCTGTCGCAGTGGAACAAGGCAATCCTTCAGTTCTTCATATATACCCACACTTCCCTGGCATGAAGTCCCTTTAACTACAGGGGAACAGCCCCAGATCAAGAAACTTGGGTTGATTACTCTGGGGTCATTACCCAGAAGACTTGCCTTTCCGCTGACCTTGTTACTTCCGTGGCCGGCCGGTGGCGTCGAAGGTCCCGCTGGCGAAGCCCATGTCTTGGACCTGGCGCCCCAAGGTGGCCGCCGCCTCCTGCGCGCCGCTCTTCTGAAGATGACCCCCTGTTGGCGGGCTAGGGGAGCCTCAAAGAAAAAACCCATCGTTGTAAAAGACACTTAGTTACTTAGAATGTGCGAAAGATTCAAATTACTCCAAGTGAATCAAACCCTTGATTCTTGAGGGGGTTTGCTTTTCCATCCTTTCCGGGAGTTGCAACAAATCACAGCTGGATCTCCAGGGGTTGGCCTTCAAAGTGTGGCTTTAAAGTGCAACGCAAGGACGTAAAGCCTGCCATGTTTTAGTCCAATTCAATTTTAGGAAGCACTCATCAGGGAGAAGTATTCATGCGAGCCATGGACAACTTTTGACTCTCGGCCTGGGAGGATAAATTTGGTTGGCTCACGGGCACTCCATGATAATAGATTCGCACCCCTCTCAAAGCCACGAGGGCCCCTCCGTATCATACCCGATTTCTCGCTTGCCAACGAAGGGACACCATGGCAAACGTATGCAGGCACAAATTACCGCGACTCCTCATACATAAATGAGGGGATGCGTATTTTTCCACTGTTCAAAATCTGCGGATGTGCTGGGAGGAAACAGCCCACCACCAGGCCGCCAGCCAGAAGGGAACATAAGGGAACTAGCAAAACAATCATTGCCGCCATGGCTCTGGTTGCGATTCTTCCCGCAAAAGCGAGGAGAATTTGAGAGCCCCCCCCCCGAAATAAACATGTAACAGAACTACGGGGTCCCCCAAGATAAAACTCCTCTAACAAATCACAGCTTTCTCGCACACATCTTAATTTGCGGGGCGGTAAGTCATGAACATCCCTTAGTGTGATTCCGCGCCTTCCTAAATCTTCAGTCCTTGTAAAGGTTGTTCTTAATGCCATGCATTGTTTCCTCAGCGCTTCCATGTGTGATCAACATGCGCTCTGCCTTCAACGACCAAGCTCGTAATTGTGCATGCCCGGTGGCCGTGGAAAAAAAGGCACCATGTCTCTAATTCCGTTTTTCAAAAGAGGAAAGGGTCCCAACCCTGGTTTTGACAGGGATCGCAAAAGTGTCCAACAACAAAAGCTTCCACTTTTCGAAGGACCCGCCAAGCACAACTCAGACCTGGAGCTAGCTTGCATCGGAGCCGAGCCGCCCGGGTCTTGGCGTCTTTCGCCTTGGCTTTCAGGCCCTTGGCCAGCTCCATGGCAGCTGAGAGGAGCTCGGCCACCGGCGGCGTCGCATCCACCACGCCTCCGAGAAAACTGCGGCGATGGGGTCAGACTTCACTCAACGGCCCACACAGGGATGAAAACAGACACGGAATTTTAGGGGTCACCCAGTAGGCTAGGGGTGCATCTACTTACACACAAATGTGATTAGAGAGATTTTCCCTGCCACATGCAAGGCCACAAACATCCCAAAGGCACTCTGGGTTCATCCAAGTAGCACTCCGCGACATGACCAGTTGAATGCTGGTGACAAGAACATGCAGCTGCTTTCTAAGCCAACATGGCCGTTTGAAGCTCAGAAGCCCAGAAATGGCCCACGAAACAAGAAGGACATTCTGAGTCAAAGCGCCGTGCTCCTTAAGCTCCTCCGGGTGGTACCTTTTGCCCATGCAAAGTGTGTCCTTAGCAGGACACGTGCACCGGCACCCCATCTACGGCAACTCTTGCATTGCTTGAACACATGCACGCTTGCTTGTGGAATGACAAGGCGAACCTTTACCATGCAGCTGGATTCCCTGAAATTTTAAGTCAACCATTGCAAGCCAGGGTCGCTTAAAATTAGCGTCGGGAAACACCACATTGGAAATGATCTTGATCCTGATGTATGACTAAAGAATCTAGGGCTTCAGAATTGAAGCGCTTCAGCGCTTCTTGATTTTGCAGGGCCGTAGCAAAGGCCACGCCCGGCCACATGCAATCATCAGCTTGCAATCATCAGCTTGCTTCAGCTCAGGCACATTCCACATTGTCAGGGGCATCTTGGCCTTCCTGAACTGGAAGCCGAGCGCGACGAAACGTGATCTGCCAGTCACCACTTGTGTCAGGACAGCCGCTGTTCAACCCATGTCTTAGCCGGCCATCTTAAAAGGTGCAAGGTGCCCTCATTCGCCTCGGGAGTGAAACGATGTGTGGAAAGGGTCTGGGGCACCTGTCAGCTCGAAACTAGAACCCGCCATAACCCCCCTGATTGAACACTGTCAGAACAGTTGGCCGGGCCCGTTTTGCATTCAAAACTAGAACCTTGATTTAGGATACACCCACGTCCACACAAACAATAATGATTGCACTGACAGGATCCGCTCAGTGTGCTGCGTCTAAAACCTGCAGTTCATTGCGGGGGCTCGTCCTGCAAGTTTGGCAAAGACGTTGTCTTGACGTCATAACTATCAACAGAGCTGGAGAGGATAATTGCAAAACGTGGTCAGTAAGGCCAAAAGCCAATTCCCCAAGTATGTTCAGCATCTTGCTGACTCCTGCGGAATGCGCCAGGCATCATGAGCTCTGTCATGCCAGCAGAATAGACCAGGCCGATGTCAATCCCAGGAACGAAAAATAAGCCTTGGGTCCAAATGATCAAGACTCTAAGGCCGAAATGCACGGATGCTCAATTTGGCATCTGGGACATGGTTGGATCGAAAACTCCAGCAGGCATCCTTGCCATTTGTTGGGATCAAAAAGCTCAAGAAGCCATGCTTCCTCGTCGTTCACGCTGGGTGCATTAGTTCTCTTTAGACAAGTTGTTGATTTTTCAGCCAATCTTGCCCTACCCGGCCAGGACGCTTTTGGTGTCGTTGGGCATGAGGCGCTTGTCGAAGGCCAAGCCCAACATGGCCCCGCCCGCCGTGATGTGCCCATTGACCGCCGCTATGGTGGGCATTCCCAGCGTGAGGATGCCTCAGCGAAACAAAAACAAAAACTGTGCCAGCTGCTCGTTTCCCGCCAAACAATGGGCTTCCTGCGCCGCTGACACCTGCGCACCCTCTCAACATCATCCTCTTCACTGGGTGAAGTGGCACGCAGCGGCTCGCGGACTCCCAGCCCCAACGGCAGCAGCAGCAGCAGCAGCAGCAGCAGCAGCAGTTCTATATTTCCCGAAAACATCATCCCACCAAAACACACGCATGTTTACTGAGCGCCAACAAGTGTGGTTTGAAACCACTAACGGGAAACATGTTTTGGAAGTATGCAGCATCCAGAAACCAAGGCACAGGCAAGGCCGTGAAAGAACGCCCTAGGCGTGCCAAGCAAATGCCAGCCTGTAGTATAAGTAGGCTGCTTTTCATTGTGTTTTTTTCAGTTGTTTGACGACCCCGACACATGGAAGGCTTCTTTCCTAGCCCCCATTTGGTCCTAAAATGGCGGCACCCCTTTTGGATGGCGTGCGAAGGGAAACCCACGCGAAAACAATCAGTTTTTCAGGGCCATCTGAGTCAGAATCAGGACCTGGCATTACATGGGTCTTCCCAATAACATGTAAAGAACTACGATGCCTCAAGTCCTACGCCAGATCTGAGGCAGGAGACGTGCCATCAGTTTCTCCGCGTCCTCCAGGGCCGTTGGTTAAACACGCAAAACAAAACACGAGTCACCTTCCACCTCTCTGTGGGTTTTTTGTAGGGGGCTAACAGAAATGTTAAAACCATCATGTCCAAAAACCATATCCTTCTGGCTTTCCCTAAGGAGGTGGCCAAGATGTCGTTGCCCAAACGCACGTCCTCTTGGATCTGTGTGGACTGGCTGACATTCGCGGAGATGTACCTGGCTGCGGCGAGAAGCGCCCAACCCGAGCAGGCAAAGAGGACTACTAGTCTATAGTTGATGAGTATGGTGTTTTCTGCCGATTTCCGATTCAGGCCAAAGTAAAAAGTGAAAAAGGGACCTGACAATGCTACAAAATTGCAACTAAGAATCAGGTTATGGAACCAGCATGGATACAGCTCATCGTCCGTGTTCAGATCATGCTCAAAGAAATGATGTGAAGAACAAAACATGGGAGGAGGATTCAACAGACCTCAGAAGAGTCATGTGAGAATCAAATGTCAATTGCAGTTCCAAGCCAAGTCTATTGGCCACTTTCACGTGACCTTCGGAGAAAAAATGCAAATGCTGCCCATATGCCACGGGAAACTTCATTTCCCCTTCAAAAGTGGCAACTTCGTGGTGGAATCGAATGAAACAAAGGGCCAACGTTCCTTTAAACATATGATGGACGGGCCGCTGTCAGCTGCGGCCAGGCCGCTGCAGGTCCATGCCGTTGCAGAAGAACCGCCCGTCCCCTGACGCATTTCGCTCAAGCGGCTTGTCCGGCGACTGCTTCAGCTGGCTTCAACTTCTCCAAAGAACCAGCCCAACAGGCCGCGCACACCTATCCTGAATTCGCCCTCCCACCCAAACAATGAAAAACTAAGAAACAAGTTGGAACCCACTCGATAACGGGGCCAAAGTGCCTTTCGATTGTCAAAGGCCAAGGGGTCACAATATCATTTTTCAGCCAAACGTTGCGTTATTCAAATGGCCATCAAAGTAAATTTGCTTTTATGGAAATCTTGGTGGGAGCTATCTCCATCTTCCATACAAGAACCATAATTATCAGATCAAACTCACATCAAGAACTACAGCCAAATTGAACCAAACTAAACAAATACAAGCAACAATTGAGATACAGCCGCGCCTATCACCAGCAGACCCTGTGCTCCGCAGCGCTCCGCCGCATCCAGCGCGCGGTTCACCTGCCCAACCAGCATGAAAAGCTGGGCAGGGGCATCTGCACGTCAAAACCTCATGGCAAAATCGTCTTCTTGTCTCCCATGGCTGCCTAACGCAACTGCCTCAGACTTAAGTTATCAAGTGATAGCAAACGAGGTCCCAGCCATGGGGTCTGGAAACATGTCACCTCTATCACCTTGCGGTCTCCTTCACGGGGCATTCTAAGACAATGGATCGTTCCGGGGGAAGGATGACAGTGTCCCTACACGCAAATGTTTGGGCTTGAGCACCTGAAGAGGCCATGGGGCGGCAAGCTTGCTCCTAATTGGCGGTTTGCAAGAGCGATTGTTTGGAGGTGTTCCGGGTTGGTTTCCCTTTGCCCCGCAAGAACCAGGGGTTCAAATCTCCAAGCCACACGGAAAGTCAAATTCCACAATACCAAATCAGCACTAACTCAAGTGCAAAATCGAATCTAACAATACTCAATCAAAGGATGAGACTTCAAAAAACAAGGAAAAGTAGGCACCAGCAGTACAACATCAAATGGAAAAAGGGACCCTTCTGGTGTTCTGGAATCCTCTTTCCCAATTCAAAAGTAGCATTGCCCAATACTACAGCAGTATTTCACAGTAGTAAAGTAGATCCCCCAGTCTGATTGTTTCAGGATGCCTATGGCCGCATTGCAGAATGCGGCAAATATATGTGTACATGTCTAATATACAGTCACATATATATATATATGTATAGTATGTATATGTATATGTATAAGAAAATATATTCACTTGGTATATGCGGGCAAAGAATATTGGTGGGTAGTCTCAAGAGAGACGCCTACGACGGAGTGTTGTTTGGCAAAGGAGTGGTCTAAGAGATCGAAGACGTGCCCATGGAGATGCCCCTGATACCACCCATCGACTCTTGTCTGTGCTCAGCTGATTATAGATAACTACACCTAATACGCACAATATAAATATAAATAGATAAAACAACATGTACGTATACACAAATATCTATCTATTCATATACTTATGTTTATATGCATGCATGCATTCTGTGCTAAACTGTGAACCAATCAACCCATGAAATGTAAACCAACCAGCCCATGTAGTAGGACTCCCTTCTAAAATTGGCAACGGATCTGCGCTGCTCCTGCAATATGCGTACCAGGGGCACCTACTCCATAAGCATAGCGTAGAACTTTTGGAACGCACATCTTGCAAAGGTCTCCCCTCCCTCACCTCGAGTACAAACCTCAAGCAAAAGCCTCTTAGAGACCCTAACCTTTTGGATTCCCTTCGGGCGCCAGGGCATGTTCAAGAACAAACCCCCCTTTTGGATAGTGAAAGGGATGCGGAAAGGAACCGAACCATTCAATTGTTTTTGGACGCACCCTGCAGGGTCTGCAGCCTAGGTGGCAAAAATAGGTCACAGGACCAACCATAAAGCCTTTGTCCCGCGGGTGGGGCCTGGCCGATGAGCAAAGGGTTAATGCGATGCTCGAAGATGCGGGTGCCCCATGGAAAGCTGCCCTCCGGTGATAAGAGCCGGACCTCAGCTCTCAGCGGAGGCGAGAAGGGTCAGCTAAGGTCCAGTTGGATAGAATTGCTATTATATTTATCCTGGGTTCCCATTGCACCTAATTGGTGATTTGGGTTGCTGGAGGTTGTCATTTCAATTAGTATGGCCTTCAGGGGGCTTGGACAGGCGCAACAAAGGGACGAGCAACTCAAGGTTGTGCAAGAATTTGCCAGCAATGGCAGGGCCTAATTGGCTTTCCTATCATCGTCTCTCAATCCATGTGCCTTTCATCGTCACATCACGGCTCATCCTTGAGTAACGGGAGGCATAGAAAGATGAAGTTGCGAAGGAATGGACCATCTCTATGGTGACAGTGAAAGCGTCCCATCCGCTCCTTCCCTCATCATCTCATTCACACCCAGGGAGACACACATGGACGAGAATGTCCATTCCTTTTCCCTCCTCTCTCACGCCTTCCCTGCAGTGGAGAGAGGAGGATGGCACGGGCATTATCCTTTTCATCCCTACTCCCCTATCACATTCACAAGCTGCGAAACACAGTACAACCTCCAGCTGATTAAAAAGGTCAGCGCTCAAAGTCAAAACGAAGCAAAACGCGCTGCGCTTGAGACGGGGTTGCAACTGCTCATGATCATGTCATGAGGCTTGCGAGCTTGAATGCTGGAAGAACACAAAGGGTCAGCAAATCTCTGCGCTAAATAGGAGATCTAGACAAAGGAACAAATTACCCATCCCCTCCTGACTTCCTCAGGCCGCTGCTACTGCAATATCATCCACCACTTTCGTGCTGAGCAATTCCACGTCATCCCCTCGGGTGATCGCGAGCAGAGAGCGTGCCGCTGCGCACGCTGCGTCACACCAACGTCTGTGTCGGGCACCCAAAGGTGAAGTGGCAGGCGTTGGGGCCAACTCTGACTTGGGGCCCTGGAGGTCGAGCGACACCCAAGGCACCGGCGAAGGGCAGAATTCCATCTGGCACCTCCACTGTTTTGGCCTGGAAGCACGTGGAAACACACCCCGCTGGACAACCCGGGCATTATAAATCCGTCCCAACACGATGCCATGGAAAACATCCAGCCTGCACAAAAACGCTTGGCGATGTCGTCAGCAAGCTCGGAAATGCTGTCCCTCCTCTCTTCCCCGCCCTTCCCTTTCCCTTTTTTATCCTTGTTTGTCCATCAAATATCTCAAGTCGTTGATCTCGAACTTCAGCTGTGAGGAAGCCAATGTGAAGCTCAACTTTCCACAGGAGACCCAAAAGGAAGCCAACCATTTGACGCGTATCTTGTTGTAGGATCCCCCGTCGGTCAACGAATGCAGAATGTTAAGTAATTGAATGTTCCCTGAGCTGGTGCCGTCCTTTTCTGAAGGAAATAATCCTAGTTTTAGAACCCGGGAAAGGCACCTGGACGAGAAAGGTGGCCTATCCTATGATATCCTATGTCCTCTTCTTGCTCACCCAATTTTGGGGACCTACGCAAGTGAACCAACTGCAAGTATGTTGTCCGTGGCTCATGTCTCTGTAGCTAGGCACACACCCTGAGCAGAAGTTCAGCTTCCCCAACCTTAAAGGGGGATGATTCCGCGGAATCATCGGAAATGCGAACAAATAAATTCAGATCCTGGTGCGGGGAAATCAAAGGAAACCAACCAAGTTTCTACCAATGGGGTGAGGCTGCTTTGCCAAATCACACCTGCATGCTGACCTTGAGCAAGAACACATCAAGCAGGAAAGGTGTGGTCATCCTTCAGGAACGGCTCGGGGCAAGCGCGTCTGAGCTCCATGTTTGTCTTCAGGGGAAGGAGCAATACTTGTCTAACACATCACGCCCTCCAGCGCTGAACTGCGCATTGGTGACTCATCTCGGAATGGGTCGAAATCGTGGGAGGGCCGCTGCAACCCCCCAAGAAATCACAGACTGCTTCCACCCAAAACCCCACCAGGCGCCAAGCTCCAGCCCCGCGCTCTCGTCAGCCTCGTCAAGGCCTGAGCTACTGACTTCTGATGGCCGGGGGGGGGGGTTCAGGATCCAAATCAGGTGTTCCCAGTCTGTGTTGAAATCACATCTTAGGGATGGTGATGCTTGAAAGTAGGGAAGCGTTGGGATCAAATCTAGGGAGGCTGTATCGGAAGAAGGGGGTGCCGAGCAGCAGCTTGCAAGTCGATCGGGCTGGACTGCGCCCGTCCTTTAGATATTTAGAACACTTTAGAACCAAACTGACAGCAGTGCCAGTGGCAGTTTATCCAACTGCAAAAAGGAGCCCTATAGCCTACCCGCAATCTCAGGTGTGGACTTGGGAGCCGTTTCCAGAACACCAGGAAGGCATAAATTAGTCCAGGCCCAAAGCAAACATCATGCCGGCAACTTGCAAGTTTTGCAGTTCTTGCCAAAGTTGTGCAGTGGCCGGGGATAAAAGCACACACCCTTCTCGATGTAATTGTGTGAGAAAAACCGAAAGCGGAAGGGCACGCCCATCCGTCTGTCGGCATGGCTCACACCTCATGCCAGTGCCCAAAGACCCTTCTGAGCCCAGCTCTCGAAACGCCATGGCCCTGGGCGCATGGGGAGGCGAGCGCATCCGATGGTAGGGAAACGGCTGATGTAGGAACGGGTGCCCAAAATGCCGCTCCAATACAGGTTGTGCTTGCAAATGTCGCGTAAGATACGCGTCGAACCTAGAGGTCTTTCGGGACTTTGTGAAAAAGGAACCGCCCAATGAAACAGCCAGTGACTTTGACACTTCCTCAAGAAGTGCCTTCACTGACTGGAACAGAGCAGCATTGATTGAATAAACCACAAACCGCCTAAGCTTCACAGTCGCCATCAACAACAGAGCGCTGTGTTTTTTTAACACATCCCAGTTGCGCAGTGAGTCAATAGAACAACGGATCCTTTTTCTGGGCTTAACATAACCCACCCAACAAAAAGGGAAAGCGGATGCCACTGAACAAACTGGTTTCGCCCCTTGCAAATGAAGCAAAGCTGGTGTCGATCCTTCCAACCGGGGCCTCGCCTGCGACGCGATCAGCAAACGGGGCTTGAGCCGAATGATGCCAAGACAAGCGCGCATGCCCTGAGCAGCAAAAAAAAAAAACACTAAAAAAAGAACATATCATGGCGGGTTAGTTTGTTGCACTTGGAGGCAGTCTTCCGATTCACTTGGCTCCAGAATTGCTCGACCCCTGTTTATCAAGGAGCTGGGCTCAATTTTGTTACAGCCCTTGAGAGCTTCTACGAGTTCAGGGGGGAAAAAGTTAAAAGCTCCAAAGATCTCCAAAGGCAAACCCGCCCAACGGCGCCTCTCTCGAGATCTACCAGCTGCGTCGTCCTGAATCGAGTCCTGAACTTGCCTCGCCGAGCAGCCATCCCCCACACACGCCGGCAAAAAGCAAGACACCCACCCTGCAAGTTGCAAAGCAAAGGGTCAGCTAATGTGAGCTGCAAAGCATGAGTCTTGCCCATGTCTTGCAGTCTTGCCTCTCAAGTCCTAAACGGCGCTCGCCACACTGGGACTCCGGCCGGCAGTGCAAAAGGATGCCATGGCGCATGTCCCACGTGCTTGGCCATGCAACATCCTCTGGACCAACCTCGTAGACGCTGGTGCAACTGCATCGGCTGCATGTCTGTCGGACCGCTTTGGGGACGTGCTTGCCATTGCCTCCCCAGGTTTGGTTAGGCACAGCCAGGACCACTTCGCCAGTAAGCCAAAAGTGCAACGACACAAGAGGGTCGCGGTTTTTGGACTGTGCTGAAATCAAAGCTGTTTGCTGGCAAGTGGGGAAGCAGTCATAAAACTGACAACCATTGCACACTGATTGAAGAATAAACCCAGGCACAGCCAAATCAATAAGACCTGAAGCGCGGAAACGTCAAGCAAAACATACTCAGTGAGAACAGGTTCCTGCACCCCGAAGCAATAAACAAACACAACGTAGCAAACTGCCAAATACTGTTCATCTCATTCTTTGCGGTCTTATCTAACTTTCAGTTGTGCTCTCCTCGCAACGCTTCAAGCTTCCTCATTGAGAACGCACCCCTTCAACCCCATCCGCATCGGTCCCATCATGTTGGCTCAGTCGTCGATATTTTTTTCTTTGTGCATAATGTGCCTTGGTTGACGGCAAGCAATCCTGTCGACCACTGCCGCACCGATCAAGCCTAGCGCTTGAATTTTGGTTGGCCCCCGTCACCAGTAACAGTCACCCACTGTGTGGGACATTGGCGCTATGCATGAAGGTCCATCATCGTTGCTGGCCAGGGGGACAGCCAAACTTGAATTATAGGGCATCGAATTTACCTGCATTGAATTTGTCAAGGGCTGCGTCAAAAAAACTCCGCTGGAAAACAGCTAGCCGATGAGAGCTGGCTGCAGAGCCTGAGCCGACTTCCTACCCTTTCTTCAGATGATGATTCCGCCCTGGGAGAATAATAGCCGATTCAAGTCGGGCTTCCAATTGTAGTGCATTTGTGCTTCCCTTCCCAACGTTGCATTGTCAGATTTGATCAGGGGTTCACAGTTGCCATGGCACGCTGATCAACTCTGGCGTTGTCCGCTGAAGAGCCTGCTGGTTCAACACCCATGAATTAAACGCCTCAACTTTTGATGTCAGTTCCAGCCGTCACTTCAACAAGCAAACAAAAACAACACATGAACCTGGCAGGGCTGGCAGCCGCCTCCAATGCCGATTTCAGCGTCCTAGGGCCAACACTCCCCAAATGTTGGTCGTAGACATGGCTGCCTTACAAGGAAGCCATACTGTTGTCGTTAACCCCGATTTTGAGCCGTCTACGACTGTTCCTGGCAAGCTCAAGCAATTTAGCAGGTGTTGACCACGGCATGGGTAGCCACTAGGAGTCACAAGGATGGCCCTGGTGAAACATAAAACCACCGGCCCTGGACGGCTACATTCCGGCAGCAGTTGCCTTGTTTTCCCTCAGCCAATTCCCGACGCACATCCCTTGCTTGGAGAAAGAACAGTGAACTAAACGTTTCAAGCAAAGGCAAATCCACAAAAACGGGCTTCGGTTCGACTATTGGTCGGGGCACCCATTAGTCGTGAGACTTCCCCATTTTCCCCGCTTCCTCGTTCAACAGGCCAACCACAAAAATAGTAAGCCATAAGAATTTGGTCCTTGCGTGCCCTTGAAAACCCCCAACAAACATGTACCCCCAAAACAGACCAGGCCAAGAAGGTGGCACGTTCAATGCAGCGCGCTAGGCATCCGGCCCTTAGCTCAGCTCAGCAACGTCCGGGCTCCGGGGGTAGCCTTGGAAACGAGTTCAATGTGTTGCACAAACCCCTCGACCATAAGAGCTGTTTCCAAGGGTGAAGGGCCAATGTCGCTAGCCTTCGGGACCCGCTCTAGAACTAATGGAACTCCAGGGCTGCCTCCCCCAATTCTATTTTTAGAGGGGTGGGCCGGTGCGGGGCTAAACAACATGTTGGGATGGAAGGGTCCCTCATCATGGCGGGCATGGTGAATTCAGCAAACCCACCTTCAGCATTTGGCACCGTCTCACTTGCAGCAAATGCAAGGTGGCGTTGGGGTCTTGACTCTGGACGGACCACAAAGGGAAAATGATGGAAAATCAAGTCCCAATGTCAAACAAGTCGGCTTTGGGAAATCTTGTTGAACGTCTGCCACAGGACCAAAACGGCGGATGGCCATATCTTCCTTTCGGAAGTCGCGGGGGAAACTGGAACCCAAGGAGTCGACAACCCCTGCCATTGTCACAAGAGCATGGCAGGCGGTTCTTCGCCCAACTGGCACCACCCAACTTTCCTCAAGGGGGGAAGGGGCCTGTCTGATGCATGTAGCAATGTTGGCTATAACGGGAACCAAAGTAGAGCACATTCCTACTAGCAAACAAGACCTCGCAACCAAAACGGACACATTGTTGGGGGGCATGCCTGAAGATGGACAAGACTTCTTGCGGGCTTGAGAACTTGAGGTGCTGGCACACGGCCTCACCTTCCGCCAGCTCGACGTCATCGTCGTCGCAAATGATCTGGTCAATGCGGGGGTTGCAGGGTGAGAAGAAGTGTAGACCCTCCAAAACACAAGGGTTTCCACAACTGATCTCCTCTTCAAGGCAAACACAAATTGAACCAAGTTTCGAATCTTGACACCATCCGAGTCGCGCAGCCAAGACGCACGAGTAACGCGGAATTTATGTAGGAAGGGTTGCGCCGTCAATAGTCAAAGGACCTGCGTAATGACAACTCCAACAAACAAGCTGGAAAAAAGCCACGGGTCATCCACCCTTGCTTCATCTGACTGGTTCATAATGGCTCAAAAACAGCAAAATGGTTGACTCAAATCCTGTCCATCTCTGAATGTCGGTTGCAGCATGGCGAATCAAGACACCTTGGCTTGTGAAAGGCTTAAAGTGTTTGATGGTTGAAAGCGGAAACAAGGAAAACCCAAAAGTCCAAAGTATCAAAGGCAAGCTACGTCTGGCAGTGGGAGTTCCCGAAAGCCCAGCACATAGACCTTCGGAAAGCAACTCTATGTGGCTATGGCCCGCAGCCCCTCGCATCGACAATTTTCTGTTGTGCTGAGTGGCAAAATCACCTCAAGGGACAGTGGTTGTTACATTCATAATGTGCGCATTTTTATGCATAAATGACGTCCAATCAGACATTGCAAAGTTCTATGGCCCTTTCCCTGTTTGTCGAGGACCGGAACCCTTTCAGCGTGTGCTATGGTAAGCTTCAAAAAGCGGGACTATGAACTTGCTTTCGCGAACCCTTTTGCGGTGCTTTCGCGACCCCATGTTTTGCTTTTGCGGGCTTCGCTTTCTTTAGAATTGCTTTCACGGCGCTTTTGTGGCGGACTGTCACACCCTTTGGACTGCATGAGCGCGTGGGGCAGTGCAAAGTGAGTTCCACAAACGGCAGTGCACCTCAAGTGTAAGACTATGTAAAACAACTCCCGCTCATCATCAACACGCAGGCTTTTGCGGGGCTTTCGCAGCGGGACCTTTTAGGCACTTGCGCGATAAGCTTTCGCAAACGTTTGCGGCCTGCACGTTGGCTTTCGCGGGGTTCTTTCGGACACCCCCCTTTACTATCTTGCATTGTCAGGGTTTATGGCGCTACTCAAATGACCATGGGTAGCTCGTCCGGTTTAGTGGGGAAAGTCATCTTGTAAGGTTTCCTAATGGTCATTCCATGTCAAGGACCTTTTGACCAACCCCCACATCTGAGTCCTCGGCCGAGGTGGCAACCACGGGCAAGTCTCCCAGCTCCTGGCTACCGCCTGGCGAAGAGCTTGACCCGAGAGGGGCGCTACCCGCATGGAACCCACGAGAGTTATCTTCCAGGATTCCAGCCAAGTAGATGAGAGGTAGTTGTCAAGAGCAACAATCACCAAGCCAACCCTGGAGGGGCAAATGTTGTTCGGACATCCGGCTCTGGGACCGCCAAGGGGCAAAGTGGGCCTGCGGAAGACAAGCAAACGGGGTTATCATATGTCTTGAAATGACCATGGAACAGAAATCATGGATCCTTCCAAGAACCCTTGTATGCCCCTTAGAGGCAAACA